TTTATTTCCTGCTTTATCTGCCATTCCTATAGCTACGAGAACTGACAGAAGCCATTTCAGTTCCTTTAGAGGTCGAAAACAAACTATTTAAGCAATATTTTCAATGAAATTTTACCCTTCAAAAAACTGAATTTTTCCAAGCCTATAGCCTTACTTTTTTACCAAAAATCTGTCATTTTTATTTCCTGCTTTATCTGCCATTCCTATAGCTACGAGAACTGACAGAAGCCATTTCAGTTCCTTTAGAGATCGAAAACAAACTATTTAAGCAATATTTTCAATGAAATTTTACCCTTCAAAAAACGGAATTTTTCCAAGCCTTTAGCCTTACTTTTTTACCAAAAATCTATCATCTTTTTTCCAGCTTTATCTGCCATTCCTATAGGTACGAGAACTGAGAGAAGCCATTTAAGTTCATTTAGAGATCGAAAACAAACTATTTAAGCAATATTTTCAATGAAATTTTACCCTTCAAAAAACGGAATTTTTCCAAGCCTATAGCCTTACTTTTTTACCAAAACTCTGTCAGTTTTATTTCCTGCTTTATCTGCCATTCCTATAGCTACGAGAACTGACAGAAGCTATTTAAGTTCATTTAGAGGTCGAAAACAAACTATTTAAGCAATATTTTCAATGAAATTTTACCCTTCAAAAAACGGAATTTTTCCAAGCCTATAGCCTTACTTTTTTACCAAAACTCTGTCAGTTTTATTTCCTGCTTTATCTGCCATTCCTATAGCTACGAGAACTGACAGAAGCTATTTAAGTTCATTTAGAGGTCGAAAAAAAACTATTTAAGCAATATTTTCAATGAAATTTTACCCTTCAAAAAACGGAATTTTTCCAAGCCTATAGCCTTACCATTTTACCAAAAATCTGTCATTTTTATTTCCTGCTTTATCTGCCATTCCTATAGCTACGAGAACTGACAGAAGCTATTTAAGTTCATTTAGAGTTCAAAAACAAACTGTTTAAGCAATATTTTCAATGAAATTTTACCCTTCAAAAAACGGAATTTTTCCAAGCCTATAGCCTTACTTTTTTACCAAAAATCTGTCATTTTTATTTCCTGCTTTATCTGCCATTCCTATAGCTACGAGAACTGACAGAAGCTATTTAAGTTCATTTAGAGGTCGAAAACAAACTTTTTAAGCAATATTTTCAATGAAATTTTACCCTTCAAAAAACGGAATTTTTCCAAGCCTATAGCCTTACCATTTTACCAAAAATCTATCATCTTTATTTCTTGCTTTATCTGCCATTCCTGTAGCTACTAGAGCTGACAGAAGCTATTTAAGTTTATTTAGAGGTCGAAAACAAACTTTTTAAGCAATATTTTCAATGAAATTTTACCCTTCAAAAAACGGAATTTTTCCAAGCCTATAGCCTTACTTTTTTACCAAAAATCTATCATCTTTATTTCTTGCTTTATCTGCCATTCCTGTAGCTACTAGAGCTGACAAAAGCTATTTAAGTTTATTAAGAGGTCGAAAACAAACTTTTTAAGCAATATTTTCAATGAAATTTTACCCTTCAAAAAACGGAATTTTTCCAAGCCTATAGCCTTACTTTTTTACCGAAAATCTATCATCTTAATTTCCTGCTTTATCTGCCATTCCTATAGCTACTAGAGCTGACAGAAGCTATTTAAGTTTATTCAGAGGTCGAAAACAAACTTTTTAAGCAATATTTTCAATAAAATTTTACCCTTCAAAAAACGGAATTTTTCCAAGCCTATAGCCTTACCTTTTTACTAAAAATCTGTCATCTATTTTTCCTGCTTTATCTGCCATTCCTTTAGGTACAAGAACTGACAGAAGCCATTTAAGTTCATTCAGAGGTCGAAAACAAACTATTTAAGCAATATTTTCAATGAAATTTTACCCTTCAAAAAACGGAATTTTTCCAAGCCTATAGCCTTACTTTTTTACCAAATATCTATCATCTTTATTTCCTGCTTTATCTGCCATTCCTATAGCTACTAGAGCTGACAGAAGCCATTGTAGTTCCTTTAGAGGTCGAAAACAAACTATTTAAGCAATATTTTCAATGAAATTTTACCCTTCAAAAAACGGAGTTTTTCCAAGCCTATAGCCTTTTTTTTACCAAAACTCTGTCATCTTTATTTCCTGCTTCATCTGCCATTCCTATGGCTACGAGAACTGACAGAAGCCATTTAAGTTCCTTTAGAGGTGGAAAACAAACTATTTAAGTAATATTTTCAATTAAATTTTACCCTTAAACATACAGAGTTTTTCCAAGCCTATAGCCTTACTTTTTAAACAAAAATCTGTCACTCATTTTCTTGCTTTATATTCTATTTCTATAGCTACTACAGTCGATAGACGCTAATGAAGAAGCTCTTGAGGTACATTCAGGGATATGTATTGCTGAAAATTTTCTTTCATAAACTGGAAATCTATCTTTAAAAACAAGAAATCTGATGAAACTATGGTTTGAAACTGATACAGTAATGGCTGGGGAAACAAATATATTACAAAGATGATTTGAAACTTTTCTTAAAAGCTTTAAATATTTATCTGACAGGAGTAGAAAAAATAATTTTTCAATTAAATTTTGGCATCGGTTTTTGTGTGTGCTTAAACCAGCCATCATAAAGTGGATACCAATGTTTTCTTCTGTCACATTTTTGAGATAATTTACTTCGTATTTACTCCTAATTAATACCAAATAATTGATTGACTTGTATAGGAATATGGTAAGGTATAATTTTTAACGATATTCAAAATTAGCTAAGCAATTTGATAACGTTAGTCACAAAGCTACTAAAATTGGCACGAAACGAAGTCATTATTATGAATGCTCCATGACACCAGGACGGTGGGTTGCCTCACTTATTTGAAGATTTTCGCTCCCTAATCTTCCCAACAATATTTTCCTATTAAAAATGATTAATGCAACAAGAAAAGCCTTAAGAATATCTGATTGACTCCGGTCAATAGCTTCTAGAGTCATTACATAAATATATCGTGTAGAAGGATCTTATTCTTTATATCGACTTTTAAGGTGAATGATAAAATATACTTCGAGGGATTTCACTGGCACGTAGAAATCCTTAGAAATACTGCTTCTTATTGAGCCACAATTTTGGAATAATTGAGGGTTTAAAGAGAATTCTTATAATTAAAAGTCGTTGTTATCATATGGAAATGGTGATCCGAACTATCCCTGAATGTCCCGTGATGAAAGGTAAAATGGGTCTTCTATATAGATTTTCTTATTCATTTTCCTAGTACTGAGCAGTAAGTCGACGACATGCTCATTTCTTGTTCAGTTAGAGAGCATAAAGAACTTTGTGCAAAGCACAATAGCCTTCTTTCTTCCTAGACATCAGATACATTGCCAATATACAAAGGTCGTTATAACTATGGCTTTATTCCAGAGCGTCGAATGACACCATGCTCGATAACGTCAACGTAAGTGATAACTTGCGGACCGGTTTCCCATAATGCGCCAGTATCATCTTTGACGCTTGCAACAATGAGCAGCTCATGCTGGCCAGATGTGTTAAACGACAGTAGAAATTGAGAACTGAAGTATTCGTTGTGTGGCTGAACCATGTCTTGCAAAACAAGGCTTGTTGGCAATTTTGGCTACAAAATTGATATACATTTGTCAAGTCTGGAAACAATGCATAATTTTTAACCAATAAAGTCAAAAATGTAATGTTATGAAGTAACTATAATCAGAATAGCCTGTGACAAAATCATCCGAAAATTTCAGGCATTAAGGGAAATTTGAATTAAACATTTGCAAATTTGAATCATTAAATGCATATCTAGATTAACAAACGATCATGCGACATCAAACAGAATGGTAAAGTGTTTGCTGAATGGATCAAGTGAAAACAGCTTACTAAAACACTTTCACCACAACCTTAACCTTTCTAAGATGCAATTTCTATGCCGTTCAGGTGACTTTCTGGTATTCTAGATAGAGATTCAAGAAGAAGCGCCTTCGGTAGATCAAATACAGCATCAGATACCGGAACCATTTGCTGCAGGCTGTAACCATAAATTTCATACGACGCTTCTACAAAACATCAGATGAAGCCAAACATGACGCTGAACTATCAAAACAAGAGCCCAATGCACTGCATCATCCCAGAAATGTTCGACTTGGAAATTTCCGTTCATCTTTTCAGAGTAACTGAGAACAAACAGGATTTTATCCATTGGCCTGCAGCAGATATTTCCGATTTCATATCGTCTTGAGGTTTTACTATTTACGACTGATGTTTATATGCAATTGCACATATTTGCAGTCTTATTTCAATAACCATCTGCAAAAGTAAATTAGCAAGTACTTATGATTTCCCTTCCAGGTATAGAAAGCAGAACAAACTTACCTTGGTGTCAGCAGAACTAGGTTTTGATCCATCAATTGCTTTTACTTTAACCATTATACAAGCAGAATGAATATTTCTGAAGAAATCTGCAAAAAAATATTTTATATGGTATTAACATCGTTTATGACAAGATCATCAAACCGAGTTATAATATATTTTATCCGGTAGAGAACAGTTAACTGATGATCGCATTAAGCAGGAAGCTTGGAGTTTCAACTGAAGACCGTTTTGATCTATACAACAGCGTAATTAGGCCGAGAGGTGATTTCATATGATTCTTGTTTCGATGTGTAAGCACAAATATAAGTAAACAAGGATATGTTCAAGAGCTAGCAGGGCCTAAGCGCAATACAACACACATGCTTACGTCAAAGACGTCATTACTGAATCGATCTAGAACATCAAAGAGTGTAGGCCCTTACTTTGTTATTAAGAAGTAAGAAAAATCTTGCAATATAACTTGCAATATAATATAATACAATCAATGTGGTATTAACCTGGTTTGCTGCCATTTTCTATTAAGCCTTCTACTTTCAGGGCTAGCTGTGTGTCAACGTTAACGAGCACCGGATCATGAACTGACTTTGACGACGGTGAAACTGCAAGCTATAGAAAAACAAACAATTTTGATTCAGTGCGGAAATTTGTTAGTGTATTCTAACTGATGCCACAAAACTGAGACAAATCATTAGTAGTATTATACAATACATTAAGGTTCAAAGCTGGAAAAAAAGAAAAATTAAAAAGAAAGTTTCATCATCACTTGTCTATTCTTCTGGGACTTTCTTTAAGAATTTTTAAAAAGCGTTCTCTTAAAAGACAACACAGTATACTCATGATAGGAAGAGAATCCTGATAATTGAGCATTCATTAACTCGTAATGTTTTGCTTAACCTTGAACCTTTCTCATAAGAGTTTGAAGCTTTTGTTAAAAAGCCAAAAATTCGTTAACTCGACTCGAACCACTTTCATCATTCCGTTACACATTACACAAAGTTACACATTCCCTATACATTTAAAATTCATGTTGGTATTGAACTTGAAAAGCAACGTCAAACAGGCAACGAAAACTTTGCAAAGTATTGAAAAGGTTAATTTGCCAAATGAATACGAGAAAATTTTTCAGACAAGTCATTTCTATACTAGGAACTCTTAAACTTCTGTTGCCAATGAACCAGCTCAGTTCAGTCGTTTAACATTTATTAACGGCGATTCACAGCGACAAAGAGCTCTTACTAAACAAATAATCTTGCAGCCTATAATATTTGACTACAGACATCAGCAGTTTATTCAATATACCTTGATTGTTGTGAGCTGCAAACTTCTGAAGAAAAATGTAGGGTACGGAATAGGGGTCTCAATCTGAGTAGCGATTGCCTGACATAAACACTGTGTTTGCTAAAAAGTAAAAAAGATCCTGTATACTCCTCTTTTAATGGAGGTATTTGAGTTGCAACGTGATTGGGCTTGCATACAATTGACAATTAATTCAGACAGACAGTGAAAACTGTAATAAATGCTGTGAAAACCTAACACATAAAGTTTTTATTTACCAAACATCATTACCATTTCACTGTACATTAAATTCAAATATTGTCTATAAGATACCAAGAAGCTATGTTTTTCTTCAAGCAGTCCCTTAGATTCTCCGCTCAAAGAGATTAAAGGCCGTTTTTCTTAAGCCTGGGATTACGAACTCTGTTTTGGAAATCTTCCAAACTACAGGTCCTCGAAATTGAAATGTTTACCCTTGCCATTGAAATGTCCTAACATCAGTCATCAATTTATCGCCTATTTTCTCGATTAATAAAACAAGTACATAAATAACAGGTTTAATAAAGAGAAAAAAAAGGATCAGTTAAGAGGTAACACATGTGAATGAATTGACATGAAAGTAATTCAAATAACTTACTATATGGCATACTGGACTATCCTTAACTTGAGTGGCAAGGCTCTAAAAAGCAAGCATGAAATAATATTTTCTGTAAAAGCTCTGTTTATTATCATGCAAAAATATCCATAATCATTTTCAGTTCAACAACATCTTTTCAAAGAATTATTTCAAGATTGCATTTCGCAAATAAGAATAATGGGTAAAAATGAAACAGCGTGCAAGCATTGTTGCGATTTTAGAATTAACATCACAGCACCACGAGTATGCAGAAGAAAAATATTCAACACGATTAAATTCGAGTTAAAATATCAATGGGAAATACGATACAGAAGAAGCTGCTTCCCTGAGAATCTGTCTTCGGCCTTCCTATATAATTACATTTGTACCGGGAGTAGCATGATCTTGATTTGTACTTTCCCCTATATGCAATATGCCCTTAATGACATACACTCCCCTTCAGCCTAAACTGTGTGCTTTAACAAAGAATTACAAAACTTGATAAAAAAGACTTCCAAAACCAGCTTGCTTCGTTGCTACAAGGGCCTGATTGTAAGTCTCCAATGTTTTATTCGAAATTGGAAAACCCCTCGTGGAAGACTAACTGAAAGAGAAAATTCAACAATTTATCTTACCTCAACTATTTCAATTATATTTTGATTCATCGCAGTAAGGGCTTGAATATGCCGATGACTCTCGGAGCTTCGAGATTTTACTAGCGAATTGCTAAGCTCGGATGACAACACGCTGTAGAAAGAAGATAATCATCATACTCAGTAAAGCCCTACAGTTTCCGAAAGTATAAGAAATATTTGCTACCCTAGTTTACGGCTATTAGAAACTTCGCCGTTTTTAATTATCCCAATGTCAGCATACTAACTGCAGTGAACAAGATTCGAGGTCAAAAGGCAACTTGTCCATTGAAGTCTAAATATCTGTCCTCTGAGAATTCGGATGCTTAGGGAAAATGAATATACTCCTTGGTATGCTTATGTTGTAACTGTTTGAGAGGCGCAAGTGGCAACAGAACACTTTGCATTAAACCTGAATTGTATGGCTACCCATTCTTTTTTAAGTAACTGAAAAATGACAAATATAAAAAAACGTGGAAAAATCAATCGCTCAATGTTTAAAATACGTTGAGAAGTCACCCTACCTTCCTTCTCTTCGATTCAGAATCAATATTTCAATGCTGTAAACAAGCAAATGGCAACTTTCCTGTAGCCTAAATTCTTATTAAGGAAATTTCCAAGACAGTCAGCAAAAAATGGAGCAGAAATGAAAAACGCTTGAGGCAAACATATCTAAATATCATCCAGGCATATTCTATTGGGTTAAGAGAAATGCAAGCATTTTTTGGTAGAAAGCCTTTTAGATAGTTAACAAAGTTATTGATTATCTGGACAGCAAAGTGACAGGTATTGTGAATGGAACAAAGAACGCTTCCTTTAATGAACACTTGGCTCGGCTCAGGGAACATTTTCCGTGTAGCTCTCTGTCTATAGTGAAAAAGATACGCTTGTATGATTTCCAATGTGGAAGGGTCTGCGTTGAATGACATACGATATAAACTTCCTAGTCCATTGGCAATGGCGGCAAATGACTTCACACAAGACTGAAACTAAAAATGCCTAAGTGTCATTTCATGTAATAAAAACATGGAACAGCAGTTACACGAAAATGCAAGATTTTCCAGTTCATTTCGACTTCCCATCTTCCTGTGCTAGCCTTTGACTGTTTTTATAGCCCAAACCAGACCTGATCCGCTGTCAGGGGCACTCACCATGCTCTGCATTGGATTTTCCCTCAAAACTCATTTTTCAACAAAATGGAGAAGTGTGATTTTAAAGATTTGAAGACTGGATTTACGAGGCACCAATCAAAAAAAGAAAATGTTTCAAATTTCCTCAAGGTATATTATCTAAGAGTATGCTCCAAATTTTTATACATTTAATAACAAAGCATAACATTGATAAACTAGAGCAAACATTATCAATACCTGGGTGCCTAGCCTACTAAGCTGATGGACCTCTTGTCCTGTTGCTAAAGATGCGGCCATTGCAATAGCTGGAGGGGGGCATGTTCTCAAACTGCAGCAACAAATGACCAGCTGAGAGTAGGCATGAAGCATTTCTGCTCGGAGTTTGGCAAATTTGTATTGGAAGTACAAAGCATGGTCCACTGTCACACTAGCCTGTAAGGGCGAAGATCATTCGAAAAATCATTTCTAAATTATGAGCACAATTGCACAAGTAAATAAACGCAAGAAGAAGGCTCAAATTTGCTACTGTCTTTACATGACTCAGCATCCTAATTGTCCTTAATCATTATTATATGATTCTAATCATCAAAATATATTCTCAGACTGTGACCATTGAGATCAAAATAAGAAACAAAGGACTACCGCATATAAACAATTGTTGATCTACGAATAAAATAGAAGCGGAAAAGCCAGTGAATAAGAAACTGGGCTTAAGTTACAAATGGGAACCATGAGCGAATCGATGGGATTTTCTATAACATTAAAGGCATGTTTTAGTGCAAGTCCCTGAGAATTTATATGTAACAGCTACCGTACTCCAAGGTCGACGGCTTCATGCATAAAATAATAGTTACATGATACTAATTACATGATGATATTTAAATATCACATGATACTAAAATACGAAAATATCACGAAGAATTGATCAGTCAGTTAGAAGAGCAAATAAAAAAAACTCTCTGAAAATTGAATTATCACTAAAACTCAAACATTCACAAAGCATTAACTTTCTGAAGCACATTCACATTAACTAGATCGGTTTGTCAAATAAAAAGAAAACCTAAAATAAACGAGGATATAAAATGTGTTCTGGTTCCAGTAATTAATGCTAAGGCTCCGTTCACACTTCACCGGATCCATTTCGTATCGGATTAATTTTATACCAGATATGTATCCCATTCACACGGCAACGTTTGTTGAGAGCAAGGAACGGCTATTGAGAGCCAGGCTTTTGCACAGCGCGAAACGTAGTCTCCCCGTGTGAACAGTAGATAAATCTGGAACCGGTATCGTGTGAATAGCTGATACATTGGTATCAAGTGGGTCAGCGAATCCGATATCAAGGGGTCCGGTGTAGCGTTAGCGGGGCTTTAGAGAAGGAAAAAGACAACATCACCTTTAGGTCAACCAGACCCTCTTGATATAGGTTATAGGCTTCAGTGAGTTGCTCGAGTGTTTTAGCTTGAGTTGAGCAAGGCGTCATCAGGGTGTACTCAGCTCTCATGATATTAGCCAAAGCTTTCATCCACATATAGTTGCTTTCTGATGATAACTAAGGATCGTTGAAAAGTAGAATTTACAAAAACGATCAAGACAGGTTAATGTTTACAGAAAAGGAGGCGAATGAAATGAAATGGATGCATGTAAACCTCCTTCCAATCAAAACTATAAAGGAACAAAATCTGACAATACTTTTTTCACATAGTACCAATTACAGAAGCTTGACCTAACACAAGAAGCTGGAATTCAATTAGCCTTAAATCAACTATGCAGTTGAAAACCATTCATTGCGTCTTAACAATTCTCTTCTACCCTAAGAGCAACAACAAGAATTATTATGTATAAAACAAGGCAGTTCAAGCTAAAATGGATAACAGCTTATATTTCCAGCTTTGACAAGCTTTACGTTTTGTTGTTGGATGCCTTATCACAAGGAATATGAGAATTAAGATGCAAGACTCTGTTTCTAAATGTAATAGCAAGAATCTACAAGTGCCTGTAAAAAAATAATAAGATATAAGAGATATGTACGGTTTTAGCATAATTTTAAAGTTCAAATACCTTTAACAAACATATTTTCACACTGCTTACCTTACTGACTAGCGAATCGAACATGTTTGATGCCAGAAGGGGAAAACCCTGCAACAAGAAAAAAGGTAGTTGTCAAACTAACTTACCAAAACAAAAGACTGTCAAACATTAAAGGACTTCATAACCATATTAGCACAATCCGTAAACGGTAAGGAAAAATCCATTGTCAGAAAAGAGAAAATTTGAACTTACATGTACCTGTGTCTACGAGAGTGACTCGTGTGTCCTGTGTACAACTATGATAATTAAAGCGAATAAAAATAAAAAAAATAAAACATGTTCTTACCAGACGAGCAGCTTGTCTTCCAATTCGATAACAGGTCCACAAATTGCTTTCTTTGACATCTTTTAACTTGAGGATTACATCATTTTGTAGCGCAACACAAGCTGCTTTGTCACTTCCAAACCCAGCTTGAAGTAGCAGGGTAACCAATGCAACCTTGAAGAAAATGTCTGATCAATACACGTTAGATCTTGGGGAAATATACAATAAATGCGAGGCATACTTCTTAAAACACACGAAATCCTACTTTTGAACATGTTTTCGATCCTACAACAAAGTTTGGTCATATGGATCTGCATTGCACCCCGGACTGCTTTTAACACGGAATTGCTTAGGAAATTTGTATACTTCATACTTGTAGCGTTTCTGATAAAAACAATGGTTAAAGCAAAGAAAATCGATGCAATATTCCAAAACTAACAAGCAATAATCTTTTCACAACTCTGTTTAGTTTGCTGCGAAAATAATGCCGCATTATGGTTTATTTCAAAAACGAAAGTAGCGACCTACAATCAAGTTGTGCAATTTTCTCGATTAAGATCTGAATATGCGAAACATTTTAAAGAGGATACAAAATTTGCATGCCAAAATTTCTTCAAAATGATAAAGGTATAAGTATTCCTGATAAAATAAAATTGATTGTGTCTCACCAATATCTTATCATCACTTGATGTTTTCATTTCTTTGACAGCTTCACTGATGTATTCTAAAAGTTTTGCACGGTGTTTTTGCAGATCAACTGAAGAGGAGGTGCCCGTTCTAACCAAGCAATGACATATTTCAAGAAAACAGTCACCTAAAAGGAAATATTTTAGAGGCATAAAAGTCTTTGTGAGATATAATGAAACATTAAAAGGAGACAACAGTTTACTTCTAGAGAAGAACATTGTGTAATATTATACTTAATAATTATAGCTTTATGAGGCCTTGTTTTAAATGTTAATGGACATACAACAAATAACCCGCTTAAAGATCCAAAAATAATGTAGACATGACTGGATTCGGAAAGCATTCGGGATAAGAATTGCCATCGCAATTCTAAAAGACATGTCCTATAAAAACCAATCACAATTCTTAAAAAAAAGGAAAATAGCACTAGGTATCAAATGGCAACAGAACTACCGATGATTATGGCAGGAGCTTTCTGTTGTGGACGATTAACAATCTTGAACTAATATATCTGTTTATATTTTACTTAGCAAAAACTTTCACTTGGCAACCCTACCAAAACAGAGCTAAATTCGTTTAGTGTTTAGATGCTTTGAATTCTGGGGTCCTACCTTGAACTGAGTGTAATAACAACTCAATCAAGGGGGCTCTCGTGAACATTTCTAAGAAACAATACTGTAGAAAAGGCCTCAGTCCAGCTGTTTGTGAACTTAAGGCGCGACCTTCAGAGACAAAAGCGAATAATCGGAGCGGAACCATACAATTCAAATATGAAAATGCAATCGAATGGGCAAAATGTTTCTTTTCAGAAGAGCTTATTTTTGACCTTACAGAGGGTTGCCGCGTGCCGACAGTAGCAACTTGCGCATTAACCATAATTGATTTTCAACTTAAATCATTTAAGATAGTAATTAGACATACCTGTGACACCAGATAACATTTCTATCAAAAAAAGTGTGAGGCTGCTTTTTAAATTTGATGACACCATCGTTACTGAAGCGATCGATCGTAAACATCGCTAAAATACAGGAAAATACAAAGAACTTGATTTGGCGACAGGATATCACACTTGACAACAGTATATCGATAAGCAAAATTATAAATTAATAATGACAGAGAAGACTCGTTAAAATCAACATACGTGTATTTTGACTAAAAGATAGAAATACAGCTGTTCTTTTTTGAAGCTCTTTTTCAATATTTTCAACATTATGAGCATGCAGGTCTAAGATTTATTTTTTGGCTTTGACCCGCATGCCAGCCATGGGTTTGTGTGTCCGTTTTGAGCAGTTCTGGGGTTATTGAAATGGTAAAACCATCTAATATAAGTCCACGGGCTTACCAATTGAGTTTTGGCAAGAATGTGCATTTTAGAGCAGGTAGAAAGGAAGGAAAGATAAACAATAAATGCTTTGCTTCTTATGTCAATCGCTTGTATGAGCTTTTTGGCTGACAAGCTCATATTGGCTTGGTTCTGGAACAGTGTGAATACACGGAGCTTTACGGTACATTGATTTTCTTTCAAAAAGGGCAAAGGATGTACAAAGAAAAATCCACAAAGAGAGTCTTATGGTGATATGTCACAATGCTAAATGGGACAGGATACAAAAGGGAGCAACACCCCCCCCCACACGCACACACACACACACATATGAATTTCGTTCTGATGACAACGGATCTCATAAGACAAATTTTTTGTTTGCAAAATTCGATCACTTAGTCTAACATCTGAGGATGTGGTCGCTTGACAATTATCAGAGTTGCTAAACGAGAAAGATACGAACCTTGAGAGAAGTCATTGAGTTTTCAGCTAAGCAAAGTGCGGTTAACAGCTGTAGATCGTTTTCAAGTTTTGTGAGTTGGTCTGAAGGCAAATTGATTCCTTTTTGAAAAATAAAAAAGTGTTAAATCATCAACATCATAATCATCATCATCATCGCATCTACATTTTACATTCAGCGATACAAACGACTACGCATGATTTTTAGCTATCAGTTTTAGATAGCTATAAAAGACTTTGGAGCTACTTTTTGTGACATATCATGAGACAGGCTGTTCCACATTGAAATCATCAGAAAACTTCACAACATCAACTCATTCGAACCTTCAAAATAAAACTCCTCTGAAATACTGGCATGGAACATCTTATAAGTTTCATAACGTCCAATAAAGACGCTTTATTAGAAAACTTGATGGATAAGATGCGACAATAAAGTTCCTTCCAAAATATTATAAAATCATAGCTTGTATTGATAACTTCTACCAAATCCCTTTTCTTCTGCGGGTAACACGCCCAGCTTAAACATTTATCCTAAATTTTAAAAGCTTACCTTCCTTGCTTTTGCAAACAAGTATGTTAGTTCTGATGGCTGCAGCCAGTGTCGCACAATCGATATTAAAAGAGTCGGATAAATGTTCTTGTATCTCAATAGCTGTAAGAAAAGTTTCAAGGGTTGCTTGTGTCAACTGATAGTCAATGCGGAAATAACAAAGCTGGTTTAAAAACTAGTCATTGGAACTTGATCAACAAAATCAAAAGTCATAGCATTTCTGGGGTATTCGGTAACAATATTCAGAAAGTTGAGGCAGGAGAATAAGGTGCACCATAATTTCAACTGGTCAACACACTTGGCAAAAATTTGATAGTTACCTTTCTTACTAAAGCATTTCGTTTTTCCAACAGACTTTGACAAACAGCAGAGGACGTCTAATGCGGCCAGTTTCGATTTGTCTGACAAAGCATCCACTGCAAAATTACTCAGTTCCTGTAATAGAATGGTTTAAACAACGAACATTGGTAAAAAGTCCGGTGTAATTCATTTAGAAGACAGTCTTGAAAAATTTATCACAAAAAAACGAAAAATGTTCTCCTAAGTTTTCGTCATTTACCTCAACGTGTTCCTCAGTCCAGAGGTGTGGCCCTTTCACTGCCAGCTCTCTTAAATTGCGAAGTGCACCGAACTTAACTTGATTTCTTGGATCACATTTTGCATAACGAATTAGAATGTCAACCTAAAAGAAAAACCATACAAATAAAAACAGGCAGCATGATTTTTTGAGTGAAGAGCAATTGCATTTTATTGATGATGCCATGTAAGACGGTGGTCGGTCGTAAAAACTCTAATATGTAATATAAATATCTACTTTATATAATTCACATAAATTTTAAAAGGGGAAATCAATTTGAAGATGTTCCTGCATAATTGACTGACTCACATCAAGACGATTAATCTTGCTATTATCAATCATAAAATATTCATGCTTCTATAATAGAAATAGAAATATACCATCAGAAGAGAATCAATAATAAACTACAATCAGTAAGCAAATGCTATTTCGAGAACTTTCAATTTCTGCTTGACCAATCTGGTTTATATCCATCAGCAAGTCACCCTTCTTTCTAATTATATTTATAACCTTCTCTCTGTCTTTCATTACGAATCTTCATTCGTAAATTCAAGGTTCTGTTTTACTGAATTTTACTGGCTCAATCAATACCACCATAAGATTATCCATAAAAAACTAATGCCACTTTTCAACTTTTGCGTGAATTTAATCGATCATTTACTTTTCTGAATAAGATTTCTGCTTCTCTACTCTAAAATGTCGACCCTCAATCATCAAATTGCAAATGAACCGAAAATGTAGTCCTGGGGCTATGCAGGCAGGTTTTTTACTGTTAAGCATTTTCACAGCTTTCTACGAATAGGAATTACAAGTATCTTTGTTGGGGAGTAGAAACAGATAGATCGAGGATGTTAACAGACAACAGTCCTGCAAATTTGCCTGAAACAGCACAAAACTATATCTTCCTGGCTTTTTTAAAAGTGCGTTATTTAAAAAAGAGAAGCGTCAAGTACAATCTGCATTCAATCGAGCAATCTTGGTTTTATCAGATGTTTGCTTGTATATAGAAGAAAGCATACCTGACTTGGAATGTTGATAAATGTTGTCATGGCCAATTGTGTGAGTGTTTGTAATGTAACCAATACAAAGTCGGTCGCTGGATAAGCCTTAAGAAGGGAGAGACAAAGCTCTTGCACCTGGTAAAAAAAATTATAAGCAACATCTCAAACATTTTAACTGCAGAAGTGAAAAACTGTATCCTTGCAAGAATGTGCTTCATAAATTTATTGATATAAAAAATGCAGGAATTCTACCCCTTAGAATACTCAGGCCTAAAATAATTGAAAAAGTAAGAAAAATTTTCTTTTCTAATGAGCTTATAACAAGAAGCTTTGCATTTGCAGGCTTACCTCATCAGCCGCTTTGAGGTCACGATTCATAAACTGGAAAGCTGGTATCAACTTCAGTTTCATCTCAATAGGTGTGGATAAACCTTGGGAAAAGGAGTCAACAGTAATTATATTGTAATAATTTAAGCACTACGAAATACGTCTAAATATAAAAAATTGGTCAAAATCAAGCTGACAATGGCCATATGAGCACTCTTTACCCATCAAGTCACTGTTATTTGGTCTTGGTTCAAAAATCTGTATACCTGGCAAAAACAACAGTAATCCATTAGCGAAACTTAGTTCTACTTCTTGCTATGGTCAAATCAACTTGCAACAGATTAACCAGATTTTGCACCTGTACAGGTCTTTCATTGTGTTTTTCAGGTTATGTGGTCAGAAGCGAAGAACTTAAAAAAGATTTTATAAACTCATACTTTTGCACTTTATTGTCAAGATAGCCAAAAATTTCGCTGATGCGCCGAGGTGAAGCAATTAGAAAGATAAACAGTAAATCACCTTCAATCATTTCAGCAATTTTATGAAAGATCCCTTCAGCAAACTGCCTGAATAAAGAAAAAAGTTTCTTTATGGCGAAAAGGTAAGCTGTGTTAATAAGTAAGCTAATTATCAAAACCTGGGTTTAATACATGGAAATGATGAAAGTGATTATTTTAGAAAATAGGATGTTATCCAATTGTCGCTTTTCAAAATGAGGATGATAGGGCTATCTTTTCGATTGCAAAGAGACTTGACCTACAAAGAGAACTCCTCCCCTACAGCATTCCTTTACATATAATTATAAACATTCTGCCTATTTGCTTTATATACTCAAAAACTACGACCAGTTTTCTAATATTTATGTAACCGATGGTGATAATTGCTATATGTGCCTGAATAATTAATCTTTTGAATTTACTAGATGTAGAAGAATTTCAAACGAAAATCCGAATTGGAGTTTGGGTGCAGAAGAACGGCATAAATTGACCCATCCCTCCAATATTATTAAAACTACTATCAATTTATTTACAGTAGGCTGCTAAGAGTATCTCACCTACAGCTAATTAAGGCCTACAAGCAAATATCTATTTATTAAAAAAATTATCTACAAAAAACCATGAAAAAGACTTCAATGCAATATGAAAGTACAATATAGGTTATTTTGTATCCAGTTTGATAATATTGTACTGCAGTCAATATCACTGAGCGATTCTTCTTAAATCAAGGTTCAATCAATGCTGAGATCCTATGTTTTGTTCATGTTATCAATGAGGTAGAAACACTATAGGCAAATGATTATCAAGATATTCTACATTATCATGAAATACCTAGAAAACTCAAGGAGTAGGTAGATAGGGCAGTGGGCCTGGGGACCCAGGCTCCCAAATATTCTACAGGGTCCCTGAACCAAAACGTTCACATATCAAGGAATAAAGATTCGTAGTGTATAAATTGCAATTTGCAGATGCACTGAGTTCGAAAATTAGTACATGTTGCCTCTTAACCTTCTCTCCCATGGTTGTGTTTGTTTGTACATTTTTGTATTACCTTCTATATGTTTATAAACAAATTTGCCCCCCCCCCAAATTTCAAAATCCTAACTACACTCTTTAAGGAAAATTTTGTGATGATAACCAGTAGTGAGATGCAAAGAAGAGAGCTGGAGATGTGACAATGAGTGGAACAGTTAACAAGAGATCGCATAGCAGGGAGAATTCAATAGTCACTCTTTTAGTGTTGTTTTGATCTACCTTGATAAACATTATGCAATAACATTACAAGCAAAGATATTATGAGGGATAACCTCTATAGATAAAAAACCAGGTAATTAAACAGTGCTCTGATATATGCTGTTGCAATTATCAAAATAAAATTTCAATCATTGGTATCAATGTGTTGATCAATAATAAAAATAAAAATAACACAAGTACCTTGATTGCTTACAGAAAGCCTTTGTTGCAAATATAGCAGCTTCTACTTCTACTTGATCATGGGAATCAAGGGAGTTTCTTATGCTGTTAAAAACATAAAATAAAAGATTTACAGTATAAAGATAAGCCCATGGGGGCTTATTTGAGGGAGGAAGGGCTTATTTGCAAAAATGATTTTTTAGGTGGAAGCTTATTCAAGGGGGAAGGGTTTATTCGAGCATGGGGGCTTATTTAAGGATTTACAGTATACAGATTTTGTTTCTTTTCAAGTAGAAATGCATTGCAGGTAACATTACATGCTCTAAAAATCTGAAACAAGATATACTATTTAGGCAAGGAAAACAAAAACTGTGGAAAAATTCAAAAAATGCAATTGATAAAAACACAAACAAAATTTAGAGGTTTAGAACTTTTCATTGAAGCTTTCATCAAAATCTATTTATCTAGTTTTTATGAGCAAATGAATAGAAACTGATGGCAAAAAACTTCTAAAAATAGCTAGATTCAAATTGAAACCATTCTAAACTTGGCAGCATTATAAATTATTCAAACAATCTTTTGGTGGTACAAAACTTGTAAATAGCTTTGAAAAAAGCAAACATTTAGTAAACTAAAGCTTTTCGTCTGACACTCTTCAGAGTTTAAAACGTCAGAACATAGATCGAAAACTCTACGCTAAGAAATAGCCAAATAGCCAAATAAAACAGGCCATAACAAATTGTTTCTTCGCGGTTAACCCACGTGTTGTTTACAGTACAAAAAAGGCCCTTCCGTCCATTCAAAAGGACTGCGTTCCTGCCACAAAAAAAAGTTCTGTTGTGTATGAATTCACGTGCCAGTGTGATTCTGGCTACGTAGGACGCACCACCCAAAGATTGGAGGATAGGATAAAACAACACGTTCCATCTAATATTAGAAACAAAACACATCCCCAAAGAGAACAGCCACCTCGGTCTTGCAAATCAAAAATTACTAATAAAACCTGCGATTCTGCTATCGGGCAGCATTTGCTAGAAAACCCAGTTTGTGCAAAAAACTATAATGGCGACATGTTTCGGATTATTGGTAAAGCCCGATCGTCGTTCCACCTAGCAGTTTTAGAATCTATCTACATAAGCACGAAAAAACCGCTACTGTGTAGACAAAAGGAGTTCGTTTTCACCTTAGGACTCCATTGGTAACATTCTAATAGGCAAGCGGCACTGATTGGTCAACCTTTACAGTCATGTGCTCGTGTTTCTGATTGGCCTATTTCGATCCACAACTGGGTATATATATTTCTTAGCGTAGAGTTTTCGATCTATGTTCTGACGTTTTAAACTCTGAAGAGTGTCAGACGAAAAGCTTTAGTTTACTAAATGTTTGCTTTTTTCAAAGCTATTTATAAATTATTCACAAATATAAACACAATGAAAGATAGATGTGACATAGAAGTGCATAATCCATAAAGATATTGCACAAAAGATAATGGTGGGTCATTTTTCATCAAATCAAATGTCGCCAAAATCTAGATTCAAAGCATAGCAAAGTCCAAAGAGGGGCCTGTAGGGGGGTAGCAAAATCCACAAATCTGCTACTTTTTATGTCATAAATGGCAAATTCGCTTCTTTTGCTAAATTAGCGACCGAAAATGAAAATTTTGTTCACAAAATTTGGTAAAAAAATGTCTATTATAGTCTTCTGTGTTTGGATTTGTTCACTGAAATGCCATAAAGCCTTGAAAAGGTAAACGTTTAAAATTTTATACCGGAAAATTAGTTATACCAGGTTTCATAAAATCGGGATTCCACTGTAGATTTGTCCTATGATTTTTTCAAAATTTCATATTTAATCCGCAATCCTGACAAAGTGTTAAGCCTTTTTGAAGTGGCAAGAAGTAATAGTACCAAGGAAAGATAAACATTTAAACCTGTCTCAAAAACCAACAAAATCAATCAGAATTTTGTTTTCAAAATAAAAATTTGGCTCTCAAAATAAAAGAAGGCATGTGATATTCTGCAGTCCTCGAAACCAGTAGGCATCCGCCAGGACATGTGCATGTGATCACATGCTTTTCCAACAAAAGCCTGTATACATTAGATGTTTATATACCTGTAATGGATGTTCTTCCTATCTGAAATGATACTTGATATGCTCCCAAAGACCCTATAAAAAAGAAAAATCAGCATTATCACTCAATAATTCAAATACAAGATTTTCTAAATGTAGCATCTATGTGGATGACAGAATCACATTGTCACCAGTTCAGTCGACATATTTCAAATTAGTTCATTGACTTTAAATTTTGCTACACAATGCTAAGCAAAAAAAGCAAGATACAATAAAATATAACAATATTACCAAAATCCTCAAATATTCATGAAAATAATGCAATAGACAATGTTTTCAGCTTCATGTATATATATATTCAGATTTTAGTTATATGCCTAGACCCCAACAACTTTTAGTTAAAATATTTTGAGACAATGACAGTTTTGATAATCATGTCTGGTGATTTGTTGGGCATGTATATAAATTTACTGAATTAGTTATGAATCATTTGCATGAAAATTTAGTTTTCATTTTATTGAACTTTACATAGCATTGCTCATTCTTCAAATGAAAAATTGATATGAAGAAAAAAAGAAACTGGTGTAGATCATAAATGCTATATCACCTGAGTGTAATTGCCCTTGCAACTGGATCATTTGCATGAATCACTGTATAAAGTCTTCGGACAATCTCATCAACATTTAATATCTTGTCAAGATGTTTCACACTTTCTTGAATTACTTTCAATACACAGAGTTTCAAGAAATTGGTCCTACAAAGAAATAGTCAATATGATGAAATAAATAATGCAAAAACATATTTGCATTAAATCAAGTGAAAAAGTAGAATGTTAAGGACCTTTCAACATGGAAATATTTTCAAAATAGTGCAATTTGCATCTAAGTAAGAAAGAATCAAAAGTTTTTTGTCTACATTTGGGTCTTAAAAATACTGAGCGCTCAAAAAGCTCCACTTTAGAAGGGAGTGAAAAAATTTAATATATGCAAGATAAAGAATAAAAAGCCAACATATGTACTCACAACTAATCAGTTTTTAAGAAATACATTCTTTGACATTTATATTATTAGCAAGAGAGAGTGAGGTTCAAAACAACAGCATAACCCAAAAAAAGTCCAAACCTTACTAATAAGCCTCAACTTACCCTCCTCTGAACACATCTGCTAATTTGAGAAAGGCAGAGTTGACCAATATAGGAAAAGGGTATTTAGCAAATAATGCTGGAAATCTAACAATGGCTTCACACTGCTCTTCAACCTTTCCAGACCTCAGACCTAAGGGGTAATCAAATTGAACAGCAATTATATTAAGGTAGATTATAGCAATAAGAGCAATGTTACCAATTTTGCCTTCTCCAAATGTGATCCAGCTGAACTAATCTAATATTATTACTTTCGATTTTCAGAAAGATGCTATGTTATACCTTGTAACCACAAAACTAAATACCTGTCTCTAAAGAGATATTCCCTTTAAAGATTGGATTTGATTATATTAGATAGGATTTTAGGAGATAATACGAAAGAAGAACAAAATTCTGTGATCATGCCACTCAGATTAATTTGAAAAAATTTTTACGTTAGAAATGCTGGGCACAATTTTGTTACTTTTTTTTAAATTCCATTTTAAAATGGAGTTCATAGCTTTATGAGGTCTCATAGACCTTGAAGCTCTGGGGCAATTTGCCCAACTTGCCCCCTCTAGATGGCCTAGATTGTATCACTGTCATTGATAATTCCAATGTACTAAAATCCATAGAAACAAAAATAAGCACACATTCAAACAATCCTCTTGTTTTTTGTAAATGATAAATTTAGTCAGTTAATCATAGTTTCTAAAAAAATTGAACACTCCAATAACAGGCTGAACACCCTTCAAAACATATCAAAATTGGCATATCATTCGAAATTGGGGCAGGAAAGGGCCTGATAAGTCTAATACTGTTGGTGTTGTTACAACCAACTGATGTTTTGCCCACCTGAAGTGTGAACGGGGGTTTATACATGCGGAGAAAATTCGAGTTTGACTCACTTTGTGCATTCAAGCAATTTGTGTTGAAAATCTTTCACATCCAGTGACAGTGAATGTTGTTTAGATTTGTTTAAACAGAGATATTCCATTAGTAAAAATATGACATATCACTTGACTACCTTTTGTCATCTAGACAATTATTCATTCCATCTGATAATTTGCCCGAATGGTCATGGCATAGAATAGAAATGAACTATTCTGTGGTCATGGTATGCTAATATAGCTAGTGCACGCTAGCCCCCAAGCTTATGCTAAGTTGTCGATTAAAGCAATTACCCTATATTAGCATACCATGACATAAGCTATATTATCATACTTGGGTGTTCTTGAGGTGTTCAGCCTGTTCTTGGAGTGTTGAGTCTCTTAGAAACGACGGCCAGTTAATTTATCCTGACGCAAGGGTTAGGTAGCATCATATATTGCTGGCTCTTAGACATGATTTAAAATGACTCACAACAAAAACAAAAATAAATCAAGACCAAGCCTTTCAGTTTGAGGTCCTGAGGCACCTAGTCTGTATGTGCCTAGGTGCGTCAAGGAGCGAATTTTCTAATTTTCGAATTTTCCCAAATCAATGGCCTTAGCCTGTTGCCACTTGCATTTTGGAAAGATTATATTTTAATTAGAAACCTTGTTCTCTTGTTTTTGAATTAAAGTATTCACCATTTAGGGAATTACATGACAAAATAAACATGTTAAACAATGGAAACTGTCTGTGCTGGTTGAGTGTGATGAAAGAACCACTCTAAATCTCGAAAGCATTGACTGAGTAAAGATGTTCTCCAATTTGATTTACCTTCGTGAAGAAATAGTTAAATCAATTTTGGTACTTTTTTACCTTTCTCCAGTTCCCAGAGTGCTGTATTTGCGTCCTGCGTCTGATCTTGGCTACTTTTCAACATCACGAACTCTGGAACAGGACTACTTCTTCCTCCCGCCATTTTTGCTAGCTTAGGCCGGGGGCACGGCGAAAACACGGAACAGAAGCAGCCAACGTGCTTTTTGCTGCTGCTGTTGCTATATAATAACAAGGAGTCTACTCTGGGCCTGCGTGCAGACTCTGATATTGAAAAGGGGAAAAAAGGAGTTTAGTTTTCAATTTTTGAACAGTGTCTGTACACGGCTACGGAATACTGGTAAAAAAGAGAGTGAAAATATGATAAAAGTAAAGAAACTGTACAAAACTCTCTCTCTTGTTGACTATGGTCAAAATTGCGCAAATGATCCCTTGTATGTCAGGGTGAAATATTAGTTTATTATCTTTTTGCCTCCGAATTTCAAGATACCAACTAAAAATAGGACAGAAGTATTCATTATCAAGCGAAGGCTTTAAATGATTTTTGAGCGAGCTTCAGATAATCTTTAAAAATCTTTCAACGTTTAATTGCACATTTTACTCTGATAAACTAAAATAAAATTCTGCCATCTTTTGGCAAGGTAAAATCGTGGATAGCAATGCCCTAGTATGTACAGTTGCATTAAGGTATGGAAAAATATGCAGAGACATGGCTCAGTTTGGCTTTTTTTATATATTCATACAAAATTTTTACAAAACATACACAAATATACCAGAGGATACCGCAGGGAGCATGGGAATACATAGCAACCCTGTGGTAATTTACATTCAACATATAACACTAAATTAACTATAATTTAAAGATACAAAATGAATGAAAAGAATAAGTAGAAACTATTTCTAGAAAGAGGAGAGGAGAAAGGAAATATGTTGTTTGTATCATCAATTTATTCAAAACGTTTAGAGGCCTGTATATATTTTAGCGTTGCAGCGAGAATTTTCGTATTTGATTCGAGTGGTAATTCTTCATGGTCATAGAGGATGATTTTTAGCAGATCTCCATTTGAAAGATTTATCAGACCATGAGGCAACAATATCGCATTTACACTGCTGAGGAGATCACATCTATCCACTTTATTATTATGGCAGAGCAGAAAATAGTGCTCCGTGTCCTCAACACTGTCATTTATCGGGCAAATTGGATTCAGAGTGTCATTAACATTGTGCTTAAATTTATGGAAATTTAGTTTACTGAGTCTAACACGTAGCTGCGTTAAGATGGATAGGCCATTTGGGTCATGAATATTGTAGTCTGGTTTAGGAGGTGGACGGATAATGGAAAACAATTTTTTCTTGAAAACATTTACCGAGTTCGATTGTCTAATCTTAGGATCGAGCTTTTCCCATTCCAACAAGCAGTTGGGATAGATGCTTTGTTTAAAACTGTTTGTTCTTGCACATATTTGCCCAATTCTATTACGTCTGCGAAGGTCGTAATTGGATTCTTGAAGATTTGGAATTTGATGTCTCGTATAATCTGGTGTTTGGTTGTTACCTATTCTATAAAAGAAGATGAGACGTCTACTCCATCGTCGGAGGTTTAACGATTCCCACCCAAGCTTATCATACAGCTTCTCACGAGAAGTACCTTTCCAAACACCTGTCACTGTTAGTGTTTTCCATTTGATTGGTTAGGGTGACGCGATGGCTGAATTCGCAAATTTTGCTTGGTGTGTGATATATGACGTCACCATAATCGAAATGTGGTCGAACATACAGTTTATATATTTCATTTAGGGTATGCCGTGGTGAATATTTTGAACGAAATCTGAACATTCCTATTCCTTGTGTGCACTTTGAAATAATGGCTTTGATGTGACTGGAAAGGACAGTTTTGAGTCTAATATAATTCCAAGGTGCTTTTGCTACAGGACGTTCTTGACAGGGACATAATTAAAAAGTATGGGAGGGTGATTTACTGGACATCTTATTTTTGAGAAAGTCACCTCCACCGCTTGCTCAGTTGGGTCTGGATTAAAGGACATTCTCCATTGAAGAGCCCAATGATTGATCAGTTTCAGATCATGGTTCAAATTTTCAGCGGCTGCGTTTTGATAGTGAACGACAGTGAAAATGGAGGTATCGTCTGCAAATTGTTTCACCTTACACTTCAACCCATCCGTTAAGTCATTTATGTAAATTAGGAAGAAAAGGGGTCCTAAAATAGAGCCCTGTGGAACTCCTGCTGTAACAGCACCCCATTTAGATGTTTTGCCATTTAAAACAGTAAGCTGCTTTCTGTGAGCAAGGAAGCTTTGCATCAGTGAAAGCAGCTTACCGGAAATGCCACATCGACGCATTTTGTGAAGAAGACCCTCGTTCCAGACCCGATCAAATGCCTTAGATATATCAAGGTGAACCGAACGAACTTCTAGAGTGGGGTTGCAGTCAAATGGTTGAAATATAGAATTGACAACTGAAAGGAGCTGGTTAATTGTTGAATCACCTGAGCGAAACCCCGATGGGTTTGGGTTAAGTAAACTATTAGTATGAAGTTTATCTAAGATTTTGGGAGGAGGGAAATCGGACGATAATTTTGTTTTAAGCTCTTATGGTTCTTTTTGTGGACTGGAACTACATTTGCCTTTTTGCACATTTCAGGAAATAAACCTTGGTTTGAGCAATTTTCAAATATCACCTTGAGGGGTAGTAATAGCGCATCATTGCAAAGTTTAATCATGCGTATTGAGATATCATCCCAACCATGTGCCTTATTTGGGTTAAATGACCGAATGATCTTCAGAATTTTTTCATCAGAGATGGTAAATTCGGTTAGTGGCGGAGCAATAGGGAGAAAGTTTTGAGGAATGGTACTGCCAGTATCAAAGGCACTGCATTGTTTTAAAAAATAGTCATTAAAAATTTCAGCCTTCTCTGTAAAATCTAAAATGAATCTATCATTTTCTAAAAGAGGGGGAATGACTGGTAGTTTGCCTTTGCCATGGGCCTGCCAAGAATTAAGAAGGGCCTAGGCCAGACGATACATTAAAAAATATTAAAAGAACCTTAAAAGCTAGAACAACAGCGGCAAATATTTCTATCAAATTTTGGCCAAATGGTCCAAGAAAACGGTATTTTAAGAGATCTAGGTACAAAAAATAATAAGCAAAGCTACTGAAATTCTCATGAAAGCAGAAATTAGTTCAAGAATTACTAAGTTTACACAAAATAAATATTGAGCTCCTACAGAAGAAAAACGTGCTCTCTACTAGCTGAAGTATATTTTTCGAAAGAGCAAGCAGACACGATCTACGCTCTGTAAGACAGAGATCGGAAAACTAAACGAAAGGGTCAAAACATACTTTGCACGCAAGAAGCAACGTCACACATCAACTTCTGTTTAATTATTGTCCTCATAGTCCAGGCGAATTAAATGTAAATCATTTACTTTTGGCAGCCATGGGATCCATGTTTATTGTAAGTCCAATCGAATTATCTTGTCTTTCAATGGTGAACCTTGCAAGAAAATATTGAAAATGAGTTAAATTTCATTTGATGAATGAAAAAGGAATATATGAAATGAAAAACTATTCATTAACGGTGTTTTCGTCGCAACAAACGGGACAGAGAGCGCCTTTTTAAACATAGCCAGAAAATCCTATGGTTTTGTTTTTTGTATATAACCCAAAAGGTTTTTATACATCATACGACAGAGAGCACAAGGCTGTGTCTAGCATGCAGCTATCAAACATAAAGTTACTTTCTAACTAAGCAACAAGTAGCTATGAATAAAAATCTAAAAAAACAAACAAAAAGACAAACAATACACGTAACCAATTTTTTTATATTCTCATAAAATTTACAACAACAATCAATTACAATACAAAAGCCTATTACAGACGTAACCACTTTACAACGAATGCACATAATCCCAGTACAGGTTGCAGAAGCTAAGTTTGAATAGTATCATTTTTTTCAAAACGCTTTGTTGCATTTCTGAATTGGAATCAACGGACAACGCTCCATCACCAAACAGTATCATTTCAAGTAATAGAGCGTTTGAACAATTTAGCAAACCATACGGTGACTATGTTTGAAAGCACACAAGCTTTATGCTGAAATACATCTTGTGAGTTATTATCCTAAATAGCCCACAAGAAATTGGTATCAATGCCAATTTATTGTTTATTTCTCCACCGTTTTTTGCAGTATTTCAAAAAAGCATTTAAATAAGAGATAGTACCGTGCCATAAGACTGTTAAATCGTATCGTAACGTCTTTTAACCTTTTCTGGGTCCATTTGACATAACAATAAAATCACATAACCCCTCCAATTACCCCCTCTTCAAGATAGCGTTAACCTATTATGCTAGTGACTCGAGCCCTCGAGAATAACTTAGACAAGTCCCTGTTTTTACATTGCTTTTCATTTACTGACTGTCAATTCCTTACTGAAATTTTCAAAAATTTCGTCAAATAAGAGTTTCGAGAAAAATATCAGATAAAATAAATCTAGTGACTTACTTCTTCCCAGCCGGAACAAGGGTAACGTCACCTGCCTTCAATTTTCTTTGCTCACTTTCAAGTTTTAGGAGACATTCGCCCTCCTAGAAACAGAAATGCAAGATAAGTTAGTTATAAACTAAATTTATCATAATGGGAATGAGTGCTGCTTTTCTAACATTGATTTCCTATCTATTTCAAATCCCCTTTTCGTCACAATACAAGAATTTTTCTTCTCTGACGTGTATTTACGTTTATAATTCTATTACTCCTTTCTAACTTCATTTGTTAACGGGTTACGCTGGAAACGTCGTTATTTCAAATTCGCTTATTTTCCTCATACAATTTCATATAATTCCTCATATAAATTTGTATGACACTCAAGCTAGTATGTTTATGGTGTATTTGAGGGGGCAATCAAATAATAAGCGAGTGAAAGGCAAACATTTTACTCCCTTCGACAGCCTAAGAATTTTTCATCAACGTTTGAATGCATGACAACACTATTATATGATCTGATAATAACATAAACAAATACAAATCAACCATACGTCAAGAAACAAACAAAAAACGATTGGAAAACATACAGTTTGCCAGAGAAATGTTTCTCCCTCGTTTTCATGATCAAACTTGCCCCCTCCGTATGCTGTAACCTGTGTATTGGGAGAGAACATTATTTTAGCTCACAAGAATTTTTGAGAATATCCATCAGTCAAAAGGCCAGAAACTTTATCTGTACATTAAATCGATTCCTGAAAATTTTTAAAGCAGTCGACGGTTTCAAATACTGGATTCAAATTCTAAATGTATCTTTTATAGCGAATGATGTGTTCAATTTGTTCGATTCTTAGTGATTAAAAAAGTAGCTTTCAGCAAGGAAGCGTTAGAATTTCAACTTCCACAAAGACAAGAACGCGATGCCATCTAAAAGGCGTTCAAGGGTATAGACAGCCCTTGACAATCAATATCATCTTTGCTTCGTCTTGCCACATCAGCCCCCTCCTGCCTCTAATCAACCACCCAAACAACATGAACCCACTCTCTTACGACATACCTTGAATTCTCCCTTTGAAAACAGCTCCTTTGTTCCCGAAGGCTGTATTTCTTTCTTGTTGCTATCAATCCACTAAAAAGATCAGTCTTGAATAAGTATCATATGTTTGGGAATACACACAAGTTAATCCCTAAAATGAGGAAATATTTGGTGACTTTTAGTTCACTAAAAAGTATATGACGCATGCAATAAAGTGGTGAAGTCACGCATGCAATCTTTTCCCGCAGACTTTAGCCTCCCTCCTGTACCAATTCGCTGCTGGGTGCACATAGAGTGAACTTATACATCACAGGACGAGTATCGGGTCAGCTCTTGGACCAACGACCTTTAGCAATATAGTAAGGCACTTTACAAGCTTGGTAATTTCACCATCCCAAAGAACTGGCACAACCTGATGCCAGAAGGACATAGGCCGACCAAGACAAATCACCCAAAGATATCGTAAAATAGTATGAAAGACCCAGCAAATGAGGCTACATCAAATTTTTTATCTCGAGCAACTTTAAGGGCAACATTAGAGGCTCCAATCTGCCATATTCGATCTGAGATATATCACCCCGGCATTTGGGTATTGAGTAAGAAAAATCGAAGGAAAATGGAATCAAATTTCTTTTTTCTTAAGACACAATGAGGATAAGACCTGACCTTCTGGGCATTTTGGGAATGTTGGTAGTGTCCTCAAAGCTGGATTTAAAAAATAACTAGAATAATAAACTTCAAATTTCAATTTAGATTTCACCAATGAAAACATAGTATCGATGGAAATCTTACACAGAAAGCAAAGGCATGCTCAACAGAATGAAAAAAGAGATCATATTGCATGAAATGTAAAATGAGACAATAGGTCACCAATTTCTGTTGAATACAAAAACCGTTTCGCATTGTTCAAAAAACCAATTCTATGAATCTTCTATGAGTATAAGGTAAAAATTTTCAGAACGCTCAAAAGGTGCTATAGTTAAATGCTCAAATGCTTGAATTAGTATCCAAATCTTTGATGAAAAGTAAGAAGCCAACGCAAAACAAAGTTAGAAACTCACATCTGCTAGTCCGAAAGGCTTGTGCACCTCCGTAGTGGTATCGATCTTAACTGGTGGAGTCTCACTTATTGTGCCTATGAGATACAGAGAAAAAGGGAGCTTCCTAAATAACTGTTTGTTCTTCTAAAACTGAAAAAATAATTTAGAGCTTTATGATGATTATGACATTTCATGATTAGTAGCAAAATACGGGGCAATACACAAGACCTTTCTGAGGCACTGCTTCTGTCTCGGCTTCGATGTTGTTCAAAACCAAGATAAATACCTCGATCGGGAAACACGGTTTTAAAAATGTAACCATGTCAATAAGAAGCCCAATACTGAAACAACCTACATACCTGGGATAGGTTTTCCCGTTTTAAACTGATCTGACTGCATATATCTATATAAATAAAAAATAAGAAAATTAGCACAATTGGATAAGTTACTGCTTTGGCTGGTAAACAAAATTTTGATTTGAAGAAACTCTAAGAATGTTCTGCCAAACATCAAAATTATCAAGGGTTTTGAAACAGTTAAGGACTGAATGTTCTGCCAGCAGAGGCCTCATGACCTATAGATTCCTATGAATATGATCTTAAAGATTTGGCCTTCAATTTAGAAAGTTCTAGGTCTTCAACCTATGAATTTTTAGACTTTTATCCTATAGAATCCTTCAACATGTTAAGTTCTAGGCCTGAAAGATTCATTGTCGTGAGGTTCGAATTTCGTTAGTCCTAAGCCTTTATCGCTAAAGTTACAGGCGATCAGCCTTTAAAATCCCAGGTCTTCAACCTATGAATTCCAAGACATTCATCCTAAAGACTCCTCGAGCTTCAACATATTACGTCCAAGGCCTGAAAGATACAATGTCCCTGGCATTCAACATCTGAAACCTAGGCCTTTAACCCCTAATGTCCCAGGGCTATAACTCAAAGAGTCCTAGGCCTTCAGCATATAATTTCCTAGACCTTCAGCTAATGAAGTATATGACCGTAATGGTAAGACGTCCTTGGTGTTGAAATGTCTAGGGCAGCTGGCTTTGACAATGTACCAAAATCTCAACATAGATACCATTGCAAAACCAGTTATGGTAGTAATAACATGACAAAAGGCATGCTGGTATTAAAATATATTTTGCATCATCTGTCTCGAAAACCTTTCAATCAAAATGAATGTTATATGTTACTCGATTGAATGCTGAAAGTTACTCGATACTGAACAAGTATTATTTATCATAACTGATTAACTAATTAAATTCATTATCAATCATCGCTTTCAACAAAATTTCTCGTAAAGCTCGTCTGGAGGCACTTGACCTTTACAATATCAAAGGGCCTTTCCTTACTAATTATGGTTGTCTTTTTCAAAGATGATTTCTTCGAAAATATAAAGCCAGAAAATAAAAGTTAACAACAGAAACAGAATCGCATTAGGAAGCACAGCTTAAGCGTTTTGATAAAAGAGCTGAAGAGCAGTGGCGATACTTGATTGTCCTGACTTTCAACACTGGTCCTGACTAAAAGTTTTAACTTAAGGTAACCTCGGGCTTAGCCACTTAAGATTAATCAAGATTATTAAGTCGTCACTGATTCGAGGGAAGGACTGCATGTTGACTGATTGTCAACTAACTCCAGATTTTTATCAGCATATTATGATAAACAAGTACGAGTACCATCCCAATCAATTAAAAAATGGAGCCTAATTAATTTTTTTTGATCAAGCTGAGATAAAAACCTTGATTTGAAAGTTCATGCCGCCCATAAAGCCTTGCGTCAACAATTTCACAGTCACATGATTACAAATAAATCTAAACTGAACATCTGTTCGTTTTCGCAGAAGGAAATAAACCTTGCAGCAAAAATTGAATGGAATTGTTTGCCATGAAAACAAGCAAGCATACGTTTTAATTTGCCATCAATTTGAGCCACGTGACAAAAATCGTCCTTAAAAGGAACTGGCTCTGAGTGAATCAAACCATAACGATCGACGGTCATTACAAAACGACTTACTGATGTTTCACGTAATATGGTAAGATTCATCTATACATTTGTTCAACCTTCCGAAATTATAGAAATCTGAACGGCTGATGAACAGAGAAATCACGTCATAAGTCCACGGAGCCAACGCCAGAAAGATCTGCTGCCTAGAGAATAACCTAGTTTAATAGCATGAGACATAATTAAATGACAGGTTCTTTCGTAAGAAACTGCAGAAGTGGAAAGCAACGCTTTGGAAAGAAACACAGTAAATAGATTTACAAGATCATAATAACGTTGATATAAACAGAAACAAATAAAAGAGGTTAAAGAAGCCAGTCGACATGAGTGACATTATAAGAAATCTACCATTTATTGCATTCGCCCTAGTGGCACTTTGCCTCAATATCATCGAGGCGATCTTGATATTAAAGAAACGAAAGAACTGGAAGCCGTTTGATAGACTTCTCCTGAGTTTATCGTTTGCAGATATGCTTGTGTCTGTGGTAACGTTGATTTTCTCTTTCAACCCAGTAGCTGGCGTTGTATTTATTCACCTTCTAGTGTGTTCCGGTAATTTTTCAGTACTACATATCATTGTCATAACGATTGATAGATTCATGGCGATCAAAAGGCCTTTGCAACATAACATCAGAATGAAAGGAAAGCTGCCATATGTCCTCATTGGTGCAATATGGGCAATCAACATTATTCTAGTGACAACATTCGGCACGATCTTTTCGGTAGCAAAGGAAGCATTAATGCCCCTAATAAAGGCTTTCGCTGTTCTCGTGATCATTCTTGGGTTTTGCTATGGTGCAGCTTATAAGCGTATGTTTAACTTGGTTCTTATTCAGGCAGTGAAAGTAAGAAATAAAAACAAGGAAGATAATAAAAAGTGTTGCATAAAAAAGATTCTTTTAAATAGCAATTGCCGAAGGGAAAGAACAATGTTGATAACATGTGTATTAGTTGTTGTTTCATACATTTTTTGCATGTACCCTGTGTGTATTGAACTATTGATACGAAAAAGTATAGACGACATTTCTATGGCAACACAGCTATTGTTGCTGACAAATTCAATAGCGAATCCGTTGGTCTATTTCTACAAAGGCCTGCGAGATCGCCGAGCAACTGAAAGAAGATCAAAGATAACACATGGGTCTTTAAAGAAGAGTGACACCGACACAAAGGAAAGTCAGACGCAGCCTGCTGGAGATCCCAATGAATGATGACTAGGGAGGCTGCTGGTGCTTTTACTGGAGGGTGACAGAGAGGCCTAAACAGGATACATTTTTATCAAAATAGCTGATATTGCAGCATAATTAAAAATATATCCAAAAGTTGTGAAACTACGCAAAATGGTTTATCTAATGTATTTAACCTGTACTTTAGCTGTTGTGTTAGAGGATCTTGTAACACATTGTGTTAGAGGATCATGGAACCTAAGATTGCGCAACACATTATCTATAAAGACTTTGCACATGTAGAATAAAGATATTCTAGCTTTGATAGATTGACGTGTTTTAACTGCATGGTTTTCTTTGGTTCTTTTCAAAACAAATTTCTAGAAACTTAACATGAACAAATCAAAGTATTACTCTGGCTGAGTACTAGAAACGCTCTTTATACACACCTGCGTATAAACTTAGGTAGTTCATTGTCGACCTTCATTCTGAGGTTGATACTCTGAGGAGAGTCAGAACAAAAAAGCCTTGGATTTACTGATGGTTTGTGGCACCAGAAGGTTGTTCAGGAGTTACAGAGATTCGAACATTACCGACTTAAAGTATCCTGTATTACCTGGGAAATGAATTTTCATGTAACAACGAAGCAACATAAAATATTGGGACGCTTTTGAAAGGTCAAAAAATTGAGTGACCAGCTGTCCTTTAGCTTGGTCTTCAAATATGAAAAATCCAGGACAGCCTATCCGTTTGGTGTACACTTCCAGCGCAAGTCAGTAAAAAGAAGTTGACCAAAGCAGGCACTTTGAGGAATGCCATAAGTTACTTTTCTTATCCCAATCGATCTTATGTAGGGCTGCAATATTCGGGTAGAGCTTGAGAAAAACCAGAAAAATATTTTACCGCAAACTACGTGAGTCCGCTAAAGAGAGTGAGTCTAAGCATGAATTTCAAGATAACTTAAAAGGAGGCTATCTTGTTCTAGAGATCTATCTAAAGGCAAAGATATGCTGCATATAATGCACATTCTGAAAGAAACTGGAGTTTCAAAGATCGGGACATCTTAGCCAAAGATAACCTGAACATATGAATACGGGATATCTTATTAAAACGGGGTGTTTGCTAATCTGAATATACCTAAATAATGAGAATCTGGTACTGATTAACCAAGTTATTATATGCGGAACATGTGTGAATAGCCTCTGCTTTTACTGTTAATTTTGATGAAACTGAACAACCTTCAATATGAAAAATGAACAGATAATATGGAACTTTTGAAGCTAATGCAAGTATTTATTCATCAACAGATTACAGTACCACAAAAATAAGGATCTTTTACTGTTTAACCAAATTAATACAAGTAGATTATTGCACAATAATTAGGAGCAATGCTTGAAAAAGCTCTGATTTTGCCGTGATTCTTGATGAAACTGACAAGCCATCATAATGCAAAACAAAACATAATTCAGAATGTTTACAGCAAATGTGAGTATTTCTTCGTCAACATGTTGCACTCTACGACCGCGTATTTAAAGTTCAGTCATTAAAACAGGCCATTTATTTATAAAGAGCATTTGGCAAAATGATCAACACAAAAATGGAAAATTGTTTGCGCTTGAGATGAAGCAAAGCATGACAGGTGAAAACGCACGACTAGAAACAGGAGTTTTAAAGAGGCTATGCAGGAATGGGCCATCTACATAGTAGAAACGAAATTGGCAGTGTACGACTTTGACAATGGGTCTCTTGATAAAGTGCTGGCAATTCAAGAAAAGTGGTAAGAAAGACTCTCATCTTTGAAATAACAGCCTACAACGTTCAAAATACATACACAGCTATAATAAACGACGCGGACGAATCTTTGACAGGAACGTGAACACTTCCCAACCATCAAAACACATCATTGACCAAATTTTCATCCAAGATGGGCACTCTTACGATGAACTGCATCCTCCTAGCAACGGGAAGTTTGGTCATCGTACTCAACTGCTTTGAAGCAGTTTGCTTACTGAGAGTAACCAAAAGAAAGCCATTCGACAGCCTCCTTTTAAGTCTTTCTTTTGCTGATATTCTATCCGCAACGCCTACGGTTATATTTGTTGCGTTACGAATCGTGGGCATGTTAAAAGACCAAGACGGATTACTCCTATTGATAATCCTAATGGCATCAACTGGATTTTCGCACGATCACACTGCAGCTATCACGATAGAACGACTCTTGGCAGTAAAGCAGCCTCTGGCTCACTCCATAAGGATGCGAGGCAAATTTCAAGGCATCTTGATTACAGTTGTTTGGGTACTTGGTATTCTCAATGCAATAATGATAATATGGGTTTATAAGAACAGAAACTATACTCTTTTATTTTTGAAAGTAGGTTGCGGTAGTGTCATACCCCATAGCATTTTTTACACTGTTTCATACATCTCAATTTTTCGAGCAGCTAACGCACGAGAAGCTTTCATACATACCGAAAGGGAAGGGGCTCAACGCAGCCAAATAAAAGCTATTTGGGATGAAAGTGCACATAAGAAACAAAGAAATATGTTCATAACGTCGGTGATGCTTGTTTTCTCATTTGTCGTATGCTTATATCCAACATGCATTGATGTTCTACTAGCCAAAAGCATAAATGATTTATCAGATAAAGCACATATTTTCCTGCTCGTAAACTCGATATGCAACCCATTGATCTACTTCTACAAAGGCTATAGACAACGTCTTATTAATGCAAACAACAGGATGAAGCTTTGTAGGAATTGCTTTATATCTGAAGGCAATTAAATTACCAGCAAAACGAAGTCGAGTTGCAACTGGCAGATAGTTATGACAAAGTTTTTAAAAAACAAAGCACAAAGTTGCAAAAACGCAAGAATTGGGTATTATCCTTCTAGCTATTTTTGTTGTTGCAACAAATTCACTGTTTGTTGAGTGCGTTTGGTGTTAAAATTTAAAGTCCTTATTTCTATCTGCTTACACTTAACTGAATCTTATTAATCAAAAACCTGACCTGCCTGGGTTTTTATCAACATAGCAGAACATTTGCTGCCAAGATTCATTCAAGAGTCGAATTGTTCAAAACCAGCTTGGGATTTTCTTCACTAAGATTAAACCAAAACTTTAACAAGCAGAGCTTGAACAACTGAATGCACCTGCTCTTGATTGGTCAGAATCAGTCATATGTTGTCACTTGAAAGCAAAGAAAAAAGTATTGGGCAGCTGGCAATGTGAAAATTAACTGACCATTGGATGATGATTAAACTACCATTAATTAAGAAATATGGATTTCTTTTGAATACAAGCAGACTGTCGGGTTCAACAGAGCTAGAACAAAATACGCCTTTTCTGCAAGATCATTACTGGTCAGCAAACAGCAAAACTTTTTTAAAGCAACGAAATTTAGCGCCAAGTCAATCAATAATTAAGTTTTCAAACTCAGACAGTAGGGCTAGGCTTAGGCTCGAGTTTGAGAAGATTGGAGAACAACCAGCTGAAGCTGGCATACGAAGAAGCTAATCATCTGTGCTGAAGAACCGTTTTCGCTGACAGGAATGTTGACTGATGCTTTATTAATGCGATACAAACTGACTTCATTGTTTCATCGAGCAATAGGCTTATAATCAGGATTATTCAAGGTTGATTTAGATTTTGCTTCAAACCAATAATTGTCGCGAAAAATGTGTGCAAATGAAGCAGAGATCGTATTCATTGCAGGAGGTGTTCTTGGATTTACTCTCAACATCGTAGAAATAACGTTGATTTTGAGGTTAAAAAAGAAATTGAAGACATTTGAAAAATTCTTGCTGAGCTTATCAATAGCAGACGTGATTGTTGCAACAACTACTGTGATTTTCTGCGCTCTTAAAAAGGCCAACGTGCTATCCAATGATGAAGGAAACCTATTCATATACTTTTTACTGTCGACTGCAGACTTTCCTTTGATGCATATTTTTGCCATTACAGTAGACCGATTTTTAGCTGTGAAAAAGCCGCTGCAGCACCATCAGAGAATGCAAGGGAAGCTCCCAAGGATGTTAATTACTTTTTTGTGGACATTGAGTATTTTAAACGTAATAATTTCCATAGTGATAGCGACGAAGCTACATGACATAATTTTAATATTTGTCCAGATATATGGGTTGCTGCTGCTAGCTCTAGGCATGTTTTACGCAGTGGTGTATGCATACATGTTCAGAATTGTGCTTATTCGAAGAGCAAAACTGCAAAGTGACAACGCAATGCATCTTGAAATATGTTCTATGGGCCATATATTGTTCAAACGTGAATGCAAAAGGGAAAGACACATGATGGTAACATCTATTCTAGTGGTTGTAGCAAACATAATATGCACCTACCCAATCTTTATTGAGGTGCAAACTGTAAACGATGTCACGAGGGTATCGAGCGTTACGCAGCTTCTTTTACTAGCAAGTACAATATGCGATCCTTTGGTTTATTTCTACAAAGGCTTGAGAGAGCGTTTTAACGAAAGAATCAACCTGCAGATTCTTAAAATGGAAGAATTGACCGCTGCAAATCGCAAAGAGCATAAATATTTGAATTAGCTTAGCGTTCACAACGCAACATTCATTTTAAAATAATCTTATATACTTAATAAATGAACTTATACAAACACGTAATGGAAATTAAAATTAAGTGTAATGTTGCGAGAGCTGGCATTTAATTATTATTGCCTTAAATTCGTATCTTTCTGCTTATAACTGTTAGTGATGTTTAATTTTTTTTGCTTCGAGTAACCTAGGTAATTTTGGCTTCTAACCTGATATTTCTTTAAATGCTGCAAGGTCTATTCTGTGATGTAAGGTTAGGACATTGAGCTTGAGCTGGTGTGTGTTTGTCCATTACGGTGAAAGGGATCAGTGTCATCAACTACGTCACAATAGCGACTGACCTTAGTCATTTCTTGCTTCAGCTGCCATATAACGATGCACAAATGCTTTGTATTTTGCAGCCTCTCACGTGGTTTGTTAAAAACTAAACATTTCAAGAAAAAAAGCAAACCATGCAAAACTGGTATGAAAATCGATAGCAAAAATACCCTAAACACAGTCGTATAGGCTTATCAATTCCTGTAAAACAGGTATATGTGTAATAATGCAATCACCCTGAGTGTACACAGTTGTTAAGTGCCCCTATTCCTGCAGTTTCTGATGAAAGGGCACAAAACTGTACTTTCTGGCAAAAATCACTTTAATTTCAGATGCCATCTTTACAGATTGACGCAAGAATCAATCTATAATTAATACAAAATCTCAAGAAACAAACGAGAATAAGTTATAAGAGTTGCAAAGTACTTACTCTTTGATGATTGGGGGCAAATCTTTTACTAGATCAGAACATCTGAACCACTTCTCAAAAAGTACAGTCACCCCATCTTCACAGTAATATCTAATGGGGTAAGAGAAAAATGTCACATCAAAGCATCTTTGGAAGATTATCATCATATCCTTCTATACTGTTTTGAAAGGCAAGGCTTCGACACTGCTATTCCTGAGCAAAAGGCTATGATAATATGGATTTCCTGCACTACAGCAAGGAAAATATAGTTATAAATTTTCACGCATGACGCATCAAAAGATGATCAAGAGAGTAAGATTGTAAGATTTGATTGGTTGACTTCAAAGTAGAAAAAAGTGGGACTTGATTGGTTGACTTCATGGTAAGATAGTACAATTCTAATTGATGACTTTACGGTAAGATAGCAAGATTTGATTGGTTGACTTCATGGTAAGATAGTACAATTCTAATTGATGACTTTACGGTAAGATAGCAAGATTTGATTGGTTGACTTCATGGTAAGATAGTACAATTCTAATTGATGACTTTACGGTAAGATAGTAAGATTTGATTGGTTGACTTCACGGTAAGATGTTACAATTTGTTTTCAGCAATCAAACTGTTGTTCGACTATTCTGCTTCTAAAAGTTTCCTTTAAAATGAAATGGTTTCTGAATATGAAAATAATTTTAAGATTAGTGGCGTGATTGTTTTGGTACACTCCACAGCCATATTAATTCCGCAACAAACTCTTATTTAAATGTACGCTATTTTCATTTTGACACTCTTGACATGTTGAATTAGCAACATTCTGTTTAGACGATCAAATATATTGAAAAAGTAAGCCATTGTTTGGGTGCCTAACTTAGCTAGTCAATTTTCTTAAAACAATTCTATATAAAAATAAAGTATCATATTTTTCATTTGCAAAGTTCATATACCTTAGTCCATCTGATTCTTCTTCCAGTCTTTCTCTCTCTATAACCTTGCAAAATATGCGGGAGTAAAAATCCAAGTCCATTATGCAAACTGAACATAACTTAAAACATGCATTGATTTGAGACAATTAGCATTGGAATTTAACTATTTAACACGTCCAGACGTAGCAAACAGCATTCTAAGTTGTCGTTTAACTTATTCTTGCAAAGTGCAATGAATACAGAGTGTAACGAGAATTTGTAAGTAGGCCTTTTCTCATTTACAATAAAATTCTACAGGGTTTAAACATTATGCAAGCCTTCATAAGAAAGATTGAAATCTTTCGAGCGTAATTCATCTTTTGTAAACACAACTCTCAAGTTGAAAAGTTATTTAAACTCTCACCAAGCCAATAGTATTTTCCATTCTTTGCGGGGAATGTGGAATCCTGCTTGGCAAAACAAATACCTAAAAGTTGAAATAAAATATAGATATTTCTAAAAAGCAACTTTCTAATAACATCAATGTTGGGAAGATATTGTATGAATCATTTGCCATTTTAATCATGATTCCCTTCGCTCATTACAGCCATGTCCCTTCGCTCAATTTTCGATTGCTTCTCTTTCCTGTTCTTTTTTGAGAATAACTTTGGACCTTCAATTGTAAGATGAGCTTAGAACTAGTAAGTGAATTGAAAATTCGGCCATAGTATTACAAAGGGGACATAAACAAGTCAAAGAACATATACAATCATTATACCAGTGAAAAGGTCAAGGCGTTGTAATGAATGATTTAGAGAAATCGAATTTTATGTTACACATTACATTATACATAAAAGAAACCAGTTACCTGGCCCTCTTTAATGATAATGTCCTTTGGCTGCCCTCTCTCTTTTATTTTCAGACACATATCACCTTTCAGCATGTAAAAGAGCTACAGGAGGACAAAAACGGACCAGATTAAAATCGACAACTAATTTGACGACAAAATCTAACGTAATGAAGTCCAAATGAGACAGGAAAGATCATTTTAAATGATTCTAATCTATTATGAGGAATGTGACGATTGGGTTGAGATTGGTCTAAAGGTAGGGGTCTAGGAGATTTGCCTGTAACTTTTCAAGATGCACACCGTTAAACTAAGTATTACTTAGTCTGAACCAAGATTATTTTCTGCAGATCCTCAGAGCAAGTAATTCATTTTTCTTTGCAATTCACAAAAATTACCTTGACCCAGCCACTTAATGAATTCTTGTCTTAAGCTCTTTTTCTCTAGGTGCACAGCCAAAAGCAGATATTCATAAAAACAGGAAACTCTAAGCTGCATTTTTTAAGTCGTTAGCATCAATATTTCTGATAGCATGCCACATTCTCATTATACTTGATTGGATTGCCCGTCCATTTTTCGTATTTTTCAGCAAATTTTGCTTCTATTCGTTAAAAAGCTATTTTTAGAAGTAACGAAATAAGGCAATAATCAATCATACAATCTATTTGATGCTACGATAACAAATGTTAACAACTGCAAAAAGGTACACCTCTTCTCCTTCCTCTATATGATAATCCTTTCTTGAATTTGGCCCACCAACAAACATAACTTTCAGCTGGCCTTTCCCATACCTGCATACAGAGTAACAAAACATTAGATAATCGAGGCTTTTAGTAGCTGAATATAACTGTTACGAGGAAAAAAAGCTGCTCCTTCAACAGTAGACAACTATTTTCGTGAGTTTTTTATAAGACTCAAAGGCCAGATTAGAAAAAAAAGCGTGTAAGGTGTTTTTAATTTGTCACATTATTGAAGAGAGGATTAGAGCAAAGAGCTTAGCCCATAAGAAGTTGTGTTGAGTTTTTGTAAATGAAGTCCTCTAGCAGATGAAAAACGAGTCGACTGTGCACAATTTCAATTCAATGAAAAAGATATGTGTCATCCGCGAAATGATGTGCGAGTGGTTTTTGAGTAGCGGGTCTTTAATCATTTATAAAAATCAGAAGTAAAAACGACCTTAGTATAGATCCTTGTGGTACACCACACAATATTGTCATAATATTTGAATCGGTGGAGTTAATTTGTACCTTTTTCTATCAGTTACAATGCCTGCCAAAAGTACTTGGAACAACCAGCAATTTGCATTGCATTTCACACCTATTATTCCTTTTCCGAAAAAAATTACTACTTTCGCCCCTTCCCCCTAGAACAATGTTAATAATTTAGAGAAATATCATAAAAGAAGCGCAAAAGAAAGTGCTTCCTAATATCCTTACCCGTTTCATAGTAAACCAACATTGTTCTGTGGGGGAGAGGCGGATGATTGATTTTGACCTTGGAAAATGACGTCAGTGTCCCAAGACTTTTGGCAGGCCTTGGTATATTTTAAATCAAAGATGAGCAGGTCCTCTTGTTCCGCAGTGGTAAAGCTTGTCGAGTACTATTTTGTAATTGACAGTGTCAAAAGCTTTTTGAATATCAATAACTACCCGACCGACATTTGTTTTATTGTCCAAGGGTTTTTATTTTATTTTCAACCATGTTTACAAGTGCATGGTTAGTGGAGGCTCCTTTTTTAAAAACCAAATTGAAGGTCATAAACAGTATGAAGTCATAGACTCTATTGAACATTATTCTTTCAAAATTTTTACTTATGTTAGAAAGTAGTGAGATTGGTTGGTAGTTACTATATTTTTTATGGTCATTCTTTCTAAAAGTGGGCAGACTCTTGCTTTTTTAAGTAACAATAGAAAATGACCTATGTGAAGCGAATTTGAAATTAAAATCTGGAGAGTCAACATTATCTTCTAAAACGTTGTTTTGAAAGCTGGAAGTTCCACATGATTTGTTCACTTGAATTTTGTATAGGTGCAAATGAATTGTATATAAATTTACATCAGTTATGAAAATTGAGTTATGACTAGATGGATCTAAAAAATTTAAATAGGAACATGTTGGATTCTTGATATCTTTATTTAGATTGGGCCGTACATTAACAAAAAATCATTCATTGCATTTGCTGTCTTTATCATCACTAAGAAAACTATTATTATAGTTGATGCTGACAGGAGTAGTTTATTTAATGATTTTGATATATTTATAATTTTCTTATGCCTGACCATATTTTACAAGCATTTTCAGCATTAACACTGAAGTACTCAGTGTAATAGTCTTTCTTGCTTTCTCTTTGTAATGTAAAGTAGCAATTTCTGTAAGATTGATACTGTTTATGGAGATATTTCTTAACATCATTGGGAAACTTCTGTTATAAAAGATTTTTACAATTTGTCTCTTGTATCTTTAGATTTTAGAATACTTTTTGCTAGCCATGGGCTCATTGAAATTCAAAATCATTTTCGATTGAGTAAATTGATAGGTCCCATTACATTTAATATATCAGCAACAGTAGAGTAGAAGATATTGAATGCTTCTTCTATGGTAGTGTCTGCTAGGGTTGTGACCCAGTCTAATTTTTCCTAGCTCCTCCATAAATTCTTGGTTGTTAAAGTTTCTATAATCACGTTTCTATAACATTTTGTATAAAACGAGTCGTTCCATGTGCGTGAATTGAGGAATATGGTCTGAAATCAATGTGGTTTTATTTCCAGAAGTGCAATTATGTTCTAATGTTGATGAAAACATTATTGGTTAGTGTTTTTAATGGCTAGTAACACAAGTTGGTTGTAGTATGAGAGGCTGAAAAAGTGCTGAAGACAAAGTGCTGAAGAAGTCTGCAGTAGCAGCATCTGATTCATAGTTTAATAATGAAACTGATAGAACTGGCAGGTTCAAAGGTAGCCAAGAGTCCAAAATGGTACAACTCTAGCACTACATTTCAACTTAAACATGACTTCAGAATTAAAGGGAAATGGTGCAAATTACAAAGCATATTTAAATATTTCATCTGGCTAACACAAAACTGGCAAAGAAAGACTATTTTTGAAGCATTTCTTTTATACCAAAGAACTTATAAAAACAAAAAACTTTTAAAATCTAATGACGTATAAAAATTTATCAGTCTATCTTACCATCAATTGGGAATAATTTTATTTCACAACAGTGTATCAATTTGATTTGCCCTTGCTTTAATATTTCCTGTTTTGTGGGATTATTAATATTGTAAGAACTATGGTCCATGACATAAAAATTGAAAAGAACAAGTCCAACATTCTAGAAAGGTGACAAGTTTCGTTGAATTTTGATCACTTTTAAAAATCACTTTTGATTCATTGCTCATTTTTTAGCTAATTTCTCTTTCAGCTTTAATTGGCACATTTTCCAAAGACTTCAATTAGTGAATAATCAAATTTCTATAATATCTTTATTTGGTTTATTTGGTAAGAGCTCAATTGATGGCAAACATTAGAGGCAGAAGTTACATTGATTGACATAGGAAACATATGGGGGCTAAGAAGGCTGCAGCCCCGCTAACCAGACAAAATTCTTGCATTTCTGGTTCCATTTGCACAGTGGGCCCAGACAAGGTAGTTTGGCAAAAGGCACTTTTCCCAAATGTTTAACTGTTGAAATTTCCAAAAAAACACAATACTTAGTAAAAAAAACAGTGGCAGTTGGTGGGGTAATTTTTTGGTGGGGTTGATGATGTACTATTTGAAATCTAAAGCCATAGACACAGAACACCAAGAATGATAAATAGCCTTTCAATTATTTATTACCTCTAATAAAAAAGGCTGTCATCATTTTGAAAGTTTTGATTGAAAAAAGCAAGTGACAGACCATTAATTATGTATAATTAGCAAAGTAATAAACTTTGTGAAATGTTGGCATGCTCAACTTTATTAATTTAAGTCTGCTGGGCCGTTTCTCTCTTCGTAAAAATGTGATGTCCATAAAAACATAGACAACTTGAATATGACCAACCCGTAGGCGACATCCTTTTTATTCCATATCATGGCATAAAAAGTTGTGTCGCTCAGTTGTCTGCCTCAAGATCACCAAACCTTTCCAAAGATAAATTTGAGATTTATAAACGTAAATTAAATCAACGTTCATTAATAATTTAGCACTGTTCATTGATTTGGTTGCTTTACACTTGCATTACATTCCCTTACTCTTGAATTGCGTAATAAAAAAATAAACAAACGTTTAATAAGCGCCTAAAAATTAATAGGCCTTCAAATAGCATTTTGTGATAACTTTTGATAGCACCCCCTTTTCTTTCGTTCTCTATTTTCTTTTCTTTTTATATCAATTTTTATTTTTTACTAAGTTATTTCTCCGTGTCCTTCAGTATTTAATTTTTTCTTGCTGACAATTTCATGTAAAATGTGGTTTTTAGATTTTCCAATCGTTTATATTAGCACTATCGTATCACTTGTAATTATTTAAAATATACTGATAATGAAATGTTGAAGTTGAAGTTGAAGTACACGCCAGAAAACATGTAACTTTGAATTCATTTAAAAATAATTTTTCTGCACTCACATAAGTTGATTACAAACTGGGGGTTTAAAAGAGCTTTTGTTGTCTTCAACCCATGTGGACATGTTGTAAACATCTTGCGATGACATATGTTTCTCGTTGGCCATGCTTTTGGAATAACAAGGCTCCTTTTGTAAATTTCCAGGCACTTTTCAGGGAACGACCTATTTAAAATGCTGTTGCTTTACTGTTTACTACAGGGCGGCAGGCACGCGGCGCCGCGGCGGGGCATTCTTACTAGCTGCGAAATGTTTGTAACAGTAAGCCAAAAGCCATTCGACCCGAGCCTGCCGGAGGTCGTTTTCATCCTAAGTTACACTTTTTTAATAAAGAGCTACAGGGCCTCCCCAATTTCTGCTAAATGAAAGATTATTATCATCTATAAACCTGAGGATTACAACAATTACATTGAACCAAAGTCCACAAGTAAAACATTGCTAGCAAAGGCTAGTGGCTAGAGGGGGTAAGAGGAAATTTACATTGCTGGTCCCTCCAGTTTAGGGTCAGTGGCGCGGGCCCTGAGCCACCAAGCAATGTTTCATTTTCATTTTCAATTTTTTTCATTTTAAAATAATTTAGGGAGGGTTGCCCTTCAGCAAATGCTGTTTTACTAGGGGCTCTCCATGCAGATATAGGAGCCAGGGGTATTGGGGGCAAGTGTCCCCCAATTTTTACAAATGTTGAAAAAGTACCCTAACATTTTTAAAAAGTGTCCTAAAAATTTTGCTAACTGAAGAAAAAACTTTGTGCCTTAGTAAAAGAACAGAGCGTGCATGTTTCATTTGTTATGAAACAAATAATATTTTCTCACATTCTATGTTACCTTGCCAGAACCCCCCTTTCTCTGTCCGTGTCTGTTGGCAGTGGATTTTGCAGAAATACGCACTTCTTTATATGAATACCTAGTTTTTTAATGGGCCAACAAACATTTTTTTATTTTGAGCCAAAGATTTTTCTTAAACGACACAATGTGTAATTGGGTTGCATTATAGAGGTCATATTTCAAATAGCTGAGAACATGATGACATGATGGCTCAGGAACATGATAATTGAAAAAAGTATGATGTAAAAACTAACTTTTCAATTTACTTAAAAAATTTTGCCTTACAAAACATAAGAAGACAACTGTTTCTTTATCAATTTTAGAAAATAACCTTTTATAAAATTCACTTAGGAAAATTTTTCACCCTAGAGTGTGGCTCTTAGAATCAAGGTTATGTTTAAGTGCCCTTAAACCCCTGTGCCTCCCCTACCTTTTAATTGGGTCCTACCTTTCAAATGCTGCAATGCTCTTTGCCTTCCCCAGCTAACTCGAAAGGAGAAGACTGTTAATATCTTCATTTTGAGATTTCTGTGAAAAACTTATAACCTGGTTGTCACTTTAAACTTCTCTTTCCCAGTCTCTTTTAAAGAAATTTTATAGCAAGTCAGTGTTAGCTAGAAGTTTTGTTTTGACAGATAAGGAAATGTTATTACTTTTGTTACTTCAATAACGTATTACTGATTATTCAATGGCTAGAGTGTGGCTCTTAGAATCAAGGTTATGTTTAAGTGCCCTTAAACCCCTGTGCCTCCCCTACCTTTTAATTGGGTCCTACCTTTCAAATGCTGCAATGCTCTTTGCCTTCCCCAGCTAACTCGAAAGGAGAAGACTGTTAATATCTTCATTTTGAGATTTCTGTGAAAAACTTATAACCTGGTTGTCACTTTAAACTTCTCTTTCCCAGTCTCTTTTAAAGAAATTTTATAGCAAGTCAGTGTTAGCTAGAAGTTTTGTTTTGACAGATAAGGAAATGTTATTACTTTTGTTACTTCAATAACGTATTACTGATTATTCAATGGCTCTTTGTCTTGAAAGCTCAACTAAACAGTTTCAAAAGTTCAGCTTTGTGAAGAGTTTCAAAAGAGCTTTACATTAATCGCACGCTTTAGATGTTTAGGTTCTACTTTCATGCCTCGAAACCCTGTGAAGCTCCATTTGAATGCACACCCCTGGAAGTATACAAATTGGTAATCAATCAAGAAAAGCAGAACAGGTTGACAATCAATCATGTCCATTTTTATTCTAAAGATTGCAAGCATATATGAGATCAGTGCCATTAACTATTGATGATTCTTGCAAATCTGTTTTTTTTAAGAACAAGTGTCTCCCTCATTAAATCAACAGAGAAATTTTTAGAATTTCATTTTTCTACATAAATCTAGATTAACAGAAACCTCTTTGGGAAAACCGAATATGGCATTTAATGTCATACTCATTGTTTTGACAATTTTCACTAGAAAGCCCTAGCTGCTATCTCATACTTGATGGGAAAGTTGCTGCCTTTTAACGAAGGTATACTCCTATACATGCAACAATTTAAAAGCTTTGAAACTTTGAAAGCAATATCACAGTTAAACATATGGTAACCCCCTTTTTTCAACCACCCTGCTTTTCTATATGACCCATTTAAGAATGAAGTTAATACCCATTATTTCATTGTCTCCTCTTTCCTACCCAGGGTGCCACAGACCCAAATATTAATTAAGAAGTAATGGGAGTAAGAAAGAGGGTCCTTTTAACTTGCATCTCCTCCCTGTTTCTGATCTTTATTTTAGGAGACTTTTTTGGCAAGCAGAGAACAAAAAATTTGCTAACAAATAATTTTTGAGACTGCTCTTAAAAGGAACAACCATCATAGATTTTTTCTAATAAAAGAAAACACAAAGCAAGCTAAACATCTCAATTAAACTTCACACCATACTGTATACATAGTCTTTTCAGTTCACATTTCTTACAGAGCTGTTCTAATTAAGGTTAATCTATAGATGAACTTTTTCCACCCTCGACCATGATTCAAGAGCATATCTCGTTACATTGAATATGCTCATGATGGTTCCAGACAATGCTTCTTCATCATTACAAAATGTATCAGTCTCATCAAGTTCGGTTGAAGCTTCAAGACTATCAATCTCAGCACCACCAGCAGCAATCACTAGTGGGGGTGATCTGAATGCATTACCTATGAGGCAGAGTGATTTTATCTAGATCAAAGCATAAACTTTTGTCTGTTTAACAAGAATGCTTGAAGCAATTGACGGCGGTGAAGAAGCAAGTTTGGCAATTAAACTACAAATTTCTTCCTGATAAGCTTCCTATACAATGTTGGTAGCATTTAAATGTTAACAATATCATTAACCAAACAAATTTAATTCAGACATTCTGGCAATAAATTGTCAATATGGTTTTTCAAGGCCAACACCAGCTGACAAAATATTATTTAAAATGGGATGTGAGAAATTAATCAAAATTATCAACTAGCATAGGCAAAAATCAAATTCTAACTAGCATAAGCTTCATGCAACAGATTGGATACAAGAGTCAAATACGTGTATTTTTATTTGGAAACTTGATCGCAAACCCCAACATTTCAAATTCTGGTCGAGAAAAGGAGAAAACATGAAATTGCCCTAAGTACCCAAATAAACTCATTAGGCCTTGCTTTTCATTTGATTTTCATATTTTCCTCAGTCTAGAAGTTAAGATATGGCAATTATTTGAACCACTAATTGTCCCATTCAAGGCAAATTTTTCAATTTTACAATTACTCTTAATGAACATTACCAACAGATAGGAATATAAAAACAGAATTTCTTCCATAGGAAGAGATGTCAAGAACACAGAACACCCTATAACCTTGCAAATGATCATACTTATGGCTATGGCTGGTTCAAAGTTGATTTTAGCCAGGAAACAGCTGCTTCTTTCTATACTCAAGGCAGCCAACCTTAGAAAAAAAGTACCACCATAATGTGATAATTGAAGTGACAATACATCACACCTATATCAAATACAGTAATATGAAGCTATATCATACAGTTGCTTTAATATAAAGAAATATAAGGGAGCTTGATAATAAGAAAACAGGGAAGACTTTTCTGACATTGAGTTGAATGTAAAGTTATAACATCTAAATGTTCAATTAACCTTGCTATGAGTATTTTTAATAGTAAAATTAGACTGAAAACCAACAATCACAATCTTCCTGTACCACTGTTTTAGTGGTAGCTGAAAACTGTTGTGCATATGATAAATACCCATAATACACAAACAAACGGTCAGTCCTGTTTATCTGTTGTATCTTTCTCTAAACTGCTTATGCAAAAAATCCACATTTCTGTAATATATACCAGAAACCAAATTATCTGAAATTGTATTGAACAATGTTGAACAAAACATAGTTTGACTATTTTGAATTTTTGTCATTATCAAATTTAAAGGCTACTGTGTGACAAATGTCTTTAAATGTAACAATGATAAAGATCCAGATCGATTAGAAAAATAACAAAACACATTACATTAAGATAGCACAGATTATGACAACTCACATTTTATTTGAACTACTCCAACGCTTTGTTGACTGATTCCTTAACATTTGTTGCATACATCTTGACCCTAAAAAATTTGTACTATTTTATAGCCCACCAAGCAAACAGCTTTTATCAATATTCATAATAATTTTAATTTCTAGAGATAAAACACATACTTAGTATCTTACAAATATACCACAGTATGATACTGATACACTCTTTGATATAAATTATTGTCTTTTAGCTTATATGAGAAGCTCTGATTGTGGTTATTGAAAAGCAAAAAAGTGGTAAAAAGCAAAAATATTGATAAAATCTTCTATGCTAATCAACTGATAACCATACACAGGCATAAAAGAAAAATATTAACTGAATACATACACTTTGAAGATGTAGCTGATATTCCTGGCTGGATAAAATATAATCATCATATTTTAAAAAGATAAAAAATGCACTTAGTCATTATAAACAAATTGAAGCTCTATAAAATATTTAAAAAATTGAATGAAAAATCTTTGAATAGCACCTAACTTGAATGGAAATTAAGGTTCATGGTATCATTTTTTAGTGTAACCAGAGGGCACTCGAGAATAAAGCTTGGTTCACACGTGTGAAGCAAGAGGTGAAGAAAGCAAAGTAGGCATGCACAGTTAAAACGTTTTGGACGAAGCAAGGAATGAAGCAAAATGTGAAGTAGGCCATTCACATGTGCAAGCCAAATAAATCAAATCTCATGTGAAAGTAGAAGGTTCCTCAATCTCCTTCAGACGAATCATACAAAAAACAATGATGTGGTCTGTAATAGAAACAAAATTGGATACAGAAGTTTTACCTTCATGAAGATACTTGATACTAGAATGTAGAATATGTAAAGCAGCTACAGACTATAGACAAAAGCAGTTACAGACAAAAGGGAAAGAAGCTCACAGTTTCAGAAGTAGTTTTTTTGTTCCTATCCCTGAAAATCTTGTCAGATACTTATTGTAAAGAACAAGGTATTTCCTTACAGCTTCTGCAAGTTTTTCTTCCAACACGTTATATTTGTTGCAGGCAAATGATATTTTTACCATGTGACTCTGTATTCAATCGATAATGTACACACTGCTTCAACATTCACACTACAAATTTATTAAGCAAGCATGGCGCAAAAGTGAAGCAGATGCAGCAGTGAAGCAGGGTTATCAAATCTTTTTGATATTCTTGCTTCAACACATGCTTCATGCTTCGCATTTGCTTCAATTGCTTCATGCATGTTCACATATCATTTGCTACTGCTTCTAAGCCTGCTTCTGTTTCAGCTCTTGCTTCGCACGAGTAAACCAGGCTTAAGCTAGGGTCCGACAAAGGTTGGAGAGTTTGCATATTGTGCATGGAAATGAAAAATTGTGAAAAGCATGCACCGCTGTTTATAAGTCTGCTGTCCCTGTGAAAAATATCAAGTTCACTATTCTAGATACAGTTCAAAATCTGACTTGCAGTATTATTCTTCTATTATTGCAGTAGTACTTTTAAAATTTGACAATCAATATTTAATTTTTTCAAATTCAATAAGATTCCTTAGAGCTTGATCAACTTCACAAATATAACACACCAAATTTCCTTTTTGCACATGTTAAGAATTGTTGCCCTGAGATCATTCTAATAGAAGACGTTTTGTAATGAGTTCCACATCCAGTCCTTTTCGTTTAGCGCGTGCGATCGCACCCGCAAACGCCTGCACACGCGCAAGTTAAATTGCGCGTGCTTTTGACCACACGCGCAAACAGGTGTTTTTGCAGTTTTCAGTTAAAGGGCCTCTCCAGCCAAATTTTGCACTTGCATTTTATTGGCAATTTTTATAAAGAAGTTGAGCCTGCTGATCACGAATTCGTTATTTGTTTTTCGATATTTTTTTACAGTTTGTGAGATATAAGCTCTTGCATTTCGATAATTTAATTGAATTAACCGACAAAAATTTTTGGTTTGGTGACACTGTGGCGCAATTTTGACGTCACAGTGTATTTCGGATAGTCTCGCCTCAAACCGAATCGAACGACGGCGATTCGCAAATTGAACACTGCAAAGCTTTAGTTTGAGCATTTCAGACACCATGTCTGAAAAGCCTTTAGTTTTGTTCATCGTTCCTGGAGAACCAATTGAGTGACAATTTCGATGTAATATACGCGAGGGAAGAGCTGGTTCGGTGGAAGATATACAAAATTCATGGCGAACGAGAGCCGCACATTGTGACGTCAGAATGTCACCAAACTGATTCGGCTTTTGTCGTTTTTTTTCTCGGAAAGGTGCAACTGTAAAGCCTTACAACTTCTAAACTAATTGGAATTTTTCAAAAACAATGACTTTGTCATAATACACGCACCAGATGCTAACTTTTAAGTCATTAAAAAAAATTTTTTTTGCTGGAGAGGCCCTTTAACATCAATTTCCCATGGTCTCACGATTGTTTATCCTTTCCCTTGTTACTTGATTCACACTTTTGACCACAATATGATTTTTCCAATTTTTGGAAGTGATGTTTGGCTTTTTACTGAGTGCTCCATTCAACTTAGCATCTCGTCTTTCAGCTAAGTCGCCATTAGCATGTTAAGTGTAATAACTGATTTCCTGTCAAAACGTAATTAGGCCCTGAAAGCAAGTAGCTGTTGGAAACAATTTTTACTTGCTCTTGTAACTTTGGAGAGTGACGACGACTTTTAAAAGATGGCTGCTAAGGGAAACAACATCTGTTATGTATTGATTAATTTTGAGTTTTGCTCTTGCACGTATTCGAGTGGCTTTTTCCTTCTTGCTCCTTTTACCAATTTTATCAGGTTTGTACTTCAAATTTTCTTACAAGTGCGATCGCACGCGCAAATTTGTTTACATGTGCGATTTGCCACACACGCGTAATTTTGCTCACGAAAAGGACTGCACATCGTAATATCAAATCCTCTGTTCACAATAACTCAACTAACTACCAACAGCAAAACATGCAAACATACCTAAACAAGTCTTTGCTAAGAAATCTATTGTGTAAAATAAACAATGCGGGTTCACACTTTGTGTGAAAAGAACTACAAGATGACATTGTTTTGTTCATTGTTTAGCTAAAGATTGTATTCTTAACAGCACATTTGCAAATGGGCAAGCCAGGTCTTCAACTGTGTATTATCTGAATTTTCTAACCCAGGGCTTGACACTTAATGATAGAAAAGATTTGGTGAGAATCTTCCACTTTTACAGACTGGGCCCAGCTGGGCTAATCTTTTGTATCAAACCAACGGCAGTCAGAATAACAACATCAATTTGGAAAGCTTATGACTCTAGGAATCCAACTTGAGAAACGAGCTATATTCATTTATCCAGTTAAAAATAGCTCACAACTCCATGCAACTATGCCTATCATTATTATGTAACTTATCACGTTGTTAGTCTTGTGCATTCGATCGAGAAAAGGGGGACCGAAAAAGGCAAAATAAATAACAGTGTATAACAATAGGTTTAGCGCATTTGGAAACAGAAATTTCACTATGCATATCTGTCTTATCTTATGTACTATGCAGTAATAATAGGCAAAGCTGATAAGATGTCAGTCGTGTATAATAGGTCAGAACCTAATGGACCCGTTTCAAACATCACAAGAGAAAATTGATGACATATTTAAGAAAATACATTTAAGACTTAAGATACAATCTTTTTCTGTGTTTTATAACGTTCGTATCTCTCATGAATATAAGAGCTTGCTACCTGAAGCATATTCCCTCCCCGGCCAGGCGCAGCAGACGAAACATTTCAGTCAACGACAGATTATGCTAGCTCCAAGGTAAAATTTAACCCCAATAATTTGATAAGATATTTACGACTTTACGTCTAGAAGAACTTCAACCTCATAAGTAAAATGTTTTTACCTTTGTGCGACAGAACCTTGCACCGCTTGCAAACGCAGATGAAAATGTTCTCGAGGCCATTTTGATTTTAGAAGTAAAAGCATGGGACTGAAACCTCGTAATCACCTCGTTGTCTGGATACCGAGGCTGCGTTCCAAGAACACATTTTTTTCACCATAGAGATGGCTTTTGCTGCGGCTCGATTATTTTGTTTTTGGATAATTTGAGGTTAGAGCTTAGATTCTTTATCTTAGGACATTTACTAGTAATTTTTCATAATACTTCAAACAGGACGGTTAATTGGATGATAATACTGCTCTGGTCTGCTAACATGAGTGTGTTAAGTTTTAAAAACTTTGTTTTTCTTCCAATTTTATGTCTGAGATAGGCATGTTCTTGCTTTGCAATTACAGTATAATCCGGTTATAACGTATTTTAAGGGACCAGTGTATTAGGTACGTTATATCCGAAGTACGTTGTAACGAGGGTAAGTAAAAATTGACTAAAACCAAGCACATTTTTTGCCGGGACCAAGCACACCAGTACGTTATATCCGAAAGTACGTAATAACCGAGTACGTTATAACGGGATTCTACTGTATCTTTATAGAAAATTCAGCCTAGGTGTTCTCATATGGTTTTTTTATATAAATACAACAACAGCAGTGTGAATTAATATGGGATGCAGAGTAGACATCAGAAAGTAAAAATTTGACAGAATAAACTCACTTTAATCAACGCATCTGAAAAGTTTATCGACATCCGACAAGTGAGGAAATATCCATAATTCATTACTGACTAAATATGTCACATAAATACTTGCTAAAATAATTAATGATTCGTAGAAAGATTTTACATTTTGCTGCGTGACAAAATACTCAATTGCCATCTTTCTATCCACAGATAAATAACGCTTGAAATTGCAACAAAAGATATAGCATTTCAAGGATAAATAGCAATTAAAGGATAACTTTTCCTTAAATTTCATAAATAGATACGTTACTTTAGCATTAAACCTTGCGAGTTTTAGTCCTATGAATCTTGTTGAAACATCAAGTCAGAGATACTCATTACAACGTCAAGTAAAAGAAACAAATTTGTTTTTGAGATCTATAACGAAAAATATTTCGCTCATTGGGATATGATTTCTACATCGGGTCCCTTTTTGAATAGGTAAAGATCAAGCAAAAGAAAGGCTTGGCAGGAACATTCCAGTAAATTATTGCATTGACCAATAATATAAAATTGAGGCCCATTTTTTTCAAAACCTATCATTTTATGAAAAATTTATCTTACTTTCAAGTTAAATTTAATAGAAGTATATCATACCGGAAAATAGCATCTAAAGCAATAAAATTTAAGAAACGACGAGGACGAGAGATAACATCTACAAATCTAACACTTGAAATAAATTAGGAACAAACGCTTGAATCGAAATATCTTTAAATAAATATAAACAAATACTTCCTCATAAATAAATCTCTTGGTTACAAGAGGTCTACAAGAAATGTCAAGTGAAAATAATGATGTAACGCATAACGGGAAATTGTCTTTTAGGCTCTAAAAAGTAACCATACAGACAAACGGCATAATCGATTCTCAGCCAGCGTATTTTCCACGTCACTTAAATGCCTTAATGGTCATAAAAAACTTTTAAAAATTTTTCTACGTCATACAGTTGTATTTTGGTTCAGCTGGATAGAAATATTTCAAAATAGTGTGTAATTTTGCTACAAAGCAACTTTTTTCATAAACATTCCAATTAAAGAGTGGCACGGAGAAAGAAAGGAGTGTTTACTGTCCTTCTTACAGGACTACGGGACTTTTCTAGTTGGATGTAAGCCTAGATACTGTCCAAATATCGTCCGTGGGTACTGTTCAAATTTTCTACACACAGTTCAAGTATCCTAATATTGAGTAAATTTTTTTTGAGCAAACGTAACTTTAAAACACAATTTCAATCTTGACAACAGTTAAACAATTAAATAGTTATATGCAATATTTATTTAAATATCAGTGCTAACGATAAATAATAATATTACTTAGAATTAAGTCTCAATGTGGTGCAACACTGCGTAAAACTATTCACAAGTTAAAATGTAATTATGAATGAATACTGATATATAATTGGCTGAAAACTAGGTAAAACGCTTTTAAATGGCACAAATAACTTAAAAGAGGATGTAACGATGATAGGGATAAACTAGGAACAATTATTCGTCCCATCACCCTATGGTGATGCAAGAGTACTTTAAAACGGAAATTCATAAGCATAGAAAACTAACGTCTCTATACTTTCCTTAATCCTTCACTAATTCCAGCATGCAGGTAACTGCAGTGCCAACGTTGTTGTATTAATTTGATTTTTAGAAAGCAAGATAGATTCTTAAGCTCACAGAGTTTTTATGGTAAAAATATAAATAATTGGAATTAAATAAATAGCATGGCGTCAGGGAAAACAAGCCAGACGTGAAATGAGCCCAACTACCAAGTAGAATTTCATCACTACGAGGTTAAAATAAAATGGCTAAAAGAGGCTTCGACTGTTCCTCGGGCGTATATCAGTACTAAGAATTGCATTTGAATAACGTGGTATGACTACTTCCTGACAAATAAATTTCATGCGAGAGTGGGGACTCCTGAGACGAAGAGTAGAGACGAATTGCCTATTAAACAAGCACGTGAATCCATAATTATTGCTCATCGATGAATGATTGATTATATTATTTTTTATAAATAATCTGATTCTCTCAAGATTACAGTGGCGTCAAGACTCGTGAGTGAAATATGGAAGCAAAATTAATAAGAATCTTTTAGTCGATATGCCATTATTATAGTTAACATTGGTTCACAGGAAACATGAACATTTATATTCACTATGAAAACTATACTTTATATATTTAAGTGCGTAAAACTATAGAATTAGTTTGGACTTTCTTTCAATAATGACTTTACGCTATGCAATAAATAAGCAGAAATCTTAAGTAAATTTCCAATAAATAATTTATTTAATTCTTACCATATCTCGAGGTGGTGTGTGTATGTCTAATACTGAGTATAGTGCTCTTCGACTGGTATGACATGTGGATGGTGTACATTATCGTAGCTGCTTTCTATAGCAATCACAGGATACACTGATATCTTTCGTGCGTGGAAGTTACACCATTCTTCGAAATCTCTCTCGCATATATAGCTGTTGAACGCTTCTTCAATTGACACGCGGAAATACGTACACAAAAGCGATGTCAAGCGTAGATCTAGTTCCAAGCGATTGCTTGAACTGTAAACGACCATTTTGCGCAGGGAAAGACTCTCGCTCGGGTACGCGTGGCAAATGCGGCAGGTCAGTGGGCGGTCAATTGGATGCAACTGGGGCCCGTGCCCGTTTATGTATGACGGCTGGTACGAGAATCCTTGCGGCTTGTACGGTTTGAAACCCTTCTCTTCTCTCGGAGAATCTTTGGATTTCTCGAATTGAGATGAGCTGATGTGATTGCTTGGTGCAACTGACAATTTGCTTTCTCCTTTGCTTACGTTTTGCTCGTCTCCGAAAGAGCTGTTGTCTCGAAGGCTGTGGACGTCCTTTATAACAAAACTGCACTGACTGCCTTCCTCTTCAAGAATTATAACTTTGTTCTCTTCATCTCCACCATCATCCAAACGATCGGCGTCTTTCTTTATATTTTGTCGTGGTGGGTAGTTTCGCGGTCTTTTGAAGCCAGCGGAAGTGATTTGGGTATTGGAATCCTTCAGCACTTCGCTGTGATTCCTGTTCAAATGGTTAAGAATTCTTGGCAGTTTTCTCTGTCAAAATAAAAAAAATTTCTATTAGAAATTCTGGACGTTTCTGTTGCTAGAAGCCTAAAATGTTAAGAAATATACTCTGTGTAAAATAGAAATGATTGTTGTAGAAAAAATTACAATGGCAAATGGTTGAAGCCAATAACCGTGAAAAGCAATATCATATTTAATTCAGGAAAAGCTCACTTATATTTTTCTCGCTACCTGTTCCCAATATTTTTCTCATAAAAACACATCTTAAACAGTTCAAACTTTTATCAAAAAGTTAGATCAAAATTCATCAAAACATCGTACTCAGAAAATGGCAACCTAAAAACGAAACTTGCGACAAACGCTAACAAGAAACAGGTACTGAGTTGCAAATCTAGTGAACACTTACCGCGCAGCAGGCCCAATCACAATACTTGCAATGGAAATGCTTCCTTTTCGGCAGAGACAATCGGCAATTTCTCCCGCAGATACCGTCGTAAACTATGAAATGCTGATCGCGGATCATTCGTCTCTCTGGGAAACCTTTTAAATGTATAGCTCTGTGGCGAGCACGGCAGTGTTTCTAAGATAAAAATGAATAATATTTCTTCAAGCTTTTCTCCATTTTCGTAATATAAAGGTTGGTAATTATCTTCAGTAACCAAATCACAGTTGTAACTAAATACAGTTCCGTAGAAAAGATAAAATAATTGGTGGACAAGACAAAATTATTATTCACTGGAAACAAAGGGTTTTTATAATTTTCGGGGGAACATGAGCTCACTCCACCATTAAAAACTATAGTAGCAACGACCCTACACTCGTGACTGTGGCAAAAAGTGACAAAGAAACATATGTTTACCGCAAAAATTATCTATCATTTTTCAAAGGTGAGAAGGTACAGGGAAAATTGTTAAAAATTCACCAAGACGAGCATATTTGGGAAGCACAAAAAATAGCTCGATAAAAAGTTCGACATTTTTTGATAGTTTTTCTAAGTTGGTTAACCAAAAATAGAAAATTGTTGTCGCAATGAGTAAAGAACAATGGATGTAAAAATTCACGATGAATATTATAAATAACAACAATGGAAATCACAAATAAAGCTTACCTGTCTTGTCACGTACGGACAACGATGGCAGTGATAATGTGGTCCAACCAACACACATTCCTCAACAATGCATCCACATTCAGCTTTCGACAAAAAGAACAACTCGTCTTCGGGCGGTATTTCATTAGACGACTCCAAGGAGTCTGAATGAACTTCATCGACAGTCAAATCTGACTTAATCGTATCTGACTCGTGGGAGTCGTTGCTTTCTCCATTGAACTGGCTTCCTTGGTTGCTTTCCTCTCTGTCTTGATACGGTTCATGTGCCGAAGGGTTTGACATCAAATCGGGATCTGCAATGACACGTGGGCTATCCAAGCTAACATCTTCTATAGGCCCATTATCAATCGTAACTCCGTGCTTATCTTGGATGTGTTTTATGCACCTTTGAAGTTTTCTCTGCAAATATATGAAAACAGTCAATACAATGCTTCTGCCCCTATAAAGTCATTGATATACGAAATATAAAAAATAGTTTATTAAGTTGCCTAATTATCACGTTTAGCGTGCAACTCAAAGTTGCAATTTTCCTGCTCTCGCCAAAGCTTGTACAGTTTTTTTATATACGGCATTGAGCACTACGAAACAGACAAGCAGACAGAAATCTCCTTTAAGTGAAATATTACAAGCTATTTATTCTTAGTATTTATCTTTCCGTGTGCAGTGGAATCTATGAATCATTAAAACCGTTAATAAAGAGATGACTACGGCAATGTAATCTTATTGTCTCGAGGCTCCATCATACACAAAAGTCGTTACATGAGTCTTTATATAATGGGGCTTGATGTGTACAGCTGCCTGATGAGTACGATTGCATTAAGCACGAAACTAGGAGTAGAAACTTAAAACCGTACTGTTCTATGCATCAAAAACGTCTTTGTATAATGATGCATACTTTAATGAATATTCTACCTATGACAGAACGGACAATGGTCTTTTGCAACCATTTTTATCCAAATGTGTTTCAATAACAGATTTCACAAAAACCTCACCCATGCATGACACAAGCATATTCTAATTACAACATACCGAAGAGCAAGCCCAACCACATAGCTTGCAATGATGGTGACGTTGATTGACAACACTGAATCGACATGAAGGGACCCCACAGGAAGCATCAGATCCGTTGAAATACATATCTCTTTTCTTGCGTTTCTCGATAAATCCTCTTGCGTGAATATTGCGATGACGATCCAACAATAGTTTCTAAGATTAAAATTATAAAACAATAAGTTGACGTTAATTGCTGTATAGGAAATCGACCACTGTCTATGCGCAGGGATAGCATTATTCTCTATTACAACTATACATAAAAATTAACACCGTTGGATAAAATTTGCGAAAAAATCCTCAAATTTGCTAAGGTGAGAAAGTCACCTGGATGATTGTGCGTTACATGATTTGAAAAAAGAAGCAGGGGTAATGGAAAGTTAGGCCCATGTTGGGCTTAGAACAACTCTCAAGATGAGAGTATTTTAACTAAAGGCCTTCTAAAGAGTTTGCAGTTAAGTTGGGGGTTAAGTAATTGTGAGCAATAAATTAGCAGATGGCTTCAAACACTCTGACTGAATATCCATAGCTGACCAGATAGTTACGTAGCTGCATGCAAAGCCAGGTTAAACTAAGACTACTATAACAGCTCTCATAAAACTCGACATCATAATCATCATCATACTTTTGGATAGTATCATTTGGCTACAGTTCCATGAAAAGCGATTTTCAGACGTTGGTCCAAACCGACAGAAATATCGGCATATATATCAACTAAGTAAAAAAGTTAAAACATCAATCGATCCTATGCAGTTTACAACAGTATATTGTATTAAAAAGAAGGATATGTTTACCCCAAAAAAATTAAAAATCACAGAGTTGAAATACCTTGAATGAATAGAAATCACAGAGATGGCAATGAAAATGTATCTTTTCCTCTCTGCAACCATTAATACGGCAAGACGCAGCCTTTGGGACTACTGGCGGACTATTTTCCTCTTCAACTGGCTCTTCAAGTACACCGGTTTCTGAATTCTCTTCGTTTTGGTCTGGTTCGTGTTGATTATCTTCACGATTTATAACGTCTTCATCACCGTTCATCTCATACGATTTCATTCTGGAAGAGTTACTATATCTAGCTCTCTTAGGTGCTGGATGGTGCCAGGCCATAGATTTCAATTCCATCATATCTGTTTCGTTATTTTTCGCATACTCTGCATCTTCATTTATAGTGCCATCATAGTCGTCATCTTTTGACTCAATTTTCACACTAGGTTCTTTCTCTTTCGCATCGAGCTCTGATGGCCCTGCACTCTCATCGAAAATGTCCCCATTTCCATTAGCATTTGCATCTCCAATTGTATCTATTGGTACTTCTGGATGCTTTGATCTCATATGACCAACACATCTTTGTAATTTTCTCTGAAATGAAAGAAAGCTATTTGATCATACGCTCGTCATTACCATCTATGAAAAAAACGAATCAAAAGTACATACAAGGAATACTTTTTCGTATATCTGTTAGAAAAATTTAAAAATGAAGTGTCTTCGAAAGGAAACCTTTGTTCATTTAAATTTTAGATTTTCCTTATTTCATTTAACGAACAGGCGTAAACCCTGGCCAAGCGGTGCAACATTTGGAGCAAAATTTGTTACACTGATTTCAACATTGAAACTCGGTGGGTGACCAAACCATGCAGCATTTAATGCAACATTTGTCCACAAATCGCTGATCTGACGTTCTATTTCCTGATGTTGCCTTTTTGAATAAAGACATGAAGATAGCCAATTAAGCATGCGTTAATGTAACATGTTGCATAACCCGGCCAAATAGTGCACCATGCAACAATTTTGACAGCGTTCATTCTCGGTACATTACGGTGAACATTAATGGCCAAACGATGCATCGTTGCCTTTGCAACAATTGTAAAAATGCTGCATCGTTTGGAGGTGGCTCAAGATCAGTTACAAATGTTATATTTCTGTTGCTACAAAGTCAGTCTCTAGCTCACCAAACAAAAGTCCAATTGGTAGTTGAAGCAAATGACAAATACTGTCCCGCTATAATCGTAAAATGATCTAGAATAAAGGCACTAAGTCATGATTAAAGGAATAGGCATACCTAAATGAGCTGAGTGATTGAGCTAAGATAGATCACATGATGTTGCCTCGTACTGATTTTGAAAACAGTCTTCGTCGAATGTGAGTTGTAAACAATCGTCGCCAAGATCACATGAAACTACACTGATCACGCAGAAAGCGAAGGACCCTAAAGGACGACTATTTACCATGACTCAATTCCTTTAATATTATTAATAAAAAATGAAAACAGAACTTACCCCACAACAAGGCCATTCACAAATTTTGCAATGATGATGCTTTTTGTTGTTTAATGAAAATCGACAAAGTGGCCTTCCACAAACTCCACTGTAAGCACTGAAGTGCGTATCTCTGACAGATCTCTTTTCAATCCTTCCAGTTACATGAAATATCTGATGTGCTACCATATTTTGCTCCTGGCAGAACAAAAGTAAAAATGCAAAGGTTTATAAAAATACTGACAAAACAAGGATTATAATTTAAGTCTAGTTCAGATAATAAAAACCATTTTCACATGAAACTGCATATAAAAACGAATTTTCATTGAAAAAATCTTGAGAAATTCGCTGAAGCTTAATCTGAAGATGTCTGAATGTAACAGATTCACAAGCCAGTCGCAATAACAACGAACAAAAGAATAATTTTAGACACATAGAAACAGTTTAGCAGTATGATCATTTGTACAAATTCTCAACACAGAGCTTCGCAAGTTTACATCGTTAACATCGGAACAGTTTTCGACCGTTCTCTTGAAAATGTCCAGTACCATGCAAAGAGGTACATTGCAATCCCCACCTGGCCTCGTTTACCTAGTAAGCTTGATGGAGATGTAGTTAATTCAATGAAACAGGAAGGGGTCCGCGACACCCGCACCAGTTCATCTGTGAATATACATGTTTTTATATGTGAAAATAAACAGATTTTTAGTTGTTCATTACACTTCGCCAGTCACATTCGCAGACACAAAATAAGAACTTGAATTCTATTACATGAAAACTTGGATATTAATGCTCTATTGTGAGGCAAAGGAGCTGTCTTATTTCCACTATCAATATAAACACTTTCACTCTACCTTGGTTTGTCTTGCAAACCTTATGGACAGATTCCCCGGCTAAGGAACACTCAAGTCTAGATTCTACACATTGAGCAAGTTACACCTATGTCATTTCAGTAGTAGAATGGCCACCTCTACTACGAGACTACAAACTTTTAAGTAAAGGTTAAATGTAGAAATCATTGTATGATTGCAGAGACTAGCTACAGGAATATTTCTGATTATCTGACTTCAGAATGTTTATAACGAGCATTAACTCTACAGCCTTAACGAAGTGAATTAATAATTTTGAAATGCATTGCATATTTTGGCATGATTAATACACTTTGCCATCAGCTTGCTCAGAATTTCTGGAAAAAAACATTTCTGGAAAACTAGCTTGGGTTGGGGGTAATGATATCCATCTTTTTCTTTAGGTTTTTCTTTAGATACTACACCTATTCTTTATTACGAAAATGCTTCATTTCTTAGTATAACGGTGTGTCGTCACAGTTTAGTAAGTTTTTGCTACTAAACTCAGATATATCAGCTTTGCTAGCATCAACATTTACTCTTATAATAATTAGCCTCCTAGTAAAAAAAATCAATTATTTTTCTCTAGTAACAAACCAGTTTTCCGTACCAATACTGGTGTCTAATCCCTTACATCGGAATCCAGCAGCTGATATTTTATACTGTCCTTTGTCACACTGTTTCACTGTTAATCCTCAACTCCCCCGAGTTTGAAAAGAAATTATCGTATGTTGTTTATTAAAAATTTATGCTGCAATATCAACAGATGTTCCACAGCCTTCACTTTAAAAAGCTCAATTGTAAGGTCTGTCTACTTTCCCAAACTTATGCTAAGATATTCCTGGAAGGATAAAGCTTTCCAGAGGTGATGTGATTGCTTTTTTTCAAGTTTTATCAGGGGTTACTGCAAAGAAAGGATGAGAGTATGTAGCCAAATTTTTCAAAAAGGTACATACATTAAAATAACCAAAATTTTTCTACTCTATGGCTCACTTGCTTTGTAGTCCTGTTCTCTTCAAGAGACTAGTACGCGGTGTGACCCTGTTCTCTTCAAGAGATTGCAAGTGTGGTGAAGTTACAATAAATTAAGATATACTTTCAGCATGGATGGTTAGCAATTGACAAATGATGGTAGAAGAGCACCATATCAATTTTACTATGTTAGAAGTGGTATGTAGACTAGAGCACAGGGAGATGCATATTATAAGATTGATGACTAGTTTGTGTTATTCTTAGCAAAGGAAGGGCTTCTGTACAACTAAGAAACAGACTGGCTTGAAAGAATATCAGGTGTTGTACCAAAAATGCATCCCAGATGGTTTGACAATGAAAAATAAATTCATAATGATAGCTGGCAAGTATGTGCAGAATTGTGATGTAGATGTCAGAAAGAGAGGAAGATGACATCGGCCAAGAGACAATTTCTTCAGGGTGACCTTGCACATTGCGAAAATGCAACAATGACTAGATGAGGGGATTTGGGACATGTCCCACACTAGTTCTTGGAACAGTCAACTTCATCTTGTTGGGATGGGTCAATGTTTGAGAGGTGCACTGAGCCAAAACTGCCTCTGCATCACCAAAAAATGTCTTGAGGCAAAATAGCTCTTACGTTGATGATCAAACATTACTTCAATTGTGCATCAGTGGCAGATACTTAAAGGGGGGCAAAGGGGAACAGGTGCCACCCAATATTTTGAACAACAATGGTAGGATTATCAATTTGTTCTAAAATAATGGACAAATGTTTAGTCCCCCCCCCCCAAAAAAAAAAAGATTGACCAAGTTTCTGCCACTGTATTGCATTTAATTTTCCCAGGGAAGAAAACATGGCTGTTGTATGGTCCATGACTGCTTGGAAGGTCAATGAAACAAAAGAAATCAAAGTGCCAAGACCAAACCCACTTTATTTTCTTTATTTTTGAAGGAAGGTTTTTATAACTTGAGGACAATATCCAAAGGAAAACTAACACTTTTCTGGACCAAGAATTTTTTCTTGATTGGCATACTATGGGTGTGAACATGCTCATTTTTAAAGGCAAATATGCATTCTCTAACAATGAAAAGGGTGTGGTCTAAAGGTTATCACTTCTCCACATCTTGGTAAAGTCCCTGCAATAACCTTTGTAGAAGATAGATCATTATACCTCTGTGTCAATGTTAGCATGGGAAAAGAAGATATAATTGTTAGTCCCCGGATCAGCTCCCCTTCGAAAAAGTCCCCACCCCAAAGTAATTTTTGTAAAATAAGCCCCATTAATATTTTTGCGAAATAAACACCCAGGGTATTGCCTCTACAGCAATAGATTTACCCCAAATGTAACTGCATTTATAAGCATACTGACCAGGCTCAAAAAAGAGAAATTGGACTTATTCTAATTAAATTTTTGGATAGAGCCTCCCCTTGAATAAGCCCTCACCCCAAATAATTTTTTGGGAAAGAGCCCCTTGGGGCCTTATTGGAGGGCTTGTTGGTTATGATTATGTAAATCATTGAACTGAAAATACATTTTACATTTGCAGTGTCACTTTATTCTTTTTATAGTCTATGCTAACCAAGAAGACTTACTAGCAATTTGAAAGAATAGCTAAACAAAAAATTTAACTTAATAAAATGGTTTTCAAAGACAACAAAAAATATCTACCACACTGACAAATAGTTAAAAAAGTAAATCTTATTTGTTTTACATTGATTGCTTTGTTGAATAGTACTGACATAATCTGTGGTTGACATCTTTAAATATTTTAGCAGGATCATTGAAAACAACAATTATTTTTAACCTTATGATACATAAACTGAAACAACAAAACGTTTTTTAAAAAGATATGGGTCACTTGCTTGACAATTTATTCAAAGCACTATTGCTTGAAGAGAATTAAGAAAGAAATTCAACGTTTTATATTAATAACAAAGGAAGAAAGCTTTGGAACATGGGATAATTAAGATTGATGTAAATAAGAAGGCAATTCAGAAATACATATATACTATAGGATGCTTTAAATAAGATAAAAGAAAGAAAAAATAGCAAATTAGTTACTCAAACAGCCTTAAAAACAGTCTGTGCATGCATCAATTGAAATCACAAACTAATTTGGACAGCAGGGCAATGTCATTGATTAAATGTGACTTTGTTATAAAAAAGAAACCACTCAGGCCAGGCATCAATTGAAATCACCAACAACTGGCATTCTTAGCATATTTTTGAGATGGCACAACAATAAATTAATCTGAAGAATTATCACAACCCCCTTGATGCCTACTTGGCTCAGTACAGTAATGTAGCCCAGGCAACCCTTTCAACAAAATGAATAATAAACTACCTGTATGGGTTCAGTGCCAAAAAGCTGATACCTATTCAACCATAGAAATTGTCTGCTCTAGTGTTCAATAATGGCTTTCTAATGAGACAATAACTGACAAAAAAGTTGAAAAATGGGGGTTTCATCTGCCAAGAATTCTAAATGTACTCTCTTAAAGTTAATACCATAAATTCCAAATGTACATTTAGATCTTCTTACAAGGCAGAACAATATCAATATAAGATAAATTGCTTAGCCTATAGGTAAATGTACTTTTGGTGTTGTAGGCCCAGTCATGTCAATTAGTGGACACACTGTTTCATATATACGTAAATACTTAAAGTCCATCTTGGGTACAACGAATAGCGAACGGAAAACATGCACATAACATCAATCAGTCATTTCAATCATTACCCTTTTTTGTCAATATTTGTTTGTCATGCCATAGGTTGTGGATATTACTCATTTAATATAACAGAACATCGTAAAATTGTACTTATACGGATCTTCGCTCAAATGGTTTCTTAGCAGATTTCATATCGGGACGAAAATAAACCATCGGGAGCTTCCATGATTTTACATTATTGTATCGAAGTTGTCTCGAAGACCGGTAAAATGTTTAAGGGAAACTAAAGAAAAAATCCTTCATCACCCATAATCAACACTTTTGACCTTCATCAACCTTCTGTTGTCGCATTTATGTTTCCTTTGTTCTATGTCAAATTCAATTCATCTTTTACCGTTTCTCAAAAATCAAGGTACAAGTGTACAAAAACATAAAAATAGAGTGTCCTCTGGCTCTGCTTATACGTAAATGACATTAAATTTCCATAAAGCATTAGTGTTTTACAAGCTAAAAACAGGAGGGAATTGGTTGGCCTAGTGTCTTTGTTGAGATATCGCTGATTGACATCTGTTCGTACCAGGTTAACATGGCGACTTGAGGATGATATATTCTTGGCTTTGCTGAACCCGATAAACTTAATTTTTGATCGTTAGGCTTCATTTCACTTGATATCTACTGAAGCAAAGAAGAACTGAAAGGGAATTGCGCTCGACTATTGAATCGACTTAAACTTGAAGGAAGCAAGACAGTGCTTTGTTATTCGACGTTTTTACCACCAGCTGTCGATACAGGTGAAGCTCCGCCATGTCGAAAACAAAGTTAGGGCCAATCGCTGCAACCTTATGGATCCATCAAACCCCATCTTTACAAAACATAAATTCTTAAGCAATACATAGGGCAATGACCTTGGAATGATGCGACGTTATACGAGAAACTTTTCACAGTAAAAACAACTTTAAACATGAATCACTTACTTTGACAAGTTTTCTATCAGGACAAAGGGAGCAATGAAAATGAGTGCTACGTTTGAAGCAGTCTTTCACCGGGCAGGCCTTGGCTGTACCACAAAGAAATATGTCTCCTAACTCTGTGCCACTTTTCGGGAATGTTGTGGAAGCCTTGATGCTGGCCCTGAGGGCAGTACTATGTTCCCTTTGCATCTTCCGGAGTGATCTAAAGAGAGACAAAGACAGCAGCGATGAGACAATGTTTGCATCTTCGCCACACCTGGTCACAACAGCAACAGCCAATGTCTCTCTTGTCAGGTACTTTTAGTGTTTACAACCAGTTGTGTAAAATGCGGAACGCGCCTACTTCATTCATTCAGAACAAATTGTGAAGAAGTTCGGAATAATCCAGCAAGAACTTGCAAGACACTGAGGACATTGGAAAAATGTACAGGCACTAGATTTGCTGAATAAACTGAACCGGTGAGCAATTATATGAAAGTATATGAATGTTTGGACGACTCTTAATTCTGCGGCAAATGTTATGATGTAATTATGAAGAACAATGGAAAGTTCAAGTAAAGAACAACTAATTTGCTTGCAAAGCTCAAAGAATCTTTCCCGAGGATATCTTCTTGAAGACAGAAAATGGGCGATTGCTGTAAATTTTTAATAGATTTTCCTATAATCATATCCAATCACAGAACATCTTTGATTACTTTGGTAATGTAAATTGGCAACAAATCTCGAAGAGACGCAGCCCAAACGTATGTAATTTTACTTAGCTTATGAAAAAATATCAGTTTCAATTTAATAATTTAATATTTAATAGATGTAGAAAATAAAGAACAACGTATTTTATAATTTTCACAAAAGATATCGATCTGCATTTGTTTGCAAGATTTAAGGACTTGTTTGTGTTATAACGTTATTTATGCTACTTGAGCTGCTACGATTGGTTTCTATCTTTCTCAAAATTTATTTGCTTCATTTCGTGGTAGAAATTTTAGGTATACTGACCAGATATGCTGCACTTAAAGGCATTACGCAAAACATAGTCCAAGTATTTAAAATCTGATGTTGACCAAAAGTAAACAATGGTTGGTTTTGTTTAGTCGCATAATCAACTGAGTATGAAATTCTGCTTTCGTTCATTGAGGATCATAGGCCAAGGATCACAAGAATTTAGACAACAACAATATAATGTTCTTTTTTGATAACTTGAGCCTAGGATGCTTTTTACATTGTTTTTTACAATAATTGGTTTTTCTGTAATTACACTTTTTTTATAAGAGCCAGTAAATTTAAGTTCTGGCTGACTGTACTTAATTCTTTCGAAAATCGGAAGCTGGATTGTTCTTAATTTTTTCTTGAATTAATAGAGTGTAAGCAGTGCAATTGCTAGCCTTTTCGCTCCAGGGAAGTGTTAAGGCCTCATTTGCTATCAAAGTGAGTGAGGCAACCTTCATTTGCCGGACTAGCTTGGATATTCACCTTGGAAGCTTCTTCAACTATGGAGCTGCAGGTATTTTTCAAATCATTTCCCAGACTGTACTATACTTTTTCTACAAAAAATAATGTTTCATATGTGTAAAATTCATTTAAGTACGCATCATTATAAAAAGACGCTTTTGATGCATATCACTGTTCCGACTGCTGTGGTTTGAATAAAGGAAGATGACCATCAAAATTATGATTTTCTTGCAACGTTAGACAAAAAAATAGAAAATTTGATATTCAGTTGTTCCTCTAATCATCTGAGTATGGATCGATTAAGAGATTTCCTATATCTAAAGAAATCAAGTTGTCTGAAAAAATGCCATGCAGGCCCGGCGGAACCGGAGGGGGGATGCTGGAGCCCTCAATCATTGTCAAACTGTAGTATGTTTCCTCTATAATAGTGTACTGAATGAGAAGGAACACAATGGGCAGCCCCCCCCCCCCCAATATGAATTTCGTTCCGACGGCACTGCATGTAAAAACAGGCCAACTTCACGACTTTGGTTAGGTGGAGTAAAAGTAGAATGAAACAATCTAAGATTTTATATTGACGTAAATACAGGGTTTTTTCTCCTTCCTTATGTATATCTTTCTGATGAAAAAAGGGGGACTTAGCTATAGAGAAAATGCTCAAGACCAACAACCCTAGCGGCCATTGTTCTTGAAAATCCAGCAAAAACGAGCTCAAGCGCGAGGAATTTTTTCATAAGAAGAGGTTTTGTATCAGCAAGGGTAACGAAAAAACATTTTACCGACCAAGTAGCAATTACCTGAAAAATTCAAAGACCAACTAGCAAATTTACCAGCAGAGATGTCGAAGGCATTTCAAAGTTTGAAGGGCATCACAGGTATAAAAAAGCACTATGTTTCAGAAAAAGGAGCACTATTCCAAAGGTTCTAAAGAGGTTATTTTTTGTAATAGGGGAATTTTCCCAAAATTTGAAGACACGTACCCCTGTTGAACCTCCAGCTCAAAGTCCTTCATCAACCACTGAATACAAATAAGTTGAACTGTATCTCCTCCGCAAAGCCCCCTACCCAGTATGTCATGATACAGAAGATGAGGATTTCAAAGGAAGGCAATTGACAGAATATACCAAGCAATAAGAAGGTTGCACAGGTCAGATAGGCATTGAAGAAAATTCATATAGGAATTTAAAACTGAATGACCGCCAAATGCGTCGCTAAAAAATTTAGAGGAAACACTTCTAGCCACCGTAAGGAAACCAGTTTCTTTCAAAAGCCAATACTTACTTTGTCTTAAAGGGTGCGTGCTTTGGCTCGTCATCTGCCGTTAATTGTTATCTTTTCAAAGAGAACGTCATATTAGGCTTTGTAAAATGAATTTCACCATATCTATACATGCCATTCTACCAAAAATGTCGCTTATACGAGCTTCCTGACGTCGTTTTTGATAAAAAATTTATATTTATGTCGTTCAAAACTGCTAAATCGCGTTAAGGGTCAGTCCAGAGAGTAGATCAGTGAAAGGTCCTTTAAAATGTCCCCACAAGGCGACATGTGGAGAATTTTCAGGATAATAAAACACCAAGCTAACTAAGTTAGAAACTACAACATATCATTAAACAAGCTAAAACACCAAGAAAGGGAACGAAAAAGGGTTCCCATTCAAGAAGAACTACTACTTCTTAGAATCCGTTAAAGTAAACAATCCAGAGTCTCGTTAAAATAATTTTTTTAAAAATTTTCTTATTATTGCAAAAAGTGGGGGAGGTGACCCCTGCTAGCCCAATGGCTGCGCGGGGCTTGCTAGAAGTCTGGAGTACCTAAGAAGCCTGTTCAAGTGTTGCATAACCGTTCACTCACTCATAGTTTACTTAGGCTTGTTGTTTTCAATAATACAAATTGCTCGAAATAACCTCAATCTATTACAATAAAATGTAGCGCAAGAGAATTATACGACAAAGATCACATCACATTGCTGCAATAATTGTAATCTAAAATACTTAAGAGGACAAAAACAAAGGTACTCTAGTAAATAATTGAATAACTCTTTTTTCATGCGATATTTCATTTCTAATATCCTGTTTCCCACGCTTTTTAAATGTATAAACAGCTAGATTCCCCGTGACTTATTACATTCCCTAATTTGCTCCTACTATATTTCAATAATCTACGGAACGGCAAACTACTCTTTTTGATAATGGTAGCTGTTATCGAAAAACAACGATATACGAGGCTCTTGTATAGGGCACGGGTACAGTTCGTCTTTGGATACATCCCAGGGGGGCGTACTTCCATTAAGGCCCAAAAGGGGGGCTCGGTTGATTCGAGGGTCTTACCAAATGGCTACCAAATGGCCCAGTTTCGAGAATAACACAACGGCTTTGTCTAGCTTGCGATTTATTATAGACAATCAACAACAGTCAATGGCAAAGAAATTTGTCAAAGAAGGACCAGACGCGAACATAATCTCCCTCCTTGTGCTACCATTTGAGCTACCTTATTGTCAAAAAAACACTAACATTTGTGGGTCATTTTTTAACATTTTAGCTTTGGCCCTCATTGACCCTGACTGGAACCCCCTGTTATGCCATAATAGGAGTAACCCCTCGGGGGTGAAGGGGAGGTACTTAGGGGGTTGGGGGCCCGGCGGTACACTTCACTCGGAAAGTGGAGGTTTTGCGGAAAACATTTTCATACCCTGACCCTGTCCCATAATAAAAATTGCGAGCACAGGCTACCTTGGCCCCTAAAGAGTATGCCAAAAATACGACACAATTATGCCGAAATATACCAGATCCCACTAGCAAATGCCAACTGGAACAAACCCATTCTCAAAAAACTCTAAAAAACAGAGAAAGCTGTTTTCACATATTTCTGGTAAATAAAATTTAGTTTGAGTTATGGTCTATTTTATCAAAATTTGAATCGTCCGATGGAGACATCCATCAGCGTTGCCTATGATGAGTCCATTCTTTAGAGAATTCTTGGGCCACCGGGGCCTCTCCATCCATGCTGAAAAGCGACTCGTTTAAATTCGCTAGTTTATCTCTAAGTTGATTTTATTGATAGAAAATGTTATGCGCGACTATGCGTATGTTTGTGTACCTTGAAGTGGACCAAGTTTGGAGAGTTTCAAACGTTGGGTAAAAGGAGATTCACAGTAACAAGGACATGAGATATAAAAGTGGTCCATTCAATAACTCTACAGTGTATACCTATCAGAAAGTCCTAGAGAATTTTGATAGGTTATCTAGCAATATGCATTATTTGGTTGGAGGCTTGTTTGGGTGGCAATGCTCCCCGCCAAGCGATTCTTGAAGCAGTACCCTAATTTCATCTTGCTAACAGTCAAGCATCGGCAAAACTCAACATTACTTTTGTAGAGGGATTGAGGTTGATGCTCATGAGAGCTGTATCACAAATGAAACGTAACTAGGACTTTGCTTCACAGCGTAAGATGCCGTAAGTCATCAAAATTGCCACCCTCGTGCATACCCCCATCGAATAACCCCTATCCTGGAAGAGAAAATTAGTAAGAAGTCACCCGTGAATAATAAGCCTCCATCATGATATGCCAGTTTCTACAATACATTGTTTTAGTCCACGATAAATAGCATATTTAACGGAATATGAAAATTTGAACGGAATATGACTTAATGTTTTTGTTGCCAATATTGACAATATTTCAAAAATGGCTCTTCTTCAAAAATGATCATCAGGATTTTAGCTTTGACTATTTCATGGTTCTCGAGGCCCCTGACTTTTTGTGTCGTGAAAGTTTTTTGTGTTCTTAAAAAGGGTGTTATGGGGGGAGTTGGGGTGCCAGTGCCTCCCAATTTTTATATTTTGTAAGGTTGATAACAAATTACATTTTTGCTATCGAAAGACATCTTATCAGAACGAGATCGGAGAAAAGATTTCATTACTTTCTAAGGCAGTCAAATTGAAAAAAAAACTGTTCAAAAATGTTTCAGATAAAAAACCGTCTGAGACCACTTTTAAAACCTTGACAAGCCTCGCCCAAATTGGACACACCCTGTTGTCAACATTATTTTTGTCAGCTTTTACGGATCTAGAAAAAAGATGTCCCTATACTCGGCCCACATGAAGGGCAGCTTTGAATGTGGTTTAAGCCTTCAGCACGCCAACGGTCACCTTGCTTTTATCCCTAGGGGTATCGTGCTCAAACCACACCAATTGAAGATAGGGGTGCTTCCGTGATTTAATTTACAGCTAAACCGAGCAGCGGGATGGTGAGGCGATCACAAAAAACAAGAAAAAAGGATGCAGTAACCCCTGATCGGTGGTAGTAACAAGCAGCGATAAATAGGTTGATTATTATCTTAATCTCAGCAAAATGTTTGCCTTGGGCATTATGGTAACCGTATACAGACATTGTTCAGGACCAGGTGTCTTTGACTGGGCCTTTGATTTTGTCGCTTCTCAAAGAAAAATGACATGTGTTCTATCCACGTGTTGTTCTCGAAAAGAAATGTGTTGTATTTTGATGTCACACCGCCTAATCTGACTTTTCTTGATGCAATACACACACAGCGAGGAAAGATAATTGAACTTCATCTCGTTATGCATATTGTCTGGAGGTATAAGAAGTCCCCAAATCCTCTTAATTCTTTCGAGAGAAAATGACTCTACCAACATCGTTATGACTTGCGCTGGTACGCTTACTTTTCCTAGTCTATATGCGAGAATGTTCTGAGACTGTGTCACGATTACGGTTAACAGCAGTATCCTGGAAGCAGAGTCAACAAATCTTGAAATTATTCTAAAAATACTTAGGGAAACTACTTGATTTGCATGCCCTCAAGGGAGCCCTTACTGTTTGCTTTACCTTGCGATTTTTGTAGCTCCACAAATCCTCAAAAAATTCATCCCCGTTTGATTGTTGTAATTTTATTTGCTCCTACAAAACATTACTGTAGTTGGTACAGTAGCCTCAATTCCATTAAGGCTGTACACAAAAGGGAGGTCTATGAAAGGTCTGCAGATAATGCGCCCTTTGTAAAACTATGCTCGCTTTGTTATAAAGATTACCTCATAGGAAGTGCCGCTTGCTTTGCTTAATGTACCAGCATGTAACTTCAACCCAACCGATAATTGATTGAGCAAAGATGTGTATGCTCACATTAAAAACAAAACGTGGACCTCTTATAATCGGCCTTAGATTCTACACGACTTCCTTTGAAAGCAGGGCCACTGCTTTTGTCCCGCTAACTCTCTGTCCTTTCAGTTGTAACCACGGAAACGGATGAGGGAAATTTCTTAAATGCCATGCTGGTGACAAGAAAGTAGTGACTAGAAGTGTGCTTTCTAACACGGTCCTGAAATCAGGTCCGTAAATTACTCTTTCATTACCAGATGTTACCAGCTGCTCACTGTTGTGTTTCTCAAAGCCATGTATAATGCCTCTGCGAAAAAAAATTCTCACTTGTATTCAGGGCGCTACGAGCCGAGAACTGCGTTATAATGGAACACGTGTGGGCGCATGGAACGTGGAACGTGAAACTCGCTTAGGGCGAAATCATTTTGTCACTTTACTTGCTGAGCCTCTTTTCTTGTCATCGAAACAACACATTTATTGAATGAAATCTAATCACAAACACTCTTCGCACATTTGCAAGGTGCTAATGGCCCCGAAATGGGTTCTTATTTGCTCACAAAAACTATTCTTTGATAACAAGACACGGTTAAAACTATTGCCCTTTATCAGCGTATGTCTTTGTTTAATTTTTAATCGTTCTTGCTGCTACTTTTACACATCAATCATACATTTCAAGAGGAAATTTTAGAATATATTTTAAACTATATGAGGTAGTTTTGGAAGTAGTTTTAAAGCAACTCGCTAGAAGCAATTTTAAAAAAAAGTTAGATATTTTAAAATCTCTTTTTGGTTTCGAAAGCATTCCCTTTCTTAATTCGACAGGCAAATCTGTTTAAAACTCAAGTTATAAGAGCAATTACGGGTCTTTCGCTTTCGATACCTTTCTAATGTGGAGTGACTAGTACATTCTTTCAAAAAGCAACGTTTTCTCAGCTTTTGATTTTTTAAATATCGAGTCGTTAAGACACAATTGCTTTGTTAAAAAGCTTTTTCAATTAACTATGGTGAGACAGCTAGACGAACAGAAAATAGTTCAATTAAGTAAAAATGTTGTTACCACAGGTCGACTTAATGGCCACCTTCAAAGTTCGAATTTAACTTCACTAAATTACCTCTCCTTGGGCTTCGCTTTGGTTGATAACTCGACAAAAGCAAGTTTCTAGAGAAGCAGAGCGTTGGCAGGCTTCGATACAGGACATTCATAATAAATGCGTTTAACTGACATTTAGTTTTTCTGAAGATTTTAAGTTCTTCGTACCGCAGGGCACCTTTCTGATCACGACGACTTGGAAGGTGGGGAGTTTATAAACATAAATGAAGAGAAAGAGATATCTCAATGAGACCACTCAAATGTAAACGTTATACAACATTTCAAAAGACTAGAAAATTTTCAAACTACGAAAGGAAGCTTTAAACACTTCCTTCATAGTCTAAGGGGACTTGCCTTAAATATCATGTACAATAGACTGGTTTTCGGTCAAGCCGCAATCGGTTTTCACTTCAAGGATTCAACCAAGACAAAGTAATCTTCTGGTTGTTGGATCAAACATAGTTTCAAAAAACTCTACTTCAATTTCATTCAAATACTTTGTTTTAAGAATAGTCAAATTATCTCTATATAACAGCAAACAGTTATGTTAAAGGGAAATTTCCCATCTATAATTTAAACGTCAAAACTTCTCAGGGACGTTATCATCGCAACATCTGGATAGCAGAATATATCCAATTCAAAATCATGTCAAAGTGAATGCCCCTGTCTCAAAAAATTGCGAAAGGTAGTCAATTATTTAGGCCAGTAACTCATAATTTTGAATCTTCATTTTTATTTTGACTTTGAAAGTGAATTTCTTGCTAATTGTACCCTATATAAAGCAAGTTTAGTAAATTTCAGTAATACCCAAAAATCGCTTGTAGCCCAGCTACCAAAACCCATATAAATTGATAAAAAATTTGTTGAGAATCCTTCCCTAAAGTTTAGATGATGCCTACTTTGCAAGCATCGTTCGCAATGCAGAATTGGCAGTGGATGTATGCACTCTCGGTATTTCTTGTCCAGGAGCGGGGAACAATGGCGTCGATGCCGCAGATCTGCAAAGTAAATGAGACATAACCAAGTAATTTTTAAATACTATTAGCCATTCTTAAAATTGCTAGGCTGCAATTACTCATAATGAAAGTATCAAAATGTTTTTCGCCCATATTGCTTTCTCTATTTAAGCCTATTCAGTTAAGCACTGTAGAGGAGCGGTCATTCCTATGTACTCTTTCACTTAAGTAACAAATTTAGCTTAGCGCAAAAAAATTACAGCCTTGAAACATGAGCCATAATCCATTTTCCAGCTGCATCTCCAAGATCCGCGCTTGATGTGACGAATAGACAACCGACAGACAATTTAGAGGGTGAGGGCCTTCGCTACAAATTTAATTGCGACAGCTCCTAACATATGACACTAATCACTTTAAAGAAAGCCTTATCCTGAAGCAAATCAAAGACTTTTCAGAACACCACTAGATATAATTTTGGCACCATTTTGACGCAAAAATGCTCTATTTTACAAGCGTGGCCTAGGAGCTGACAGTGACCTTGTTTCGTCACGCTCTGTTCTCTCGATCAAAAGCAAAGCGGAGTGAAACAAGCGAAGAGGAACAACAAGGATCGAATGAAAGAAATTTCTTCGGTTGTAAAGAGTTTGTACCGGTGTCAGATTAGGTAATAGAAATATCTGCACCCTTTTATATGCTGATGACTTAATTTTATTAGCTAATTCTGCTCATGATCTGCAATCCCATTTAAACGAGCTAAACCAGTTCTGCATGTCTATTAATATGGAGATAAATGATTCCAAAACCAAGATAATGGTTGTCAAAAAAAACAAGAAAAAATCTAAGGCGTGCAAAATTTTGAAATTTGGTGATAAAGAGATCAAAGAATGCAATGAGTACAAATACCTTGGAGTTACTTTTAAATCTAATGGTTCCTACAGTGCTCATGTTGATATAATTAAGCAAAAAGCTCGTAAATCTTACTTTGCTCTTTTGTCCAAAAGCAACAAATGGGATGGTTTCAACCCACGACTGTTTGTATTTTTATTTGACAGTACAGTTTTTCCTATCCTAAATTATGCCACTGATGTATGAGGATCTGGTACATGGGAATGCCTGGAAAAACTTCATCTTATGGCTTGCAAGTCGACCCTAGGTGTTAAAGGAGCTACAACGTCTCTTGGGGTTTATGCAGAGTTGGTATGTTGTTCGTTGCTTGAACAAAGACATATTAATATCGTAAAATTTTATATTCGTTGATAAATCTTGATTCTTCAAGATATGCATACTGAGCTCTTCAAATGTTAATAAATGATGCAGATTCCGGTGTTTCTAATTGGGTCAGTATTGCCCGTTCCCTGATGACCCTTTACAGAATACACACAATCGATAACTCTTCTATCGTGAAATCAAGTGTGTCTTCCCATTTTTGGTCAAAAATTATGGAAAATTCAGAAGAACAGATTAATCTCAATAACAAGCTTTGTACATACGCATCCTTCAAAACTGTTTTTTAGTTTGAGCATTACTTAGACTTGAAAACAAAAAGAAAAGATCCAACTTTGCAAAACTACGTCTCAGTGCTCACAACCTCAGGATTGAAACAGGTAGATACGGGAAGAATCCTTAGGATTGATAGAAAATGTCCGTATTGTCAATCTTTTAATAAAACTGCTGTGGAGGACGAAATTCATTTTTTATTAGTTTGTCCCCTTTACGAGACTGCTAGGAATTCATATGTTATCTATGATTTATTCAAAATTTCCATAAATCTCATCCCTTGACCTTTGTGATAAGTTTATCTGGTTGTCGAGTCAAGAAGATACGGATTGTCTGATATCCATAGCTAATTTTATATCGCTGGCTTTTGAATCACGGGAATCCTTTGGGATGTCCTCTACGTGCATATCCTCGTAACGTAAACTTTCTAGCTCATAATCATTTTTCATCTGTCTATCTTTGTATAAGCTGTTTTTTGTGTGCTGATTTTTTTAGATTTATTGTTAATTTGCAATTATGTTAACTTGTGAGTATAGTAATTGTGTTGGCGATGGGCCATTTCGGCCTACAAGCCTTATCGTTAAAAAAGAAGAAAGAAATCGAATAGCTGCTTCAGTGGAGAAAGATTTACCGGACTGAAATTTACTTAAATAATTTTCTCTTAGGGATGGAAACTTAGACTTAGTTACTCGAGAAAGAAGTTGTTCAAAGTTGAAGGGGATTCGGACAAGTTTCGAGATAGCGGTTAGCAAGGTCAAAAGGGGCGGAGAAGGACGCTCGATACTGACATTCTACGATTTATGCGCTGATATGCACTGGGATTGTGCGCCAGCAACCTGAGCATAAATTGTTAGTTTTGCCAGCCCAGTTTGTGGACAGAAGTACAATCCGATACGAAAATTCAGATGGTTTACCAGGTAAATTAACATTTAACAATACAAAAAGGAATACTGATATCAGAACACGTCGTTTGGTTAGAGAAGCTGATAAGCTAAAATCGATGAAACCAAAACGACACTAGACTAAAGGCCACAGCAAACCAGGAATTTTTAGAACTGATTGAGAACAGAATCAGGTTGCCAGCTGCTATTGAATGTGTCTTTCTGGTCTACCTGTGCTTAAACAAAGAATACAGCTATTTATAAATATCTAATTTGGCTTTATCTTCTTCATGCTAAAGTCGATAAATCCAGCAGATGAAGATCTAAGGTCTCAATTCTTCAACCGATGACTTTCTCAGGCCAAGCTATATCTAGTTTCTTTCTTTGCTAAACGTTATTCGCCACATCTCTCTAGATCAGGGGTTGCCAACCTACGTCCCGCGGGCCAGAACCCGGCACGGGAAGATAATTTTTGTGGCCCGCGAGATGATAAAATTGTATTAAATTTTTTAGTTTGCTAAAAAGTTGACTGGTGAATAATTTTGTATTTCCCCCCTAGGATGATTTCTCTAAACCCTGAATAACCTCGTTTTCAATTTTGGTTGTTTTTGTGATTGCTGCACTTATGATTGTAATAGTCTTATCTTGTAAACCCAGGCTAGTTGCCAGTTGCAAATTATCTATGTCCGAAAGAGGTTTGTAATTGTAGTGTAATTGAATTTAAATGAAAATTGTCACTGTTACAACTATCATTTTATTACAATTATCGTATTTTCGCATTTCTTATTACCTTTGGCCCGCTAAAGGATAAAGATTGAAGGATATGGGCCACTCTCAAAAAAGGTTGCCCAACCCTTCTCTAGATCATACAAATATAAACACGACCATGCAGGAATTGTACCTACAACTGACCGAGGATTTGATATATCTTAAAATAAAAAAATTAAAGTTAAAGAAACAGTAGGCACATGAACAGAAAAAATCCTACTGGATTCATTTGTTTTTGAAAATAAAACAAACTTACATATCGGTTTTCAAAAGAGGCAGACTCGTTTTGAACGCCTTATTATGCAAATCTTTGGCATCTTGAGGAGTTACAAGAAGTGGATTTGAAACAGACATTGATGGCGCAAAGAATTCCGTCTTTTGGCCTGTGTCTGATCTGGTACTGAATGGCGTTGAGGATGATTTTGGAGATTCCATCAGTAAAGCTGTAAGTTGATTGGTTGTCGGGCGACGGTTGGCGCCAGACGATTCCTCTTCCAAGAAACTAACAAACATCTCGGTGAATGACTAGATGTAAAAAACATAACTATTGTAGATTATCACAGCTAGAAACAACATAAAAATGTATTACGCTGTGCATTCAAAGAAAGTGCATTCAAAAAAAGTGCATTCAGAGAAAGTGCATTCAAAGATCATATAAGGTTTTGGCAGGCCATTACAAAACCCAGATAAAAGAAATAACTAGCAGCTTCTTTCGCCAGGAAAACTCTTCATGTTAGTGAAAAATTCAACCAAAGCAAACACGTTGTTGACGATGGCATCAAATTACGATATACAAGTGACAAATTTGATCCTGACATCTTCGTAAATTTTAGAAATCCTGAACAATTATTGATAGCGCTCGTATCTGATGGCGGGAGATACAAGTAAATGACAGCTCCTGTACCTCCACATATTACAAAACTAAAATGAGTACAGGGTCTCCGATTACGTATAATGAGCATGCCTCTAAAATCCTCATTTTCTTTGTATTACATAATGTATAATGATATTTGTCGGGTCATTCTAAGTACCAGTCAGATATGTGTTTGCCTCTCTCGCTTCTCCTCCAAATAACAGGGTTTAACTTTGTAACTTACACCCGTGTTTCAAAAAGGAAGGGCGCATGAACCTTATCATTTTGCAAACAATATGAACTTAGTTATACAATTTTCTGCTTTTTGGCTGCATGTAATCATTACTTGCCATCAGTGGTGTAGTGCTAACTAAATAACAAGGGGGGCTCTTGCAGAAAATGTTGCGAAAAACAGTAGCGAACGTAGAAATTTGCCAATTTTCGACATCAACAAGGGGGGCTCAGCCCCCTGGACCCCCTAGCACTACACCCCAGCTTGCCATCCTCCCAAATTTTAAACTATGTTTTGGAATATGGTCGGCCCTCTGATACCCCCCTAGCACTACACCCTCGCTTGCCATTCTCCCAAGTTTTAAACTTGTTTTGGAATATGGTTCAAAAGCGACAGATGTTAAAAGCTGCGTGGGCTTTCAGTTTTGACATCGTAGGCAGAGCAAGGTGGCAAGATAATTTTCAGAACTAAACTAAATTCTTTCATGGTCGGATTAAAAAAGCTCTGTGCGGTAGCTAATCTGGGTTTGCTAACAGTATATTAGTATGCCGCCTGCAATCAGGGTCCGCAGAGTAATCAATTTTTGTTTGGCTCTATTACACAGAAATATTTTCAAAACAGTTATTTATACAATAACAATCAGTAGGCTTCCGTGGGAAATATTAAAGAAATTAATGTAAATAAAAAAGCCAATACTTTACAGTATTTATCAATCTGATATTGGATGTAATAATCAGAGCCTTTTTATAGCGGGCTCTAAGAAAAGTAGAACCCGTGTAGATTTGTTTCTATTTGACATCTGTGTTAATCATATTTACAAGCCTAAAAAGTAGATTTTCTCTAATCCTGCTCAGTTTTATAGTTGCTGAGACTATTTAATACACAATGAAACGCCGAATTAAAACTTTCAAGATAACGTAGCTGAACATTTTGTTAAGCCTATTCACGGTTACTGAAACTAAGAATGCTTTATAAAGAATACGGTCACGAAAAAATTCCTAAATGTTTCTTCGAGTTTTTTCTGTAGGACATAGTTGTTTCTATCAAGAATCCAGCAGTAAGCACAGAGCAGCTTAACGAGCACTTCCTTTGCCATTTCTTTTTATGCACGTATACCTCACATCATTCATTATTCCTCCTTTAAATAATAAGGGCTTGTGAGTGCTGTGATATGAGAGCATTTTGCATGGTAGCAGAGGGGATATATAGTACACAAAAAACTCTTGTTTATGGCCTAAGACGCTTTCACTGTGCAACCTAAACAATCTATCTATAAGGCAAAGCCACAGCTTGTGATTATATGTCAGTCTATAAAGCAAGAATCAAAACCGCAGTTGCTTAGGCCTATGGGACAACAAGTCAACATGTGCATGAAATGAAAGATCTCAGGCGCTTTGGGGCTTTTGATTGAGAAGGAACAACCAAAAGATACTACAAAGGACTAATAATTTGCTTTATGATTTACTTCCTGTAAAAACCACAAAATAAAATGTCACTGAATGATCGGGGATAGTCTTTTGTGACAAAAATGAAGCATTAGGCATCTTAAAGAAAAAAATTTGAATTTGAAAATGTTCTTGAAAGTTTTTGTGGGGCAACTATATTAGGGAAAAATGGGGCAAATTGATATGAACTGTAACAAGTGAACTTAGAAATATTAACCCATTAAAGAAAGAGCTTGAAGATTAAGAGGAATAATAAAAATCCACGTGGCTATCCTAAGTAAATGTGAGTAACTGGAAATAATTCAGCGTTAGATATCAATGATTTGCTGGTCTTGCGGCACTGTCTCCATTCGGTAAATTTGTTTGAGTTATGTTTTCTCACATGATAGCAGAAGTAAGGCCTCCGGAGGAAAAAGTTTGAAAAATTTCAATTTATGAAACGCTCACCTTTGTCAAGGAAGCAGCAGCATTAGAATTTGTCCGTTGAACAGGTCGTTGGGGTACCTTTTGGGTGGCAGTAAAAGGCATGAAAGATGACACCCAGGTGCGTTGCACTGGAGGCGCACCACTTCCCACCTATCAAAGTCAAGAAAATATAAATTCAGGGGAAAAGGAAAGAAAAAACTCAGAATATCAGTGCCAAAAAAGCAAACGCGCACGTCTTTAATTTTAGTCCTTCATTCCTCTCTGACAAAGAAGCAAGAATAAACATTTGCAATCACAGTTTCATAACTTTCGCTTACAGATTTTTTATCAAGCAAAGTCGCAAGGTTAGAAAGCATGACGAATGGATAGGAAATTAGCAAGGCAAAGCAGCTGTCTTGACATAGAACTAGATAAAAAGCATTGCGGTAAAACATTAACAAACAAGTCCGGTATCAAGTCCGGTATTTAAATAGGCTGTTAAAGAGTAATATGCAAATGTCACAAAACATTAAATAACACAATTATCAAATAAGACGATAAAAAGGTCTCAAAATGAGTTTTTAAATGTTTCTTCCGATTTTAAAATTTGCATTGTGCATAAATTAAAAGTACATTTTTGTTGTGAAAAGTTCCCACCGCACAAAAATACAACAGATTTGATTAATTTCATACCTCATTGATTTCGTCTTGAGAGAAGCCAATCAAGTTACCTAAAATCCGGACCACCTCTGGCCGTTTATTCTCGGGGGTATGGAAGTATCCCATTAACAGATTTTTCATAAGAGGCCTGCAATAAAAAAATACGGCAATCAGCAACAAAGAGACCAAACCCGTGCTAATTCATATAGAAATGATTGAAAACCAGATAACTACGACCCAAATATCGCAGCGTAGTCTTGTTCTGCTAGTGGAGTAGGTAGCCAGGGTATCCGGATGTCCACTTTTTAGCAAGGCGGAACACTCTAGAGAAAGCTTGGCATACATGGAAAAGTGTGGAAGCATTAAGCCCCGGCAAAACGACTGGACATTTGCGCTGGTCACACACTGGACATTGCTCACTTGTTTAGAGTATGGACATAAAAAAAATATTGGTGGTGGCAAAACGACTGAACATTGTCCAGTGAACTTTTTCCCTGTTGAAGAATGCGGGTGGGGAAACTGGCAACAGGGCATCTCTTTACCTTTGAAAATACACTTTTCATAGCCCTTACCGTGTTATCGTATGAATTAGAGTGTATTATTGACAAGTGGCTAGGACAGCTAGGTTTATCAAAATCACCGTACTCCTGCTCTCTGACATCGCTTTCCTTATCGGAACTAAAGCTAATCTGATCGGAAGACTCGTCGTTACTAATGAAATGCTTTTTTCTGGTATTGGTCGAATTGAATTTTCACGTTTTTTCCATTTCATTCGCGGTGTTGACTAGGAAAGTTTGTTAAAGATTTGAATAATGGAAATAAATTCGCGCCAAATCCTATCCATTACATTCATTGCGCGTGCGCGAACTGGACAATGTTCAGTAGAGTGGCAAAACGACTGAACATTTCTCTACAACATCTACGAACAAAAGAATTTTAATCCTGTCCACTGAACATTTTTGACTTCCTTCAAAATCGACTGAACAACACTCAACATCGCTGAACAAGACTGGACAAGGTGGCAAAACGACGCAACATTTACGCTGGACATTTGTCCAGTGCATGTTCAGTGAAAATGTCCAGTCGTTTTGCCGGGGCTTTAGGAAGCAAGGGAAATTAGGAAATGGATTATGAGGTTTATCAAAAAATATAAAAGAAAGTGCATCTTTGGCTGGTTGGGTGGGTAATGGCTGAAAATGCCAATAGCGCTTGGTTTGGTAACTCAGTCGTGCCACTGAATACGTCCATTTTAACTACGTTATGCTATATAACCCCTACAAAAATGTTAAGAAAAAGTGAGTAAATGATCTGTTGAGCTCTACACATCAAGGGACAGATTAAATGAAGTGCTTTTCACACGTTTTTTAGCACACTTGACAAGATCAGCTTAAAACGAGAGTCCAATCCATGTTCGCGCTATAACACTAGCCCATCTGCATATCAGCAGGAAAGATGAAGCCAAGCGAAAGTAGTTATTTAGACCTACTTTTCAATTTTTCCTTCGGTAGAATCTTTAAGCTGTTTAATCATCTCAGTTTTTGCATCAAGATCTTCCTGAAGTGCACGAGCTTGAATAGGAATGAAGATAATACCAATAATATGTATTATCAAAATAACGATCATATAACTCAAAAATAAATTCATATACCGTAAAAGCTCTATTGAGCCCGGCCGCACAAAGCAAAAATTTAAAATAAGCCCCCCTTTCTATTGAGCCTCCCCCTCCTTAGCTCCTGATGTTGATAAAAAAAACATGCGCATTGATTGGTTCTCTTGACGGGTCTGATGTGATGATGATCATGTGCTATAAAAATGGCCCATGTAACGATTGTCTTGTGCGTCTTAGCAGTCAAGAGGATACTGATGTTGATTCTTTCGAAGAAATCCCGGAGCATTGTGGCATTTTTATATGTTTTATTTTAAACAATCAATAAGCCCCCTCTCTTTTAAGACCTCAAAGACTGAAAAAACAAATACCCCCCCCCCCCCGAGGGGGGGGGGCTTAATAGAGCTTTCACGGTTTTTCCGGGATGGGTTACTCTGCAGCCTAATGATGATTGACGATAATTGATGATAATTGATGATAATTGATGATGATTTATGATGGTAATGATAGGATAATCAAGATGTGGAAAATGATAATGATCATTATCATTGATAATCATAATGGTATTCGTCGAATGTCATGATAAACGTACTATCATCGAGTAGCGATTAAAAGTTTATCAACTTGAAGCAATATCGTTTGAAATGGGTGGTCAAAATATTGGTTGATGCTTGGTGGAAAAACACGAAAGAGTATCAAAGGAAACAATACAGAATGAGATGATGAACAGCATGCGATAACTAGCAACTCTAGAGACAAAAACATATCCAGTTTCACGGATAGGCAGTAAAGTTCAATTTCCACTGTTCAGAGAAATCATCTGCAAGGCACTTAATTACCCATAGTTGGGACTTCTACTAACCTTCCCTTTGCAAGCTGGATATTACATTTTGTTTCGCCTCAACATCCTTTGTGAGATTTGCAACACCCTGAACAGCTAGAGTAGCCTCCTGGATTCGTGCCTACGAGTTCAATAAGATGTCTGAATGGTAACAGGAGGTATTTTAACAATATCCACCCATGTTTACTACCTCCCATACAGATGTCGATATGGGTATAATCAAAAGAAAATACATTTGTACGATGAACCGTATCAACTACTGAGAACTACCTTACTTATTTTGGTTTCCAGATACCTAGTCCATCCCGACCCCTAACCTGATTTCCATTAATATTTCTTTCTGTTGAGTGGTCCGAGCAGTGGGCTCGAGCCGGTACTTGTATGCCGACTATGGCGAGCGGCAACAGTGTTATCCACTACCATTCCTGTGAAAGTCAAACATTCACCAAAAACCGCTACACACCTTTCCGATGTTTATCAATAACTTTTTATTTATCAGTTATTCATAAAAGCTACATATATAGAAATCTTTTGCACAGACTGTAAGAAATTTTTTTCTACGCGTGGAACGCCAGGAAAATAGCGTTCAAATTTGTGGACAACGAATGTTTCGTGAAAATAGCGCGCGGAATTTGCAGGAAAGGAAAGTCAGAAGTTGAAATGTTGGAACATTTGAGGGGAACATGACCAGATAACAAATATCGTGCGCGGAAACTAAGGCAGATTCTTAATAATGCGCGGGCGGAATGAAGGATAAAAATTGTTGTGCGCGCTCCCCGCGAAAACCAAACTTTATAGTCTGGTATTTTTCTGTATTCGAAGGCTAGTTATCTGTGTTTTATTTTGACCAAGCTGGAACTTATAGCGCGTTCGCCTGTTTGCAAAAAACGGATAGGAAGTCAGGAAGAGCATTCTCAAACTTATCCGTTATTGAGAGTATAAAATGGAACGACCTGTATTTGTTTAAGCATTTTCCAGGGCATAAGTGAATATGTATGACAAAAATAACCAAATTCATATCAATTGTTCTTTAGCCTCGGGCTAGTGAAAACGTAGATGGGTTTGAGGAGCTTCCATTCTATTCTTTTATGCCAAAAGCGTACCACGTAAAGGTATTATGTATGGGAAAGTAAAACTCCATTCATTAAAGGATATCTGCCTGACTAAGGGTAGGAAATGCGTGGCTGACCAAAATTGGATTAATGACGCAAAAGATATTATAAAATAAGTTTTTAGCAAAGCGATTGCACACATGACAGGCTTGAAGCATGGCTAGCATGATGTCAGTTAGTGATACAAATGATTACGCAGTCAAAAGCATGTAAAATGACAAATGCTAACACTAAAGCAAAGTCGGCATTTTTGCAAACCACAACACGTGTCACCCACAATCAAAGGTATGCCTCCAAACGAGAACTGACTGCATGAGGCAGTCTCTTTGTCAATTAGAGACATACTATTGGCCACAGCTTAAAGCTTTCAATACGATAGATTATCAGATAAACAGAAAAGTCTTGTTTTGATACAACTGATGACTTTATAATTCTATGAAGCAAGGAACACAACGAAAAGATAAAAATCTTGCACGTTAGAAATCGGGTATTATAGGTTCTAAATGCTTACTGCAGAAAAAACACATGTGGTGAAAGCAGTTAGAAGGATGATTCACAGTTATGTGCTATCTTGAAGAAGGATATAAATACAAACCTACAGGTGTCCGGAGACTTCGTGGGGGGGAGGGGGCTCCCAAAAATGAGAGCATGCATGTTTAATAGGCCACAGACACTCAGTCAACAGGGTAAAGGGATGAAGAGAATAGAAATTCATAGACAACATCGAAATATTGTTCAGAAATAGAATAAAGTGGTTTCCCTACAAGTCTCTTTGCGTAGCATAAAAAGCAGTTGGTAACCTTGAGACTTGCAAATGAACTGGTTATTAGCACATACACTGGCTGAAATGCACTCACACAATAGTTTTCCAAAAGCACGAAGAACATAATATTACACGAACCAAATAACTTTCTGTCAAGGTTTCGAATCAGGACTGCTACAGCAAGAAGGAGATAAACCTACCTGATACGATTCAGTCTTTTTCTTTAGATCTTTTATCTCTCTGCTGGCATTGATAAGCTTTTTACTCGATTCCTCTTCTAGCATTTCGTATTGAGAATCTTTTTCTTCAAAAAAAAAAAGATTTTTGGTGAAAGCTTTATAAAGCCAGGAATACAACATCGTAATGTATTGTACTGGTGAATTTGCTTGGCTTAAAAAGCAAGGAGTTAAACATATGATTTAATAAGCTGCATGAAGTATTGAAAGGTTTGAAACATAATAAATAACATTATCTTGCCTCTGCTGGGGAAATCCCGATGCAATAAAATTCAAAATTTTGGGCGTCAAAATTTATTGTCATTTTTAGAAAATGGTGACAGAAAGAGAGATCACTTTGCTGAATTGAGAATAGCATAACGTGGAACCTCCATATGACAGACACCTGTGAAATCAGTACTGTACATTGTAGGTAGGTGTCCGTTATCTGGATGCTAATTCTACAATGCCTTTACCAGAAAGAGTGATTTTAAGATAAAATTCTTTCTTGTCTTGAGGTGTTCGCTTTATATAGGTATCCGTTAAAGAATGCTTGCGGTAAGTACCACCTTCAAATCTAAAGACGTATGTAGATAATTAAAGATTATCAAAGATCATCAAATAATATCAAGGATCATCAAAGATTATCAAAGATCGTCAAAGATTTTTTAAGATTATTAGAGATTTTAAGATTATTAGAGATTTTCAAAATTTTTTAAAGATCTAGGATGAATCTAGCAAAATGACGCAGAAATGACAACTTAATGCAGGCCGTCGATAGCATAAGATTTTAACAAGATTTACCTCTTTGTAGTCTTTCAAGTACTAATTGCAAATTGTTTAGCGCATTCTCTGTTTGTCGCGATCTTTCCTGCACCTCTGCTAATCTTGAAACGGCGTTATCTCTTTGACTTGCCACTGCAAATAATTGTTGCTGAAGATTCTGGATTTGGAAATTTGACTGATTGCTATAAAGGAACGAAACCAAGCGGATGGATCACAAAGATGCATCAAACACTAAAGCAAGACTTTGGTGAAAATGAAATTTTAGGCAGCATAGAATTCTGTTATAAACTCTGTTATAAACTGAATTTTTCTAAATGTACTGATGAAAATTAAACATAAACGGGCCATCTCTTCGCTCATCGGTCCAGATCCTGTATTTCTCGTTGCACAAGTCGACCCTTGATTTTTGGTTGAAAATACACGACTTTTAGCGATACCTGGTGAATACGTCGACCAACAAAACTTGCTTTTATTCATTGCGAACACAAAATATTTTATTAAGGAAACTGAAAAAAACTTATCTGGTTGGGTTTTTTATTCGTCAATATTTTCCCGACAGTATCTTATCAACTATTAGCCCACACTAAAATTTCGTGCGGCAACTGTATTGGCCGTACCCAGGGTGAATTCCACAACTATTATCTTGAATTTTGCTTCTTGCTTTAAGATATTTGTTTTGACTGACAGAAATATCACCGGTGTATAGGTCCAGGAAGAAGCACCTAGAAACTAGACTTATGCGACGAGAAATACGGTAGTATATCTCTTTAAGTAGGCTTCTTCCAACTTTTTTTCTGATGAACTTTCTTCTTTTTTTCTGATTTTTTTCTTTTTTTCTTCCATAGTCATTTCAAAAACAAAGGCATGATAACGAGCATCACAAACCTCGTTTCCTTAAATTCTGAGCTTTTCGTTTGATACCTATCTTGAAGTTCTTGTAGCCTCTTCCCAAGTTTCTGTTCTCGCTCCTGTGCTGCAACAGCCTCGTTCGTGTATCCTTCTTCAATCTACAAATTCATAAGGTCGAATAAATTTTAAAATTACACTACCAGTAAAAATTTACCAGAAATAGTACAATCTTGTATAATTGATATACTCTAGTATGCCATAGATAGGCTTTCTCTAGCATCAAACTATGATCATTTCAGATAATTCTTATTGAATGAAATGAGCGACAAACATGATTGTGATGATTTATTAGAGGGGAATTATTGCATTGGTTGGAGGAAAATGACTGGGGTAGAATGATCGATCGATTGATTGGGTGGTAGAAAGAATGACGGGGGTATTGATTGAATTACCCGCTACAACCGAAAAACCCTGGTGACAAAATTCCATAAAAGACCTAAAAATTTACATTAAATAGTTTCTTTAACTGGCAGTCTTAAAATCGTTTCTATCGCAAAAAAATAAAGATTACTCGCACTTATACTTAGATTCCATTTTTCAGTATAATCCTGTAGTTGACCAAAACATTTACTTCGCAACTCCGGTAAAAAAGCCTTACCTCTATTAAATGGTTCCTCAGTCGTTCCATATCCTTTGCTGCTTTAGCTTCTGTTTCTCTGCATTTAATAACCAACCGGTGTACCTCAGTCTCCAGTTCTTGTATTCTCTGATCACAAGTTGTTCTGGTCTTTTGCAAGTCCTCGATTATGCTATCTTTCTTATTTCCTTCTTCAATAAGATATTTATTATCATTCTGCATTTTATTCAAAGCTGCATCTCTTGCTGCCGAGATATTTTTCAGTTTATGAATATCGCCCTGCAAAACTAGTAACTCGTTTTTCTTATCCTCATAAAGTGAACGGAGTTTCTTATTTTCTACTTTCAATATTTCAGACTCGCCCATATTTTTTGTTCCTGATTTATCTACGTGGTCCTGCACACTTTGCAGCAGTTCAATTTTTTCCATAAGTGATTTTATTTTCTCATCTTTTAATCGCATTTTTTCTTCCCATTCTTGAGTCATCAACAGGGACCGCGTTTCAAAGTTATGGGAAAACCTAGAACGCTCCAATTCAAAATTGCGAGTCATTTCATCGATTCGTTTCTCTAGTTCTTTCAGATTCATTTCCAGCTCCCTTATCCTGATTGACTTTTCTCGACTTTCACTTTCCATTTGAGTTCGAATTTTACTCTTTTCATTCTCATACAAATCTAATTTTTGCTTAAGCTCGTCGTTATCATTTAACAATTTCGAGTTCGTTTCACTCATTTTATTTAATTTTTCAGTTAAACCATCAATTTTAAGTTCACAGTTATGATGATCTTCGCAAAGGCTATTCATTTGATCATTCCTATCATTTTCCAGTTGCATACTTGTTGTTTTCTCAACTCTATCGTACTTTCCATTCAATGTCTGTGAATCTTTTTCGACTACCTTTTCACTCATATTCGGATGTTTTTTTACAAGTTCATCTTTCGATTCAAATAGTTCAATCTTTTTTCGCAAATCAAAATTGCAGTTATCTTTTTCATGTATTAAAGTTAGAAGCCTCTCTTGTTCTTGCTGAAAAGCTGCAATCTGGATTTCAAGCTCTTGATTGCGTTCGCTTATACTTCTATCGATATTTGTTTGATGCTGCTTATCCTGAAGAACATTCTGCAAGTATTGGTTCCTTTCTCGCAGCCTCGCTATTTCACCTCCCTGGGATTTGTTTAATTCCATCAGTTTCTGGTGTTCAGAATGTAATACATTTGACGCATGTTCCTTGGCAACAGACCTCGCTTGTACATTTTCAAGCCTCTCATTCAAATCGACAACTTCTTCTTCTTTCTGCCTCATGAAAATAACAAGATTTTGTCGTTCAACCTTCAATAGCTCTAACTGGCTACTGTGATGTTTTGCAAGCTCCTCGAGAGTTCGACATTTTTCCAGCACATTTTCAACTTCCGTTTCCTTATCCCGAATATATTGAATAACCCTTGCACGTGATGAGAATGGCGAATCTGAGCTCCCCTGTTCTTCCATCATCTGCAAATTTAAAAGCAGCTCATCCTTGGAGCGTAAAACTTGCATCATTCTTGCAAGCTCTGACTTCAGCCTCTCAACCTCAATCTCCTTTTCATCCACAACCATTTCAAACCTTTTGTATGTTTCTACCTCTACCTCAAGTTCTCTGACCCTTTCTTGTGATTTGATATAGTCTTCTACAAGGCGTTTCTCTTCTTCATTGACACTTTCAGTTTCCATCATTGAAACAGTTTCTGACACAATTGGTTCTTCTATATTCAACCTTGTTTCAACATTAATAGTAGAGTTTTCTTTTAAGGCTACTAGCTCCCTATCTTGCGAACTACTTAATTCTTTATTTTCATCACTTTCATTGACTCGATCAAATCTTTGTTCGATAGAAGGGGACGCTCTAGTAGATTTCTTTCCTTCGATTTCAAAAATCCTTCGCTCTAGTGTCTCAATTGAAGCTCTGCAAGAAGCGATTTCATTATGAAGTTCTTTGTTACTTTCTGCAAGGTCAACATTTTCTTTTCTAAGATCCTCAACTACTTTGCTATTTTCAACTGCTACTTTCTCAGAGCTTGACTTACTATCTGCATTATCTTCCTTCCACATCTTGCTAACATCTTCTTTGGGATGAGTTTTTCCAACCGCATCTTCAACGCGCTTCTTCTTCTGCAGCAATAGTTCTTTTGCATTTAATTCATCACGAAGATATTCATTTTCATTCCTCAAATCTTGAATCAATATCTCTTGCTCGCGCATCAGGTCTTCTTCGATCATCTCTTTTTCTCGTAACTCTTCGTCTTCCTCTTCCAGATTCTTTATCATAACTTTAGTTTCAATTTCCTTTCGCGTTTTATCATTTATCTCACGCTCTAACTTTTCAACCTTCATTAAAACATTGTTCAAATCTTTTTCCATGTCAGCATTTGTTTCATTCATCAAAGAATTCTCCTCCTCCAGAGATGCAAGACGTGCAGTTAGTTGTGCGCATTCCTCCTGCTTTCCTTTAAAAAGACTCATTGTCTGCTCTAGCTGTCCCTGTATTTCCTGCAAGTCTAGATCTTTTTCTTCAACAAGCTGGTAAACAAGACTGTCGTGTTTCTCTTGCTGTTCAACGATAAAGTCATCTCTGTCGTTTACCATTCTCATGATCCTTTCTTTCTCTATTTTCAAGTCATCAAGTTGCATTTTCAATTCACCGATTTCCTTGCTATCGTCGGTTTCATTCGTGTCTATTTGAAACTGCAGCTTATCCAGTTCCGTTTGCAGTTGCTCTCGTTCTGCTGTCAGCGCTGTTTGGCCTTGGCTCATCAGCTCAAGGTCTTGTCTAAGCAAATCAACGGTTTCTAGAAGTGAAGTGTTTTCATCAACAACATCTCTGTGCTTCTCTTTCCAAATCCGCAACTGGTTTCTCAAATCTGACAAATCCTGCATAAGAACATCTTTCTCTGCCAGCACTTTGTCAAGTTTCATACGCCATTTATCAGCATCAGTTTCACTTATATTCTCCATGACAACATCTTCAACAACAAGACGCACCTTTGTGAGAATGTCTTCGCATGTTTGGCCTTCGTCTTCTACAACATCGCTTTTGCCATCCTTTTCATTATTTGCATCTGTGAGAAATCTTACAATATCTAATGACTGTTGTCTTACTCTTGACAATGAAGTTGCCGAATCTTGGAACTTGGTTGTTATACGGCTTATCTCCTCCGCGGAATGTTGGAGCTCTTGCTCACGTTCGTGAACCGTGGCTTGCAAACTGTTAACAGTTTCTTGCCGTCTAAAAATTTCATTTGAAGCCTTGTTGACATACGAATGAAGCAACAAGCCCAATTCTTCAGATGCTTTTTCCCCTTTATTGGTATCATCAACATTAGGAACATCTAGCCTAACTTCAGGGCGTTGCTTTAGAAAGGTAATCATTCCACTAATGTCATTTGTTACACCCTGAAAGTCTCTTTTCAAACGATCTAGTTCTTCAATCAGAGCTTTACGATCTTCCTTAGCTTCCACTAGGTTATCCCAGTCTAGAGAACTGAGATCGGTTTCCGATTCTTGGTCGTAAACGTCAACAAAGCTGGATTCCTTTTCACCAACCTTCAATTTCAATTTCAATTTCTTCTGCAGATCCATTACAACTTTCTCCAAAGTGCCCTTTTCAAACTCTAGGTCATTTTTGATAACATTAATTTCATTTAACTCTTTCTCCTTAAGAAGAAGCTTCTCCTCTAGCTTATTTATCATCTTTTGCTCGCGGCTTAGCTCCTCAGGCTCCTTTGGTGCCCAGGCTTTACTATCTTGCGGCTGTTCTTCGTCAAAGAAATACCCATCAGCTGTAGAATCTGCAACTGCAAATGGCTTGAGCATTTTAGCAGCTGCCTTCATGTCTGCATTACCATGATCAACGCTATCAAAATCTATCTTTCGCATCTTCCGCTCAGGCTCAACATCTGAATCACGTGGGCTATTATCAGACGTTCTCGATGGACTCACAGTTCCATCTATCGTGCTTGTATCTTCATGCTGTATTGCAACCTGCGCTTCAAGAGAGCTGACCTTCCGCTCAAGACCTTCAATGGTTCGTTCTAGTATAGACTTTTCTGCTACTAGCGCTTCAATGGTGTCACTCTGTGAGTTAACATTTCTTGAAGTATCGTCTCTGTTATTTTTGCGACCAAGCTCTGACACTGCGTGGGCGACCTCGTCTGCAACGTAATCAGCATCTAACTGTAACTCAGAAACAATTTGTATACGACGATCTATTTGCTCATCTAAACTTGACAACTGAGAATTAATTCTACCTGACTCTGAACGGTTTGAATCGAGTTTTTGGTCGACAGTCTGTTCAAGCTTCTTCTGTACTTTTGAAATTTCATTCCGCAACTGAAAAGCTGATGCCTAAATGAAAATTGATAGTTGGTATAAGTATGATATAAACCCTAAGAATGACCTTTGATGTGGATTGTCACTGAATGTTTTAGAAACAACTTCAATCGCCAAATCAAAATCACATTGGTATATAGAAACAAGCACTGGGCAGATGTTTAGCAGTTTCTTACCATTACTCTTGCTACTATTGAAATAGTTCAGAGACCATTAAAGTTATTTCACTTCCAACAAAGCAATTCATTTCAAATATCAATTATAAAGAATACTGATAAGAATGGATTAGTATAAGACAATAAAAATGGCTTTACAAAAGCAAACATTTGAGTAAACTAAAGCTTTTCGCCCTGACACTCTTCAGAGTTTAAAACGTCAGAACATAGATCGAAAACTCTACGCTAGGAAACATATAAACCCAGTTGTGGATCGAAATAGGCCAATCAGAAACGCCAGCACATGACTGTTGAGGTTGCCCAATCAGTGCCACTTGCCTATAGAGAATGTCCTCAGGTGAAAACGAACTCCTTTTGTCTACACAATAGCGGTTTTTTCGTGCTTATGTAGATAAAATTCTCTATACGAAAGCGGCACTGATTGGGCAACCTCAACAGTCATGTGCCCGCGTTTCTGATTGGCCTATTTCGATCTACAACAGGGTATATATATTTCCTAGCGTAGAGTTTTCGATCTACGTTCTGACGTTTTAAACTCTGAAGAGTGTCAGACGAAAAGCTCATTCAGTGATTCCATTGAAACATTGGATTATTTTCTACGTTAATGCAAAAACATGTAAATTATCATTGACTTTATTAATGAGTCCATCATTAATTGTTTACTTTCAGTTATGTAATTTCTAGTTTTGAGGTTTTAAGTTGCTTTGTTTAATGGGGCTTCAAACGCACATATTCCCTCTGCTTTTCACCCTGCCACTAGGCCAGTAGCATCATAGGTAGTTTTCGCTCGACAACAGAGCTTAGAAGGCTTTTTACGAAATTCGGTTAAAAATCTTTTGTTTCCTGATATAAAGAACAGAGCATAAACAAGGATTTTTTTGCATGGCTTCCCCGCCTGATATCAACAACTGAATTTTGAAAAAGATGAAAATTTACATGTCTGAGCTGTTGTTCAGCCCGTAATCTTTCATTAGATTTTCTCAATTCGAGGCTGACCTTCTGATGATGCTGATACAGCTCCACGTATCTTCGGCCAAGCTCTAAAAACCAATCAAAAACGAAAGGTAAAGGAAAGAGGATAACTGAAAAGACGCTTTTTGGCTTAAAAATACAATTTAGAGTTGGAATAAAGTTTTTGTCTCAAGTCTGTTAACAATGTTTATGTCAAAGTGGCTAGACCTAGGTACAATAATATAAATACCTAGACAAACAACTCTTTTTTCCTTGATCTAGAACAGCAGAGTTTATGTAAACCACGGGTAGTAATCAATGTAGCATGTGGTGTACTTGAAATTGCATTTTGTTCGTTGCGTAAGATTTTTTTTTACACGGGACCAACATACTTTTAACACGTTTGTGACACTTTATCGCAACTTCTTTAATTGCATATATAAGCTACACAATAAAACATGTCACAGTTGACATACAGAAACACTACAGAATCTTATGTATTGCATATGTATTGGAAAGTTGTTTCTTTTTATGCTTTCTGTTGTATGGTCTAAAAGCATACCAAATATTTTGTAGCACTGATAATACACAGAAAAATGTTCATTGAAGAATTCGCTAAGCAAGCTTCAAGGTCTTATGATTTATATACATCAAATGCTAGGCCACTATGAAGTCAAAAAGCAGAGTAAACCTTAGTCATCTTATTCTTTATGTTAGCTTACATTATAAGAATATTTGTAGCTACCTTTCAAAGATTTTTGCATTTTCTTTATCTCCTCGGCTGGGTTTCCTTTTATTGTACAAATCTTCCTTAAACTTTCAATTTCCAAAATCTGTTCTTCTGATAAACTTTTCTGAAACTCTAGCTCCTCCAATAAATCTGACGTACAGTTTCCTAGCCGCAATATATCACTTTTTAACTCGTCTAACTCTTTGATATTATCGTTAAGGTCTTCATTCTCTGCTACAAGCTTCTCCTTTTCTGTTCTCAGGCTTTCCATTTTAAGAATGATTTCATCGTTTTCAGTTTTTAATTGGCTGAACTTTTCTTCTTTTTGACACAATTCTAAAGATACTGCAACATTTTCATCTCTTATTTCATTTAAATTTTGCATTAAACTATCAAACTTCTTTCTCCACATGCTGTCTAGCTCTTCCAGCTGCTCTTTATCACTTCTATCAAATGAAACAATCTTTTCTCTTTCGCCAATATTTGCTGATAACGTTTCTACCTCGCCTTCTAAATCAATGATCTTCTCATTTCCCCTTTTGACTTCCTCCTTTAACGACAATTTCTCCTCCTCCACAATTTTTCTTACCCGCTTTTCTTCGACGATTTGATTCTGCAAATTTTCCACTTGCTTCCTTTTAATTTCATAATCTAAGGAAAGCGTTTTGTATTTATCCTCCGTCACTTTGTCGTTTACTTTACTTGCAGCAGGTTTCTCTATATTTGTACCAGCTGAAGCTAAGAAAAAGCCAAGAAACATTACCAGGAAAAAGCAGCAGCAAACATTATTTTTTGACAAAAATTGATAATATTGTCTATTAGATAGAACATTATACCACAGCATTAAAGCTATTAAATTACTGACGAGTTAGAAAGACCTTTGAAAGTCAATGCTCTTCAAAAATTTTTATCACTTTTTGAACAAGTTTGCATCACACAATAAAAATATTTGATTAACATATAATTCACTGTGTTTAAATGTTTTCTGCAGAGTCTAAGCTACAAAAATTAAGCATTTTGATTCTATTCAGAAAATGATGAGGACATTGAGAATCAAAATGTTTACTGGATAAAACTTTTCTATCAATGCTTTGTCGTCTTGATCAATGGAGCAGAATTTAGATTCATCCACTCCAATCCTCAACAGAAGATGCTCTATATATGGAAAACATACCGGTTTTTCGCTCATATTCTTTTATTTCACTCAGCAGACTCTCGTTTTCATTAACCAGATCCTCTAATTCAGCTTGATGATTCTTATTCATTTGAGCAATACGTTTTGAATATGTGCTCTGCAAGCTTGCTATTTCCTCTTGATGATGGTCTTTCAGTTGTTGCAGTTCTGCCTGGTTATCCTTTAGGATAAGTATGAATTAAATCATTGGAGTGCAATCATTGCAGTTGAATTATGAGAAAGAATCAGTACTTAAATGACAATAATGACCTTCCATGATTCCAACACATAAAAATTCAAGAAACACCCACTTTCAAAGTAGAATCAAAATTTTAAATTTCTTACTCTGATGCAAAATGCCATTTTTTAAAAAAAAATTTCTTTAAGAGATTTGAACAATAACCTAAGTCAAAAGAAATTATTGCAGTTGTGTGTGTATTTTTAAAATATTCTAGCAGCCAATAACAATGTCTAAAAGTTCATCTTTAAAGGATAATTGATTACTATAGTTCACCTGACTTTTGGCAGCTTCTTTCCAATGGCGACATTCTTTTTTCACCTCGTCAAGCTCTTTTTTCAATTTATTGAGAGTCATTTGAAAAAACTCTGGATCCTCAAATTCCATTCCATCTCTGGCAAATGAGTCATCTTTTTGGGATGCAATGATCCCATGTCTTAAATCGACTTGTGAAGATTTCAGTCTTTTTATTTCACTCTACAAGAATGGTGTAGTTTGGACAATGCAAGTACACTAACATTAAATCATATTTCAAAATTTGCAAACATTGACATGATCCGTAAACTCCATAACAATCTACATAGATTACAGACTTGTTGTATAAACCATTCTTGATCATGAATTTAAGAATGTAACATCATTTCTAATGAGTTAATTTGATTTTGGCAACAATATCTACTACAAACTGCTAAATCAATTGAAAAATCATAGATAAAAGTGTGCCATCTTTGATTCCATATACCAACTGGTAAAATTTCTACTTGGTATGCAGATACAGCAAAATGAACTTGATCAAGCTCCAAATAGAACAATTCTGTCTTATCTTGTGAAAGTAAAATACCTTTCAATACCCAGACTTGCACAGCCATATAAGTAGCCCAAAGCACAAACTGAACTCTTGGCAAGATTATAGCCTGACAATTAATATTGGGAGTAAAGCTTGACTTTTTTCTTATCATTTTATTTGCTAGTAGGGACCAACAACTTACACTCACTATGTTTCCAAATATTTCTTAAGGAAATCACACATTTTTATCTGTACACAAGAATTTGCTGGTAATGAAGCTAAAATATGTTCCATTTTAAAGTATCTTTGAAGAACTCAGGGACACTCGAAAGATTGATCCAAGCATGATCAAAATCTAGATGATCTTAAACTTCTCAGATGTACATCAAATGCTCAAATATACAAAGAAACAAAAAAAGTGAAATGTATACTTATAATGTTTTTGTACCTCTTTTTGTTCTATAACAGCCCTGTATTCATCTGATAGTGCCTGTATTTGAAGTTCAGCTGAGACAGAGCGATCATGAAGCTCTTCATTAAGAACACTTACTCTCTCAACCTGTATTAAAGATGAAACGCTAAAACCCAAGCAGTTATGAATCGACAGATACTTCTATGAAAAAAGCATATTTTAGCCTTAATTTCTAGCAACAAAAAGTTTGAGTGGAGATTTCCAGGCCATAAGCTTTGTCAGTGTTTGAATGTATTCAACATACAACAACTAAAAGGAGCTTTTTCAAAATATTTTTATAAAACAAAATGCTAAATATCTTTGAACTTTGCATGAAGATGGAATGGTAAGAGAAAGACAGGAAACTTTAATCAAATCATTCCATGAGTTATGCTAGTCAACCAATGGTAAAATGGAAATAGTGTTTTTACTGGTGCTAGTTTATAACTGCTAGTCAGTTATATTTTGATGTTTTGACCCTTTCATAATGAATCAAATATCTGAACATAGCATACTTAGTACTTACAACATTTCTCAGAGTATAAACGTTTGATAACAACTTATGGTAAAAAGAAATGAACATCTGTGACACTTGTGAGCTTTTCCACTCACATTACTTTTGATCTACATTTTCTGATTGATATTTGGATCTACAAACTTCTGCTCATGTGATTCTTTTCTTTGCATTCAGGATTTATTGTTTTGTACTTAACAACAAAAACATATACAACACCCCTAAAAAAGATTGAAAGCTCTAAAAGACTTAATAATAAAATTCTAAATCAAGGGGACACATTTCATGATTATACGTACCTCATCCTTTTGCTTTTGCAAAACACTCTCTAAATCTTTTATCTTTATGTGGGCCAATTTTAATTCTGTTTCTTGATCTAAAATAGAATCAAAGCATGTTATAAATAATGTATTGATCATTGTTTGACAAAAACGCTGCACTTAGGGCAAGAGAGATTTGGAATGACTTACATAGATAATCAAGGCTTCTTCTAGGCTTAAAAGCTGGTTTTTATGCAAGTAGCAATGGCAAATAGTTTGTTGTTAAACTGAAATATCTTTTTGAAAGAATTTACAGTAAACTTTTGAAAACTTGGTGAGTAAAACTGGCTATCATAATGAAAAAAGTGTCCAAAGCCAGTAAAAATGACATTTCAGTTGTAAAATACACTGTGGGTGGGAAAATAGTACCACACAATATCATCCCATCAATGTCAGAATCAAATTGTCTGTGGAAATCTTCCATTAAAATTTCCTGGATCATTTATTGAGTTTGCAGCATTTGTGCATTTGAGATATTTTAAGAAAACTAAACAAGTCAATTGGCTACTTATTCTTACCTTTTGGAAGTAACAGGCCTGAAAGTTATCTGCTTATAGCTTTTCTTTCATATTTGTTAGTAGCAATAAAGATTATCAAAATCGTTAAGAAATTTTGCTTGCAAGAATAAATACAGATAATGAAGAATATAATATACTATATTTTACACAATATTTGAATCTAAATATATAAACAGTTTGCGTCTCGAACCAAAACAATCTGTAAGCAGGACAGTTTGTTTTCTTCAATGTGTACTTTAAAAGTACCGCTATTGAATAGAAAAGAAAATACCAAAAATTCTGATTTGATACGGGAAACACAAAATGCTTTGCCAAAAATGTCCTCCATGTAAATATGTTTACATTGTGCAGTATAAAAAATCTAACAAGACTTAGAGTTGGATTTAGTCCCCTAAGAATCTTTGTGTATGAATCTTTGGAAAGCTTTGGAGGCGCTTAGTAACCTCTTGTTGTTTGGCGAAGAGAAATTAAACATTGTCCCAAACAAAATGATTTTGGGTGCCACATTTTCGTTCATCGAGAACACTAAGCAGCTCAACTAATATTCAGTGTGGGATCCATGTAGCTTACACCAGAGATATTCGACGTAGACTAACGATTTCCCATTGTCTTTCTAGCGTTTATTGGCATATGTCCGGCGTGAGCTTCACATGATTCCACCTTGGCTAATATTTTCAGCAGTTGCCGATATTCATCCTGTGTAGTGACCTTTTTGGCTTTTGTCTGTCGTGTTTATCTGCGTTTTATCGTTAACAACATGTTGTTGGGTTGTTATTTTTGTTTACAAAATTGACATTGGAATTGTAAGTGTCATCCATGGTGCTTTTACTCGCCATGGGAACATGTAAATAGCATTTCGTTTTATTAGAAATTAAGCTATGCTGCTTTCAATTTAGATTGAGAACTCAAATTTCCTCAAGTTCTGACTCTTAGAGGGCAAAGTTCAACGAAACAACTTTATGTCCTTGTTGCTTGTGCGTGGACCACACACATGTACTCTTAACAAACTTTCAATTAAATATAAAAAAGCACCTTACACACATGAAATATCTTATTGTGTTACGAAAAAAAGTACTCTTAAGGTTATACAAAAGAGATCCGGAGAACTTACCGTAGGCCTCTTCGGTGCCTTCTGTCAAAACCTCTCGAGTAAAGTTAGAAATTTGTCCTGTAATTGTCGAAAAGTTTCCTGAAAGATTGCTGAGGTTGTTGGAAAGATTGAGCCATGACATGTTGAGGAATTTTTATCTTATCCTTTTGGAAATATTTTATGCAAAACTTCTGTGCCGCTGTTTCTTCCTGGACTCATAGAATCCAAGATCCTTTGAAAGAAAATCGGATGTGAATAACTCGAAAACCAAGCAAAGCTAACCAAAAAATACGAAGCTTGCCGAAGTCATGCCTAGTAAGTATTTAACAAAACTGCAGCCATAAAAAAGCTTTCCACATTTGTTCCATTTCATTTCAATATTCACGCGTTAGTTAACCTTACGATGATAAATTTTCACCAACACAACAACGGTGACATGGCACCGCGGCCATTTTGAAAACTATGATGTGGCACGCAAGGTGTTATGGGTAAGTATCTACATGTCGATCAGCAAAATCCTCGGTTCCGAAGGCCTGTTTGCACATCTGAATCTGAAAAAACGTTGGAATGACTATAAGCAGTTTAAAGAAGGCAAATTTTCAATGTGCCTTAAGCATACCCCTTATGCCCCAGAATTTTCTAAAACGATAGAAAAGAAGAGAAACAACTCCTTTACAAATTGTAAAACGAAATACTTTGCATATACAGGCCCGTGACACTCCTAAAATGGGGGAGGGGGGAGGGTAATTATGTTAAACTCACTCATAAAGATTGCTTTCAATTTTCTCTTTGAAATTATTGGGAACCACGGCTTTGGTTTTTCGCGTGGACGAGTACCCAAAGCGACAGAAATTCAGTCTTTTATTTGGGGAGGGGGGGGGGCAGCTTCGGCCTACCATTTTCCGGCAAGAAGACAGACGAAACAGGATATCAGGGAGCTGAAAATCTGAATTTTCCGATACCGAAGGGGTACTCCCATTAAGGCCTGACAGTGGGGTCCAGTCGATTTGGGCTCTTACCAAATGGCTATTAAATGGCCCAGTTTCAATAATAACATAACAGCTTAGTTTAGCTTGCGATTTGTTATAGACAATGAACAAGGTTTTATCTTTCCCGAAGCAACAACAGTCAACGGTAAAGAAATTTGTCAAAGAATGACCAGGCGCGTACAAAGAAATGGATGCTACCAATAAAATAATTTCCGTCCTTATGCTACCATTTGGGGGTTATTGTGAAAAAACAATACCATTTAAGGGTAACTTTTCACTTTTCAACATTTTAGCTTTGACCCTCATTGACCCTGACTGGACCCCCTGTTATGCCATAATGGGAGTAGCCCTGCCCGTGTTCCGATAAAGGCTCAAATTTTAGGCTTTAAAATTTTTTCAGCCACAGACTGCAGTAGTAGCCTGGTTCTCAAACAACGAAAACATAGGCCCTTTTCTGCTGTAGCATATTCCATTAAGTAAACTCTGAATTGCAAGCGAAGAAAAATCGGGGGTGCTGCAGTACTGTGTTTCCATTTTTCTGTCAATTTCAAGGATTGAGAAATTTGAGTTCAAAGGCGTCATTTCGAAAGGTGCCGTTTTAAACTGCGTTTCTTACAATTTGCAATTTCTCACAATTGCGGCTCTTAGATTAACTTTCTCATGGCCCCATTGAATGGGTTGTGTGGGTGAAACCAGTGAATTCGGAAAAATCAAAATTGTCGCATAGATCCCTAGATGATTCCCAGGGAATCTGCAACACAAAGATTACATGCAAAACTGTAGACTTGACGCAACATCTTCGAAACGAAATATATCACGTCCAGGTTCATTGTTCTAGATACAAAAATTTGCAACAGAAAACTCCACGCTAACATCAATCACACCTTTCAGAGGGCTGTACGTTTTATTCTTGCAAACTTATTTCAGATTTCATGAATTTCTGCTAAACGCCAGAGTTTGATAATGCCGAATAAGGAAATTTACTTACAGGAAAAGATCCTGGGTAGACATTACTCAGGAAAAAGTTTTCGAGTATTGGAGAGAAACAAAGTCTTTGAGCGCTCAAATTCGAAAGAGCTAGAAGCGTTCGATTTGCACATTTCGAAACTGAGAATTGAAAAGGAACGCATCAATGCAGCCAGGCAAAAGCTGATTTTAAGCAGGAAACTTTTTAATTCAACGGGCAAGGTAATTCAAAGTTTGCGGGGAAAGACTATTGAGGACGATGTTGCCGTTGAATTGAAACTGATGCGACGAGCAAACAGTGAAATGGGGCTTGCAAAAGTATCGCCCACTTTAAAGAAGAAAACAACCAGAAGACAGTCATTACGGTTTTCATTTGGATCAGAGAAAGACAATGATGATGATGAGAATAAAGCAGAAGAAAATGCGGTTGGTAAAGAATCAATGGCAATCGATTACGTGGCTGACAAGCCAGAGGTATTCTGCAAGCAATTATGCTCACCTCGTACCCTTAAGAAGGGAATGAGTTGTGAAGGATTGAGCAGCGATCTATGTGAAGTAAACAGCACCATTGGTACGGAAGAGGGAGACGATGAAGTATTCGAGAACGGTGACTCGGTGTATGAGAAACCATCTTTTTCCAACGAATTGGCAGTGTCTAAGGCTAAGAAGGTTCATTTTAAAGACGAACTCATTGACAATCCCAAACATTTAGATGGGAAAATCAGAGGTTTGTCGGAGACCTTAAAGTGCACGCACATTGACGAGACTGAAATGAAGCAACACAAATCAGAGGCTGAAGAAAAGGAGGACACTTTACCACCAATAAACACCATCTTTAGGCAGCCTCGATATTCTGTCGAGATGTTGATACCTGGCTCCTTTTCACCAAGGTTGCCAAGGCCAAAATCGAAATCGGGAGTTGGGAGTGAAGCTGATGTTCTGCCAAGAATTGTTGAGCGGAGAAGAAGGTCTTTGTTGAACATTGACGAAATACAAAAGATGGTCAAGTTGCATAAAGACAGTAATCTGGGATTAAAGAAATAGAAATCGTGTAAAAGTTTGCCCTTTCTTCTCTAAAACAAGGTTGAGTATGACCTACAATAATTTCCTTTTTCAGTCTAATATAAAAGATACTACCCAAAAAATAATTTTACTGTCCTGGTTTACCAAACAATGCAGTATCTCTGTTTTGTTTTTGACGTAAAGGGCATAGAAATGAATTACAAAAAAACAAACCATTTTTCAAAAAATTTTGGTAATAAATCCTCTTATATACATTGAAACCAATATGCTACGGGGATTCGTAATAGAAATTTTCTAATGAATCTGCAATCATTTTATTAACTCAAATATTTGAAGCACTATTCATCAACAACAATTTAATGCTACATTCATACTAAATCTTCCGAGGTTTGGGTGGCAAAAGTACTAGTTTTTTGGCATGAATAATATTGATATAACAATGTTCCTGTGGGCACGAAAAAACAAAGCCAAACAGCCATCCAATCTCTTCGTCATAATTGCCCAGAATCTTAGAAAAACAGCCCCTCCAAAAGTGCAATTGTAACTTTAGGGGTATTTGCTCAGGTAAAACTTTACCGAAAAATGTAGCACTGTCTTCAGCATATCAGTAAATTCTATCCGACTATGCAGAGTGTATTGAAGCTGCGCTTTTGGAGTTGTTCATAGCTTTTTTACAGGTGTCGTCGTTTGAATTTTCACTTCTCTAACAACTTTTTTAGTTAAACTCAACAATTTATACAAATCAACACTATCATTCATAAAATAATTTATAAATTATAACTAATTTCATGCTATATACAAAAGACGTTGATTACTATTTTCAATGACGTGTTAAAAGATTTATGCATTATAAAATCAACAAAACAAAGTATCCTAGCAGAGAAGACAATATCGGTTAATCGCAAAGAATAACATGAAAATGGTTTTGTTCAGTAGGCACAAGATACACCTTCTTACATTTCAAGTGTAAATTTGCAAAGTAACTTGACCCATCAAAAGATAACTTTCGAAACAATGCAACATGACGTGTGTCATATATATCATGAATCCTAATCTGTGTCTTGATATTCGATTCCAATGTATCTTACTTATTCAGAGTATTTTATTGAGGTTCAAAGTTATTCCCTGGAAATTTTTCCAAAAAAATTATCAAGCATATGTTGTTGCTTTTTATTGTATTGTGATTATAAGGGCATCCTAAACTACAATACCAAAATGTCACATATAGTCGACATATAGTCCAAGGACCAATATATTAGAATAAAGAGATTGGAGATCATGCAAACATGACGACGTTACCATTTTCACTGCCTACCAAGTACAACTGATTCACCGGCAGGACTTTCAGCTTGCTTATTGCTCCTCTGAACACCTCTGGAGGAAGCTTGATACTCTCGTAGCTTGCCTATAACAAACAATGCTCTAATGAGAATAAAAACATAAGTTTTATATTCATCTAGTATAATCAAATGAAATGAAATAAAAACAAAATGTTGCGGCCAATGAGAGGTCCCTCCTTGCTTGCTTATAAATAGCAACCTAAAAATGGTATTTTAATAACTGCTCTTGTAAAATTAACTTCTCTTAAGGGAGCACCTTCCCTAGTCCCAGACACACAAAAAGCCAATCCATGAACATTATTCTCATCGAGGATTGGTTGGTCAAAAAGTAAGAACAGCGTAAGAAGATCCCCAGCCTCAGATCCAAAATTAAAAGAGGTAACAAGGCTTTGAAAAAATCTTCTTTCGTGTGAACAAAGGAGAACAGACTTCATAAGCTAATCAACCATGCTACTGAAGGTGTTATGCAATACAACATTAGGAACACCTGAACCTCAAGTAACTGTAGTAATAAAAAAAATGGGCTCTTATAGAAGAATTGAGTAAATATTTTCAACTACATTTTTCGATTCATGTGCATTAAAAAATACAATTAACACGACCTTTTATTAAAACTTGATAATTTCTTATATTTTCTTATCTTATTCTAAACTACAATCCAATTTCAATATTTACTGTACCCGAATTAAAATGATCGAAAAAGCTAGATAATATCTTCATTCGCTCCCTCAAGCCTAAGCTAATCACCTCCCCTCCCTCCCCCCAGTTACTGCCACCGAGTACTGACTCGGGGCTGGATAGAAATAAGGTGAGCGTCCCATTCACTGACCGAGCCTTGACCGAAATCCACAGATTTTAGTATTGCGGTCGAACGGTCTATCTTATTTGCAACTTGGTCTAGACATGCTGTTTATACTTACACCATTTTCAATTTGATGCGTAATGCCAATCCGGTTTCCACTTGTTGTTGACCAGACACACTGGCTTTTACAAAATGTTACACAATTAGCCGGTTCTGGAGGACCTACAAACATAAGAATTTCAAAATGGTATTGCAGTGTGGAACAACTGATAAACTAGGGTAAATTCTTACTAAGTTGCAACCAACATGACAAACAAGCAAGCTAAATGTATTTTGAAAACGTTTTTTATTCTTTGTCCGTACTGGAAAATGGTCCTTTTCTGATAGCGCCTACTCAAGGCATAATTGATTCTGGGGACGCACCGGCCTTGGCATTGCTTTCATTTTGTCATGTGACATAAGCATAAGGATACAAAGAGCATAGGGATACAAAGAACAAAGGGATACAAAGAGCACATGAATACAAAGAGCAAAGAGCATATGAAAACAAATGAATGGAAATGACCAGCTAAGTAGTTCTCATACACTCTCCAACACCAAAGAATATAAAAAAGATAGCAAGTAGGATATTTTCAGTCTCAAAAACAAACTATCAATGGAAGCAGCAGAAATTTAACTTATTGAATAAACGCATTTGTGTATAGAACAAAACGATTCTAAGTTGCAACTCCAAGTTTCACGCTTTATCACTCCAATTATCAGGCAGATGTTTATTGAATTTTAATATTTATCAAAACACCGCACTTATGTTTGTTAATTCCTCAATGAATTAGCAAATATAATAGTTCATTATTTGACGTGAAAATGTGAAAATGAGTCTGTATCCTTACGTCTAAATCGAAGTGCAAGAGAGCCATCCTCATTCCACATCTTCATGAGCAAGTCATTAGAAGAGGACAAGAAATTGTGGTCAGTATAAGGCTCAATCTGTGAAAACAAATTCCAGTTATCAATAATAGAATCAAACTAGCACATTTTTCTGAACAAATAAAGGCAAATGTTTAAAAATATAAGTTTATCTAATTCAATGTGTGCATTTTTGGTCTTAGTAAAGATGAGACTTTGCGGGACAGAAACCAAATGTCGCGACAACGAAAAGCTTTGTCTGGATTCACTGGCTGGTAGACAGATAATTTACTCAGACATTACACAAGTAGCTTATCTTGCAAAGTTATCCTGAAACTGTTTTACTGAAATATTCAGTTGCGTCGTGCAAAAATGTTCCGGATCAGCCACCGTTTTGTATGTATTTAAAGCGTGAGAAAAGCTATGAGACCAACGGTACTACTATAACGAGCTTACTATATGCTATCTAGTTTTAAAATATGATTTTTTTATCTGTTGTGTGTCATCAATAGATAAGATACGTAATGGAACAGTATCTATTAAGGGAAAAAGCATAAGTTATATCTAAACGCCTTTATATTAGAGAAATGAAAGGTAGCAGAAGAGAGACCAGAGATCCCAGAATCTTTAAACCTTGGGATGTGTGACTTGCTTTGTGCAACTCCATTCGAGTGGAGAAAAATAGCAGCTGCTCGACCATGAAAAATCTTACCTGTAGTATCTCAGATTCATGCGCCTTCCATTGGCTTCTTAAAATCCCTGTTCTTAAGTCCAACACAGATATAAATCCACTCGAAAAGCCAGCAGCAATCCACGTTCCAGTTTCATTGACACAAAGGCATTTGACACTACCTGCAAACGAAAGCCAAATTCAGTCTTCATTTTCAAAACCCCATCGCAAGAAATCGCTAGAGACAAAGCACTGTAAGCCTATGTGCATATGTAAAAAAAATTAAAATACCAGTGGGCTGCATCGAACAACCACTAAAGCAAATATCAAGCTTGTACAACCATTATTATTCTTATTCTTGAAATCAATGAAATTACTATAGTACCAAAAGGATATTTTCAACCACATTTATCAGGAGAATGTGATGTTACGAAGTGTCTAAAACCTGATAAAAATAGCACACTGAGCAGGCCAAGGTATATATCTAAGTTTTACCTGCCGCACTGCTAGACACCAATTTCCATTCAGAAGACACCGACTTCTCTCGTACATCGTACAGCCTACAAACAAAAAAATGCACTGATTCGCTTCTGATTAATCGCTAAATCAACCCAAATCCTTAATTTCCTTAGAAATCTTTTGACCTAATGGGTTCGAATGTCTTACATCATCAGACTCACCATTGAAACATTGCTTCGGGTGTATGTGGAAAAAGCGAGGTTTTCAAGTGAGGAGTATTAGCCAGTCAGGTTGGTTTTAACGATGTAGACAGGGAACAACATAAAAATGCACAAATACAATTTTGCGAGCCTTGTATACCAGAGCAAATCTGGTAAGATTTCTAAGCCTGATATTTGAATATAAACGGAGATTACTTATCATTTAAATGTAAGACTATCTACATCCTGGTACAGTTCATGTAACAGACGTTGCTTACAGCTATAAATGTCTTCAGCACATTCAAACTAGGACAGATTTGACTTGCTTGGTGCTTCTGTATGGACTGAACTAAATTTGTATTTTATGGAACGATGCTGACTCTAGACTTCGCTTTTCCCCTTACCGTCCTTCTCCTTCACAGAGGTTAACAAAACAGAACAAATATCAAGGGATTTTTCAAGCACGAAACAGAACATAGTTGGGGCAATTTTATCATTTATTGGAACGCACCTTATAGTTCCTTCGTTTGTAGCCATAGCAACAGTTACGTTTGGAACAGGCAGGGTTCTGATGCTAGTTATTGAGCTGTTTTTACCAAGGTCAACAGTACTGAGGGTGGCACTTCTGATTGGGTCCCAGACCTTTGACGAAAAAGATTGTCACCATTGTTAAAATGATATAGGAATCTGCTAACCAGGACGAATAAGCAATTGGCGAAGCTGATAATATAAACAACAATGTCTAGCAAAGCTGGTGCAAATGGCAAGTAGGCTAGAGTGAAGAGCCCTGGTTAAACTATGTCATCTTTTTCTCTTCCTTAAACGATTACTCTATAAACTTTTCTATAGAGTCACTGCTATAATTCGGACTAAAAAGTTAAAAACATGGGAAGGAGAGAAGAAAAGAGGAAAATACATACGTGAACAGTGCCATCGCACGACACAGTGAACCTTTTCGACTCAATCGACTGGACTGCGAATACACCCTTTGTATGCTTATCGTACGTTTTCATACATGCAAGCTGGCCTGTACCGTTGCCGTGGTTTTTTAGCAACCAGAATTTGACACTTTTATCACGGCTTGCTGACAAAAAATAATGCTCGTTGTCCGGTATGTAGATGTCACGGACAGCTGAGGAATGTCCTAAAAATGCAATGGTATCAATATTTGAATATTTCTGTGATATCAGACGATATCTAAAGAGCCTATTCATTTGTGATAATAAGTAATAGTATGCTCTATCATTTTCTATAATACCCTTTAAGATATTCTTATCCGACAATATGTGATATTTTTCAAAATTACCTTTATTTGAGATTTACTGAAACAATTTGTCGGGTGGAATTACTGGTAAAAAGCAACATGAAGGAGATTCACAATGATAAATAATTCAATTATTCTTTTATTGGATTATTAATATCAGTATATGGTTGCGCTGAAGAACAGCAAATTTAAAAAGCAAAAAACGATGAAAATTATTGGAGTCAAGACGTAATGAACTCATCAAAAGAAGAAACGTATTTGCAGTTTGTTCATCATAGCCCTTCATTAGAGATTAATAAAAAAAGGACCCACAGTGCTACAGCAACGCCTCAATTTGCATCCTAGTTTTGAGTTCTGAGAATACCTTATATGATAGACATGTAGTGTAGATTCAATGTATCACACCAACGGACACTTACCAGCATAAGTTTGAAGTCTTTTTCCTTTGAAGTGAAGATGACGATCATCATATTTCGCATCTGGAAATGATGAAATGAAGATATTTGTCAGCATCAATTATTGAAAGCCTCTTTTTAAAAAATATTTTGACCATTTTATAGATACTTATATAAATAACTAGTATAGCTATTGTATTGTAGCCTGCGCCAGGGAATTCAAAAGCCATGTCAGAAAATCTAGAATCCAACAATTCCCTGGCAGCCATCCATTTTTGATTCTTTGCCAATGGGGCGATGCGGTTATAAGGAAAAATTTACAATTTTTGAAAAATTTAAAATATATTCAATGTTTCTCTCGGTTGTATATCATGAATTAATGATCTAAGTATTTTGATAATTTAAAGATATTTGTAGGTTGAAGAAGATGATTAAATGTGAAACTGAGACTGCATATAAAAATAATTCTGCCTAGAATGTTAACATAGGCATTTTCATTCGAATCTTAGTAAGATGCACTTAAATTTTGGGCAATGTGACAACACAGGCTCAACTATATAAGTACTTCATATTCAAATTATCGATTTCTGCTTACCGAAAACAATTTTGAAGATGCTAAACAAAACTACAAGATGTTCTCGATACAATTTGTGATCATTTTTGGTGATTATTCCAAACATGTCCAATGACCTTTCATTTCCTCTTTATTACCTACCCAATCTTTCTTTCCATTCACTAAGCCATTCACCATCCATATGCTGCCAAGATGATCTATAATATACGAAACTTGGTAAAATTTGTAGAAACATTTAACAAAAACATCATCTTCTGGTATTTTATACATCACCTTCCAAAGTAATAGAAGGAACGTTGTGACAATTAACAGGAAAGAAAAATACAAACACTCGAGAGTACATCAGCATAAAACCTTTTTAATCTGCTAAACAGTTACCCTACAGCAGAATCAGGAAAATATCACGGTCCCACGGGCCGGAGGAAGGTTATAGAAACAAAAAAACTGAGGAAGGTCGCCAAGAATTGGGAAGAAGTTGCAGAAATCGTATTGCCTTTTAGTTTTCAAAATACAATCAATTAGACAACAAATAAAAAATCAAACAATGTTTACAAGCCCCTATTTTAACATGAATGTGTTTGCAGAACTACATTGAACTGTAAAATTGAGGCATTAGCTTTTCACAATAAATGTCTAAAATTATGGCATGCTTTTCTTATTGGCATAAGCATGTAACTTACATCTGGCTCAAAACTATATGATTGAAACAAGCTAAAATTTCTAAAAATATTTTGGAAAACAGAGTTGCAAGGAGAGGGGATCAAAACTAGTTGATTACACCCAATTCCCGAGGAAGACTTTAGAGTAAGATTTTCTTAGCCAATGAATGTTGATAACCTTCTGGACTCTGCCCTACAATTTGCTTGAATGTTAAAAAAAGAATGTTTATTGTCGCTAGGAAAACATGTTCGCTGTGACAAGCTATATTAATGAAGGATACTTCAATTAGATATTTGCCATTGCATTTGAGATGACTAGGCAAGCTATTCTCACCTGTATACAGGCTCCTCTTCTTCCTGTTCTGAAACGGTTCTTTTTCTAGCAAACCTTTTGTTATGGTCTTCTTTGCCTTCAAACAAAGCATTTGTTGTAATCAGAATTCAGAAATCTTACAAAAATAAGCATTTAACACATTATGTGTTTGCCTATAAAAATTAAAGTTCCAATTTATCAGATTATCGTTGTTAAAAACCTTGCGTTGCCTCCCCATCCCCAAATTCAAGTCAGGGTGTAAAAAGTAAATGCTAAATAGTTTAAAGAAAACTTCCCAATCCTAAACAAAAAAGTAGGAAAAACTTGCAAGGAACTTCACAGAGAAGCAGAAAAAGAGCCAGATAAAAAGGAAGAAGCGAGAAAGCAACATCTCGGAGGAGGCAGGCCTTACGATGAATGAGATGACAAGAAATATACAGAAAACATTTAAATATGCAGAGAGCTAGCTGCCAAATAATCTGTGAAGCCCCTGACATTGCGCAGGCTTCTGGGCAGGAATTAAACAGGCAGAAAAATGCTGTTTTCAAATAAGAACGAGTCTCCAAAACAAATTAGTAGTCCTTACCTGGTCCTGCATGATTCATGTATGCGCCTTTTTCTGGTTCTTTCCGCTTTCCAGCATTTCCCACAGTTTTTGAGCCCTGGGAATCAAAGGAGTCACCTAGAACCGTTTCAGAGTTGCTGGTTAGTGTCAGGTTCTCGTCGAAATTTGAGCATAGCTGCCAGATGAGTTTCTCGTTGTACAGGATACGGGAAACAAAGTTATCACCTAAAACTCTGCAGAAAAGTACGTAGGAGTAATGCGCCAATGCAGTGGTGAAAGAGCTGTAAAGATCTTTATAGAGGTGCTGATCATCATTTCCTTCCATCCAAATATCTTTCGTTTTCTGTGAAGTCGTTTCATCTCCGGTCTTTTGCATCAACTTGGAGGAATCTTCCGTAGCTTGGTCCCCATCTCGTTTTGGATCACACGATTCCTTTCCTCCTTATAAGAAAAACAAAATGCACCTCATGTTTTGAGATTTGTTGTCACAATGAAATGGGCGCTAACAAGAGGCTTTGTAGGTAAGCGTTTTTTCAGTTTTTTCTCTTTAAAATGTCCCTCGTCCTTTATTCTTTTTCTATCGTTTATTTAGAAAGGATCAATGCTATAAACTTGGTTGAACGTCTTTAGTTTTCTAGACCCATCCATGGGGCGAACTTTTCTACTAGAAAGTAACAACGGCGTGTTTGAGGACCATTCAACCTTGGCCTTACAATGTTGATATTACCCGTGTTTTGTTACTAAGATCAGTTGCCTGATACTAGCATTGAACGTGAAACTTAGGGTTACAGATAAAAATTGTCCTGCTTTATACACCAGGTCCTCTGCAATTTGTGATGGAGCTGCGATGGCTCCCCTGTGTATCTGGTAAAAGAGAGGGGCAGTGCGGGTGAATGACTTGGCCTTGGGTGTTGGCTTGAAAGCACGACCCGATAGCTCAGCGGTAGAGCACTTGACGTACAAAGTCAAGGGTCGTGAGTTCGAGCCTCGCTCGGGTCGGTTATATTCCCGCACTCTCTACTAAAAATACTTTTTAGGATAAATAAAAGTTTAGGTTGTTACCAGATTGGCTGCTGGTCTTCGCACTAGTCATGCTGTCCTTACAAGAATTTGAAACTCCAGTTGCTATATCCTTCTCAATATCACTAGAAACCTCTTGATAATCGTCATCTAAGAAACTGTACTTTCGGACTACCACAACATTGGTACCAGATTTCTCATCCAGACGATAGACGCAATCAAAACAAGAGAAGAACCGCTGTAAAAGCGGCGTCATGACCTCGCGGGCGTCGAGTTGGCCGAGCGTCTGGCTGAGTGCAGCCATCAAACCAACAAGGGAATGCAGTAGTAACGATCTGGATTGGAATCCACTGCTGAACTGTTTGAAGGAAGAAAGCAATCGAAGCAGTGGCTCAAATATTTCCTGTGACAACGCCTGTAACGAAATTTAGGTGCAAAGGCTTTCAATGAAAAGTCACTTGTTGAGATTTGATACAGAAAAGCTAGGCGTGCAGTTACGATAAAGAATGAAAAAAGTAATTCATTTTTCATCTGAGTGAAATTCTCAGAGAAAAGCTCTCTAAAAATTGGCAAAAGAGCGCCTTCCAGCAATCAAATTCTGAAAAGTCAAACTAGTAGCAATTGACCATCCCGGAGTTCGCGAAGCCAAGACTCAAGTGGGGCAAAAACTGCTAAAAATAGAATGGCGGCCTATATCACCAAGATTTGTAAATTCCTCTGTAGCTCAAAACGGTCCATTGTTAGTCAACGAATTTCAGAATTTCATTCTAAAAGGATTTTTTCTATTCTAAAGATGAACAAACTAATGGAAGAGCTGTCCCTATCGACCATGAGTTTTTCACTTGTTTCCCCAATCAGAGCGATTTTAACTAGCTATCAAACAATAAAATTCCATCATGGCGTCAAGAATTCTGAGATGTTCTTTCATTATGTACATACTGATGAATCAAAACGTGGTAGTGAAAAACATCGAAAGATTTAGCTGAAAACGTTTTTTGGAAAACTAAATTATTTCGTGCTAAAGCTTTTAGAACAAAATATAAAGAATCGACAAGATAAAAAATGTTAAAACTAGCCTCCATTTTATCTGTGAGCGTTTCTGGTTTCAGCGTTACCAAAGTTTTTGCAAGGATCTCCAGTGCTGAGAATAATTGGCCTTCGTTGTAGGCTGATACAATGCTTGCCTTCATCGCAATATTGACCTATAATGAAACTTTCAGACGTCCAGCAAAACCGTTTGAGCATTTAAAGGAGTTGAGTAAATTACAATTTTCAGCCCAGCACTCAATTATAATTTCTTGGTAGCCAGGCCAGCTCACGTTCTCCTCGGGACATGTTTTTCCGGCTGATTTTTCATATTTTCTCTGAATTAAACAAATGTGACATTTCCGTTATAACAAAACAGAGATTTGAAGTAAATAAAGAAGTAAGTAAAGAGTTCCCTTTTTGAGAATAAAAATCACTGAAGGTTAGGAAATATACAATAAACAAAGGAAGTATGAAACTCACTGCTCGACTGCAGTAGGGCAAATATTGTTGCAAAACTATCGCACTGCCATAAATTCTTGCAACATCTACAAGACAATCGACTAAAAACTTTCCTTTACTTTTTACAGCTACCAGAAGGTCATCAGTGGTATACTCCAGCTTTTTCATGCTCACCCACACTTTCGGCATTTTCTTGAGAATAGGGCTTACTACATACTTTGAAGTGAGCACTGGCCCTAGCCATGGGCAAATCCACTTCAATGACGCCAGAGCAAGCTCCTCAGCTCTGACAGAAATTTGGGGTGTTCCAGCATTATCAGCAGCAGCAATTTTTGATATGTCTTCTAGCGCATCAGTTTCTGGAATGCTTTGAGTTGGTATTTCTGTATATTCTTCAAAGCTTTCACTTTTTGGCTGTTCTGACGGTTTGTTGATCTTGCAGTCTTCTTCTACATCTACGTCTGAAGGTAAAACCATAAATGGTGAAGAGTCTGAGCGATCATTCATTTTCAAACTGGAACGCCGAATGAGAAAAGACTTCCCTTCATCCTCAGAATACATACTGTCAATGCTGAAATCCTCAATACCAGTGACCAATTCTTCATCAGTATTTCCTTGATCATGAACTTCATATTGTTTGGTATCTTTTACAGGTATGGTTGCCTGATGTGTTTTAGTCGCAGTCTCCATGTTACGAACGGCTTCGGACAACGTTGAGCGCCGTTCACTACGCTGTTGTACAGTGTCACTAGAAACAACGTCGTAACTGCTTTCTGAGTCTTTATTATGGGATTCCGCGTCTTTGCCACCAACTGTATCACCGGTTTCTTTGCTTGTAGTCATTGAGCTAGGCTTTTTTTCACGAGAATCTGAGAATATATCTGGAAATTTATTTTCAATCGAGCTTTCATTGTCATTCTGTTTACAACGTTCTGAGATAGATGACTCTTCGACATCACTTAAGTAATCTATCTCATCCATACCAGAGTTTGATTCCGATGAACATTCAAAGAATGCGTTTTGTGGTGAACTATTCCCATTCTCATTGTAAATCACCTCAGACTTTTCAACAATGCTAAAAAATACATCACTACTCATACTCTTTGATAAACTGTCTTTCGCATTGTCAAGATTTGATGGAGGCGGCTGGTTGTCAGCCTTTGCAAATATGTTGGGTTTCAAAGAACTTCCTTTGCTAGATCCAGCTCCACGTTCCTTTTCAACAACGGCATTCTCCGACACTGATTCCAGCCTTGAAAACACTCCTGGTCTCACTTTTCTCTTTCCCGGCAAGAGTTTAGGCTCGAAAACATTAACATTATTGTCGTCCTCTAACACAGATGCTTTGCGACCTACAAACTCGTCTGATTCTGCTTTATCCCTGTTTTCGGTCTCTTTTTCCAGAAAGTTTGTCGCATTTTCTTCTACTTCTCTCTCTGTCTTCTCAGAATCATAACTCGGATTTTCAACTTCCATGCTTTCCATCTCATTTTTCTCCTTAGATTCCTCCGTGCTTGTCGCTTCTACAAGCCCGTCGACCACAAATGGCATAAAACAGTCAAGAAAACAACTTAATCCAAAAATGGTTATTACTTTAGATATGAAACTCTGGTCAAGCAATCTTCCATCAATACCTTTGGTATCAGCACTGCTATCGAATAGTCGCTGCAGCCCTTCGTAAAATGACTTCATTGATCTTCGAGACCCCATCACATTGCCGAGAGGAGGAAAAATGTGTAAAAAGGCAGCCAACTTCGTATCTTGGTTAGAGAACAACGGCAACACAAGAGTAAGAAGCAGGTCAATTCCTTCTGCATCAATCTCCTCTATCAACAATGGAACAAAATGTGCTGCTCTAATGATATTTCTTGCGGCTGGAAGATGCCTAACAATAGGTAAAATTATCGAGTTTTTGCATTCTATCGAAACTGCTTCGTCGACAAGGATATCACTTGGGTATAGAATCGAAAGTAGATTATGTAATGCAGGAAAATACTTTGGACATGGGAAGGGGTTTATGAACTGGTTCAGGAGCAAAGTCGGCTTTTTGAAGAATCCAGCAATAACTCCTTCAGATTCGACCAGTGGCTTCTCTGGTGATCCTAACCAACTTTCAAGGATTGAGGTGAGCAAGCTGAAAATAAGATTGAAACAAAATAAAGCTGGTTTGTAATGGCCTATTTCTAATGTGCGTTCCAAATGGAAACTAATCTATTTGCGAGAACAGACTGATCAGAACAAAATAGTGATTACTGACTGAGATAACGTATTGAAAGATAAGGGTATGAGAAGTGTCTTTCTTTGCCAAGTAAACCAAAGGGAAACAGTTGGTTAATCTAGGGAAACACTTCTTCGGATAGGCTACCCAAGAACTGGCTAAAATGAAGTTATTTCTCAAATAGGGGCCAAATACATTAAATAAAGGGCTATACCATGTAAAAGCGAGACCAAACTTGACAAGTTGAAACACCAAGTCTAATCGTTTACTCATTTTAGCCGGGAAAGCGGACATCAATAATACCTATCTACAGGCAAAATGTTATCACAAAACCTTTTTGTATTGAACGCAAAATTTTTGCTGATTCAAAGATATTTTAGCAACTCTCCCATTCAAAATTTAGTTCTGAGGTTAAATTTCAATACACTAAATGAAAACCTGTATCAAGTGTATTGGTATAAGTGGGATGTAGAAAATCAAGAAAAAGCACAACGAAATCTACAGACAAATTTAACTCAACAGAGGCAATAACACCTGCATAGACATCGTGTGGGTTTTCATGGTGATTTCCTAGCTTTGAAACATTTTGCCAGTGTGAATTAGGCTTGACTTGAATACCATATTACTCAAGTACTAAGCTTGTGCTGCAAGTAATCAATTACCTTGGAAATTTGTGCAGATTGGTTTTCATCAGCCGCACGTTTTCCTGTAGTCTTTCTTCAAAGTTTAGCGGCTTTCTTCTCAATCGAACATAATCATGTAACGCCAACTCAATCAATAAATTTGCAAGAACCAGAATATCTTTATTTTCAGTTGTTTTGGAGATTTCATACTCTGACAATCCATGATTCTTCTCCTGAAACAAGAGATTTCATATTGATAAGCCTTGATGAAATTCTATAAAATCCTTGGGCTCTTGGGCCTAACTTAAAGAGCTTCATCAGAATTCATCCCAAGTCAAATACTGTTATACAATGAACGGGGCTGTCCTGCTCAAAAATATTCTAAACGGGATTTATAGATTGTAGTGCTACATAATGTACCAACAATTTCAAAAGCAAATACGCAGAAACACAGGTTATGAAAGCATGCTTTCGAAAAAATTTGACAAAAGTTGCGATTAACTTTAATATGGGAAGCCTTGGATATAAACTTTTTATATAGCTAGGATCAGAAGACAGCAAATTTTGAAAATCCACACGCAGCCTGAAATTTCAAACAGACTTCTTGGCGCCTTGCGAGTCACCCTGGTTGGCACGGCGACCAAACCATGGTCATTATGGTTGTCATGATCGCTAATCAATAATCGCTTGCCAGAGCAAAGATAAAACCACTTAACTTTAAAGTCAGTAGCAATGCCAATGTACTCTCGGATAATATGCCAAAAGCCTAAAAGCTTTCCCGTTTAAAAAAAAGGCGAAGCAAACATAGACTGTGACATTATCAATCTTCTTCAGCTGCAATAGATCTCATCTGCGATCTTCATCTGTGAAATTAGACTCTTGAATATATATCATCTAAAATAATTTCTGAGGCAATAAAGGCATAATAACACCTTTTACTAACCTTGCGTCTGTTCTCAAAAACAGAACCAAACTTGTAATCGCCTATACCGTCGACGCCTACTGGAGAAACATGACACTGGAATTTCAATTCTTTCTCGACTGCTTCTAGCTGACCAATGAAATCAGAGCAAGTGTCAATGGTTATTCTAAAATCATAAGATGGTGTAGTTTTGGACTCATTTCCACCTCCTTCAAACAGCGTGTCGATTTTCAGTTTCAAGCCCGGCAGTAACATTAAAGGTGGCTTCATGCGACTATCAGTGTCATTTTCTTCAGGCTTTTTTTGTTCCTCTATTTGTGATGCCTCATCGATAGCAGAATCTATTGACCAGATATCTCGGCGAATGGCAGTGGGTTTCGAAGACCTAACATCTGCCTCTATCGATTTCCCATTGACGCACCTTAACATATCGCTATCGGTCGTCTCGCTGGCTTCATAATCTGCAAAAACATTAGCATCACTGCTGTCAAACGCCTCTGAATAAGTATCACCCGGTTCGATAACATGTTCATCTACTAAATTGGGTAGCTTACGTGCGGGGTGCGGTCGAGAGAATAACTGCAGCACACCACAATTAGTGAGGTGATTGTGATCATCGACCAAGGATAAGTAGACATTCTTAGCATCAACAGAAGCCAACCCAGATAGCTTGTATCCAAATATGAGATCAATCCAAAAATGAAGGTATCTTGAAACTTGATGGCCTTCTAAAACATCTCTATGATGCTTAATAAACTCCTCTGCAGTAGGCGCCCAGGCAGGGAGGCCTAAGTCTGGTAGGTCAGAGTGAACTGATTTAAATATCAATGGGTCACTGTAAAACTCTGGAATGCATTCCTCAGGTGTCCATGAGTAGAGTCTTTCAATACTTGAAGGGTATTCCTCTGGTATCCATCGCGATCTAACAGTTTTACAGAGGGTATCCTTCGAAACTCGCCTAGCAGAATATACATAATAGCTAATGGCAGTCAAAGGATCATCAGATATATGATGGGCCACATGCCTTTGTATGCCTTTTCTTGCATCTTCCAGAGCAGGCTGGTTGTATGTTATGTCCAACTGGGTATCGCTTTTGCATAATCTGAATTTTGATCTCATTAGGTCACGGAAACCACCATCAGGCTTAGTGAAATCCATCACCCAAGGAAAAATTGGATGGTGTGCTGGATCCTTCATTCTACGGCCAGCTAATGTATTGAGAATTAATAGGTAATCGAAAGTCGTCAGCTTACAATTGACCCATCTTGTAGTATACTCATGTAAATCCTCAAAGAATGGAAAGGGCTGAGAAATGATACTTGGCGCTTCAATTGGCCAGTGAGCTACAACTGGAATTGGACCAGGCTCTTCTTCTTGGATGATATCAGTGTGATCTATTTGAAATGCTGATATTGACAGCCACAACGAACTTGTCACATAAATATCATTAAAGGATAATGATGGAGAGATACTGAAGCCTATTTCTTGAAATATTGCATTGATCTTAAGGATTTGATATAGGAGAAACAAGTATTTTGCAGAGGAATTTGAAGCAATAGCAGGACTGAATGCAAGGACATCATGGAGTGTGTAGCTTGGAGTTGATTCTATCAAAAAAATATGGCTGGAATTCTTGCAAGCCAATAAAAGGGGGACAATATGATGCAATTGCTTGATTATTGGCTTCTTTGCTTTGCTTGGAGATTCGATATCATCTTTCCTGACATCAGGGCCAAAATGAGCATGATGGTCCTTTGAAATGAATTTCAATTGTATTCCAAAGGTCTCTTGAATTAGGGTGGAAAGTTTCTCCTAAAAGAATAAATGCAGTTTCAGAAGAAAAACAATGTAACAAAATGAAAGTAGTGAAAGAGTAACGATTGCCCACAAAAACTACTAAGCATAAATGGGTATTAATGAATATATCTTTTGCATTCTTTGGAATCTATGCTATTAACAGAATTAATGAAAGGAGGCTTTTAGCAATGCATCTAGAAGTTTGTTTTTCCAAAACAGCACCTTTCAACAAAATCAATTACTGGAATGAATGATAAATTTTCTATGTTTTAAGCATTCATCAAGGCAAAAAACTAGCAGACATGTCACACCTAGTGAACAACCAATTTCAATTTCTGAGGGGCAAAGGCAACATTTTTCTAACAATTCTGACAAAGTAGCAAAATTTCCAAAGGTTTCTGACAAATTTGGCTGTCACGGGGGGGGGGCTATAGACCCCTGGGCCCCTAAGCCATTGTGCACCTGAATAGCATTCTAAAACCCTTCATACCTCATCTAAGTAATCCTGATGACTTGATTCATTCGTGCTGTCAGCTGAAAATCGCCTGCACATATACTCTCTCAAACTTGCATCATTGTCATTGGAAAGTGAATGCAGAAAATCATACAGTGTGAACTGCTCAACATTTTGCTGCTTGCACTTCTGGATCCTATATTGACAAAAGAAATAGTAAAGTGATCAAAAAGAGCATTCTAGCAGTGAAAATAAAAATCATTCATGAAAAATTAAGTCACATGCCAATTACAGCTAAGATGAAAATTCTACATTACATGATGTTTATACATCATCTCTACTATAAAAATGAAACAAATTCAAAGAACCAATGGCTCCAAATATACACAAGTGTTATATTTTACCAGCATTTGTGCTCTGAGAATTTTTTTGGACGAGCAAGAGTTCTGTTAGCATCTACAGAATAGATAATATCATACACAGCAAAAGAGGAAAATTTTACAAACAAAATAAAACAAAAAATGGAACAAACAAAAAATTACTTGATCTTTTTAAGTGGCTTTTTTATCACAGTTATAACTACTCTCTGCCAACCATTCAATGCAAACTGGGATGACGGTTGAAGCAAAGTTGTCTGTTCTTCAGGCAAAAGACTATCATCAGGTTTCTGATCTTGGGAACAAACAACATTTGCTCTTATCTGGGTTGCCAGCCATTCCTGGTGGATCTGAAGAGCAAAACGTCAGAAGATCAATAGCAAGTCTGTTGATATAAAAAACTGATTTGAAGCTAAATGAATAAAACAATTTATCTATAAGCATATAATTTATCTTTTTTTACATTTCAATAAAATTTACAATACAAATTTACTAGTTACACTACCTACAAAATACTTAATGACATTACAAGGACGATGCCACTGGGTGCAAAATACTATGACTACTCTGTGGCATCACGAAAAACTAAGACAACTTACATACCAATTTCCAAAGAAAAAAAAGAAAGAACACTACACTCTCTTGCAAATTAGATGTCAGGTGAAAATATCAGCGAACAGCAGCAGACAAGATGTTTGCTGCAGTTTAAGTAATTTTGCATTATCACAGATCTCACCTCATATATAATTTGAGACAGACTTTACATATTAAAGTTAACTAAATAATTGCTGGCTTACTAAGGGGGGGAGAGGGGGCAAGATACTTTATTCACAGCAACCAGGTACAGTGTATAAAACGTATTGTTAGCTCAAGGATGCTTCTATTGAGATGGTTTGGAAATTTCTTATCGCCGTACAATAAAATTTGCAACAGAACATCATTTGCAAGATTTGTATATCCATATGGTCGTACAAGAGTGTATATTCCAGCGAGGAGATCAGTCCTTTGAACACCAAAAGAGGGGCAGAGCAACAAGAAGTGCTCTGTATTTTCGATTCCATCGCTACTTGGGCACGGTGGGTTTATTGTATCTCTAAAGTTGTGTTGAAATTTGTGAAAGTTTAACTTGCTGAGACCAACCCTGAGTTGAGTAAGTTTTTTGTATTTGTATTTGTTTTTGTATTTGTTGCTACCTAGCATCCGAAGGTAGTTTTTTGGACACTGTGAAGCTATGCTTGTCGAGCAGTGTCCTGGTCCTTCCTCTCGATGTGACCACACCTCGTGATTCCTATACCTGGAATTACAGAGAGCTGGTGACTCTCCCCACTCTGGGTGAGAGTTTGGTCTTGTCAGGGACTCGAACCATGAACCCTTGGGTCTGTAGTCAGTGCCTCTAACAACTGAAACCTCCTCGTACCTTTTATGTTAGAATGTGGCAACCCCATACCAGTGATTGCAAAGGAGTACAGGTATAACACACAAAGTAGTAAAATTTTCTGATTTATGCAGGAGAATGAGTTTTTGAGCACTTGACAAGTTTTTAATTCTTTTCCTGTCATGCAACCAGGGACATGATGTTTAATGATATTGAATAAATCAAAATTATTAGAATACAGACCCTTATTATAAATCTTGTTTGCTGTACTATGTTTTTCTTTTGATTTTTTGGCAAAAATTGTTTCCTGTTCAAAATAATCTGTACTGCAGAAAGACAGATTGAAAAAGTAGGTGTTCAGATAACATTAGCAAAATAATTAATGCAACTTTCCCTGTGTTCTGTTTTATGCATTTAAGTTTAAGTTTTGCCTTTCATGTCTTTAAAAAACTTTCTTGTATTCAAAGGTAAATATTCTAATGGCTCACTGATGTTTCAGTTAGAACCATTTCATACGAGGTAAGATAGCCGTGTTTTATGGTTGCATTAAAGATGTCATAAGAAAAAGATTACCAGAACTTTGCATATCTTGTGACGCCAAGAGTCTTATCCATTCTGTTGAAATATCATTAAGCCCTTAGCTAGCCATCAAACAAAAGCAATTTACAATACATGGGTTATTCCAAAAGCACAAAAACTACACATATGGTTCATCCTGACCAAGCAAACATTTGATTTTTTGGCAAAAAGGATAATTTTTGACATTTGCTTCATCTAAGAAATATTTCTCTTCTTTTATTAAAGTACTTCATTCAAATTATCGCCTTTAATTCTTATGCTGAGCTTTTTGCTTAGCAAAATGCTGAGCTTTTTATGAACTTTTTCTAAAGATTCTGAGTTTCTTGAAATTTTCGGTGGTTATACATGATTAAATTAACTAGGTTGTAAAATTAACATAAATAATTTGATATTTTAAGATCTTCGAGACTGCATTCAAGCTTGACTCAAGAAGAACTGCCGTAATTAATCCATGCAGAATTAAACTAGTCCCAAACGGCAGTTATTACTGTAGCGATCTCGAAAAAGGCCTGCGAAGAATTAATGACATTTCTGTCTTTCAAAAAAAGGACAAACTGAATCTGGTTGAACTCAATTGAAAAATACGAAATAAGAATTCTAAATCACGAGGCCATCGATTTCCTAAAACAAAAACAAAACCTTACCAAGCAGACAATTCTTGGAAGTGCACTTTCACTTTGAATGCTATCCAGAACAGAAAATGGCTTCTTGATGCCCAAGCCATTTTCTAGAGCATTGCATGACTCTTCATTGCTACACGATTGCCCCATAACCCCCAACTTTCATAATCATCTTTATGCTAACCCCTAATGTGACAGCATCCCCTATTCTCGATTCACTGCTGCGATTTGCTTTGAAGCCCTGTGGTAAGCCTCGACCTGGGTATCCGTGCTCAATTTGTGGTACTCAAGCCAAAAACTTATGGTGCAGAGAGTGCCTCGAAAGTGCCAAATAACTGGCTGGAATTTTATTTTAAAATTCTGGAAATTTGTTACACGGAGTATCATCTATAAACGGTCATAATTGTTCCATCTGATTCATTTTTTGTCATTTAGATTAAACTATTTCCAAGAGAACGTCTAAGCCCACAAGGATGGTGGACAGTTCTTTCAGTGGTACACCATTGGATTCAGTGGGGTACACGAACCCCGACGGGAAAAACACTTTCTTCAAACTAGGCCCACTACTGTATTTATTTCAGAGCCAATTAATTGCACCGTTCACGGAATCAGAAATAATTTGATCTTAAAGCGTTAAAAAGCTTTGTATAAAATTGCAAAAAGCGCAACACTCAAGGGTAACCAAATGGGAATACACACAAGGAAACATTTTGGAAAGCTTTTGTTGACTCGAGATTGTTTTCACTTTCCTGAAAATTGTACTAGCCTCAGCAATGTGCAACGTACTCAACAGACCATATTCTCAACGTGCTGGATTTTATCATCTAGAAATTTACACGGAAGTTGTATTATTTTGTTCATACTATCATTTTGTTCAAATATTTGTTTGACAGACGGAAAATGCAACAGCGCCGTGGCTGGACAATGGGCGCCCTAAAATACCAAATTTATCAGAAATTTTGCTCATATGTTGGAGATGATAGCTTAAAAAATGAACACGACAGCCAAATAAACTTTTCAAGAGAAATGGAACGGTATAATTAATAGCATTTGGCGGAGTTATCAAAGAATCTTGCATTGGCCAGTCAACGAATGACCAAGTCACAACCTTATTTGTGATACCCGGAAATTGTCAGTGTTAATATAAAATTAGTGGCAGGCAGCGATATTTATTTGCGCGATAACAAAACAGAGCCAACTCATTGAATATCAAGAGCCATATGGAAATCTAAAGTTCGCAAGTGCACAGAATTCATCGATCAATAAGATTAACAAGCTAAAAAGAGTCTGTCCTTCACACAGGGAGTACTTGGGCATAAAGATAAACAAACTAAAATACTTTAAAAAGGTTTCTTAAAAAAGTAATAACTCTACCAACATAACGAATTTCATTCATATGATGAAAGAAAATTCACTGTCATAAAAATTGTTTGTCAACCCAATTAATCTGGGGTGGTGTCGGTTGTCAAATGTGTTGGAAAACGTAGAAGTCTCTCATAGAAAATCGGGCTCTTGCTTATGTTGTTTAAGACAAGGCTGATATCAATTAATCGGCTGCCTTCTGCTTGTTAAGTCTCCTTTTAAAAACAAAGATAACTCCATGGTATTGGGTAAAGAAGGATAAAGGAATCTAGAGAGCATTTGACAACCGTATCATATAACAAGGTGGAGAGAGAATACATGTGCACTTTAAAGACTACACCATCTACATGTAAATAGCCCCACAAAATGTAAAAATTTGATTCATAATAATCATCATCCGCCAGAGAAAAGTAACAAATACATACATTAAAAAGCAAGAATTCGCACCCGGGTCTCTGATGATAAAATACAAGCCTGAAAAATTAGCAACACAGATTTTCACAGTCTTATATCGCAACACTGGCACTTTTTGTCCTGAGATGGGAAACAAAATTCTATTCAAGGAATGAGGGTAGACAACGGGAGAAGGCTTTAAGATAATCAAATACCTACACAAAAAATGCCAACAAAAGTTTAATCGTAATCTGTTGATTTCCTAATGCATAAAATGAGCCTTAGAGGTGGAATAGTGAGCGTTGTTGCAAAATGCTTCACATTCAGAAGTGAAGGTCAAGGTATTCTTCAATTTATGCATAAGTTAAGCCAAGAATGTCATTAGTGCACTTCCAAGAAGCCCATTAGTGAAAATTCAAAGCTTGATCATATACGGCAGACAATAACCTCGCTTCAATTTACTGATATCTTCAACGGGGTCGTTTGCAATACTTGGTTTAAGACAATGATCTTGCCAATTCCAAAAGCTATTGGCCAGACGTAGAAGATACACAGTTATATTAACATATTGTTCAACTTGCAGCAAAAACCTGTACAAATACGATAAACGGGATTTGGAAACTATTTTCATGAAAGTTCATATGTACCAGCATCTAAACAGTTCTTGTCATCGAGCAATATACACGAGGATTGGCGAAAATGATTTTCACTAACTTTATCTAGCAACGGTAGGGGAATAAAACCATAGAGAGGAAAATATATTATAGCAATCAACCTACAAACAGATTCAAGGAAGATAGACCCAAACAAAATCTGGAAAATTCCTTGATAGAAGTCTTAAACTCTAAGAACATCTGGATCTCTCGATGAAAACGGTGCATAGGGATACAAAGCCCATTTCTTATGCTTAAATAATAAAGTTAGTGAAGCACATTTTGCCTCTCCTGTGCATGCAGAGTTGTAAGCAGGACGGAAGCACTGTTCTGTACAGTTTAAACCTGTTCAAGCATGTCCGGCTGGTTGCCAGGGGTGAACATCTAACAAAGCTCAACCATAATCCGAGCCTTTAGCTGGGTCATTTTGTCGATCAATGTGTGGCTTGGGTTCGTGTATTGTCAACTAATAAAGCAAAGCACAAAGATCCATTTTCCGGGATATTACCGAAAAGCATCGGAACTACACAGGATCACAAATGCGGCTTGACTTCAGATTCTATGTGGTGGCATCCAAACGCTGTTTCTTGGCAGGTGACATCAGCTCTTCATCGCTGTTGCCCGAGCCATTGTCATCGTCATCTTCATCGTCATCAGGGTAGTCGACAAGACCTCCAAGGGGAAGCTGTAATTCGAGAAGATAAAGAAGAATGCAAGCGCAGCAAAGACAAGGACATGAATGTGACACCAGTCATCAAGTCTCTTCAAGAATGATGATAATGATAACCTTTCATTTTGTATTATCACATTACAAGCATCACGATCAAAAGCAACACGAAAAAACATACTGCTGCAAAGTGAAAATATTCTTTGACCAGGAAGAAAAGAAAGGTAGTGTCTAGTATGCAATGCATCTAGGAAAGCTTTTGCTGCAATATATGAAGACACAGTATTGTCGAGAAGTATTTAATATCAGGCCAACAGATTCAGCTTTGGAAATTCTTCACTTAGAAATGTAAAGTAATTTTCAAATGAATGAATAATTAGTTCAAAGGAAGCAAGGACAACTCCTAGCAGTCTTAATGGTTTCAAAATTGCAACGTAAATGACGACATTTCACTCAGAAATGTAAAGTAATTTTCAAATAAATGAATAATTAGTTCAAAGGAAGCAAGGACAACTCCTAGCAGTCTTGATGGTTTCAAAATTGTAACGTAAATGACGACATTTTTCACTTAGAAATTTAAAGTATATTTCAAATAAATGAATAATTAGTTCAAAGGAAGCAAGGACAACTCCTAGCAGTCTTAATGGTTTTAAAACTTTTAGTCTTCACACAATCAAAATAATATTGGTTCATGTGTCATCCAATATTAAAAATATATTACATAAATAACATAATTAATGCATTAACCAATATTTCTTACCTTGCGTGAGTTCACAGAGGGCGCTGCTGATGTTAAAGATGAAAGCTGTATTGTTTTGGGGGGCGAATCAGTCGCGTTTTTAATGGTTGCTTCCTGTGTGGTTGTTGTCGTTGCTGTTGATTGATTAGAAGCTACAACCGAGTTGTTTGAAGTCCTTTTCAAATTGACTATAATATCAATATCATTATATTTTTGCGCCGTTGATGTAGGCTTTGAATTCTCATCTGTCTGCACAGGAACAGTGGATACATCTTCATCTTCTTCTCTGTCGAACCATATCTCTTCATCTTCATCAAGGTCGCGAGCATCCCTCTTATATCTCGCCGAGTTTATGTGGATAATTCCATGGTTTGCGTTCCTGAAGTTGTATCGAAATCTTAATATTTATGGCTAAACATTTGTAGGGAATCAAGTTTTAGGTCACAATTAATAGCCTCTACATTTGCTTCGAAACAGCTGACAAATTATCGGGTAGGAGGCTACATTAAGATGGTTTTTTCCCGAAAACACAAAGGATTAATGTCTGCAAATATTGCAAGGCACAACTGAAGTATATTCAGAAAACTACGAGGTCATGTTTGTTTGCAAAACAGCAAAGTAAAAACGATCTGTATTATATGGGCGTTGTTAGAGAAAATTAAAAACGATAAAAAAATCAAAATAAACTTAGAATGAATCATTGCCAGCAGATGCAAAATTTCAATTTGGTAGGAAAATATTTTATAAAATCAACCTGTCAGTATTTTTGCGCGTTAGCCTGTCTTTTTCCTGTTCAAACCTCATCTTCAATCCTTTGAATGTTTGCACATAATCAACACTTTCGAAAGAAGACATGTAATCTTCAACAACATATGTGCAAAGCGATTTCACATCCTCCTGAGAGAAATAAGAACATTCGAATCAAATCAGCACATGTTACATGAAATATAAACTTAGGGCACCAAAGCAAAATGACAACTATACACTTGCTAACCCTCCTGCAACGTGGCTGATCTACACCCTCAAAATGCTCCCATATAAAAACCCTGACTTTTCAAATAGATTTATCGACTAAAGCCCATCAGGGCTAATTCACAGGCGGGTGTGACATATACGTCGATAGTACATGACAAGTGGCGTGGAAAGGGCGTAAAATTTAGATTAGGGAAGGGGCTTATAGCCCACACGGAGTGGACCTATTGGGGCAGTTTCTCTTCGAACGCAAAGAGACATGAGCTGAAAATCTGGTCGAAAGAAACTATATATATTCCAATAGTATTATTCTACCCCTTGCATAATTATTCAGACGTGATTAAATAGAAAATACAAGAGACTGTACCACAGAAGGTACGAAAACATCCAGCCGTTTTTCAAATTTTTGCCTTAAATTTCTGGGACAGTATTGGACTACGTATTTGATAGACAGACCATAACAAATATCTTGTGAAGGATAATTTAAAAAAGACTTGATATTCATCCAGGCAACAATTCCATTCATTTCACTTGAGAATTTCACTTCAGAAAACCTCTATTAAATAGATATCTATTTCAGAATCTGCTTGAGGAATGACTTACAATTCGGATGAATTCGAAAAGTTCTATGATCGCAGAATTGATCATATTGTATTTGTTTCCGTTATCTTCAAACGCCGTAACTATGGGTGCCAACAGCTTTCCTTTTATGATGTATCTATTATAGAACTCATCTTTCACACCGATGATCTTGCGGCAAAACCTTAACGCAGCTACAAACAAAAATGAAGAGGATCAACCAACATCAAAGATACAAAGAACAGAGCGATAAAATATTAATTGATGCAAATCAACACACACTTTTCTAACAAATGAAATATTCAGCACCTGCTCATTTGACAACTGAAGATTTGAAGTTACTAGTTCATAACTATCAGAACCAATTTTCTATTATTGGCACAAGTTTGTAATTAATATAATGCCTTGCTGAATTCTAATGAGGCTGCCCAATCAAAGCTACAAGAGTAGACAGAAGGAGTTCGTTTTCACCTTAGATCTCCATTTGTAATATTTCAATAGACAAGCGGCACTAATTGGGCAACCTCGACAGTCATGTGTTCGCGTTTTCTGATTGGCCTATTTCGATCAACAACTGGGTATAAATATTTCCTAGCATAGAGTTTTCGATCTATGTTCTGACGTTTTATACTCTGAAGAGTGTCAGACGATAAGCTCTAGTAACATCTTTCAAAATGATTGCTTTTTCCAAGCCATTTTAAAATAGATGTCAGAAGCGGGAAGATTCGACTCCAAATTCAGTTTGAGCCATGAATCCGAGCACAAAGAGGCTAAAATCCCCTTTACATGTTTTGATCTCAAATTAAACTGTTGCGTTCTGTATTCATATTTCGACTGCTGGCGTTATTGCATTACCAAAGGAAAGACAAAAATGACAGGATCAGATGAAAATGCACTATATCTTACCCAGAGCTAGAAACTTGTGATCTGATTGCATTAATGCAAGAACCCTTCGTAGCAAATCCTTATTAATGATATAATTCTTTATATGGTACGTATGATGATCGACGAAGAAGGATAGCAGCTCGATTATATGATCCAAAGTGGCAGCTGTCTTGAAATCGTCTATCAAAAGAAAACAATTGACATTTCAAAGTATTTGGTTTGAAAAGCCAACAACAAAATCGGAAATCTTCTACACGCCTTTCTTTTCAAAAATTAGCCAATTAAATATCTTCTAAGTAATATGTTTTAATCCTAAGACATCTTTATCTGTTGTTGATTTTTAAACGCATTTTAGGGGCTTTTGCTATTTTTGAAACAATCTACACATCTATTGCTTTCAAACAAGGTTTAAGAGAATTGTAAGGAGATTTATACAATAATACTTGAAGTATCTAGTTGCATTTTTGAATTACTTCTTGTTAGATAATGTTGAATAAATTACGATTCAATGAGTAACAAAGTTACAAACAAAACAAAATCAACACACAAAGTTGAAGCATGTTGCTACCATCTTTTTTAAGTTGGGCCTGAAATCGTTGAGTCAAGGGTCGAAGGAAAATCACGTTTAAGGAAAGCTTGAGTATCTCTTAATGGACAAACTTTTTATCGCGTAAAGATTTATTTTCAAGGATAAACATGCAGTATGTTGATCCATGAAGAGTCATTGTGGTTTTTGTGCAGAATTGTTGAGTTAAGCAGTAACATTTGTATAGCTACAGTGGACACTATTTGGACACATTCTAATCTTTCTAACAAATCGATTAGGCTGACGACAGTGAGTTGTAGCCTATCGTTTCAAACAGTCACTGATGGCAAATAACACCTTCAAAAGTCTTATTTCCACTATGCTCAAAATTACATTTACAAATGAAGAAAAATTCTAGATATATCTGTACCTTTTGGTAACGTATCACCAATCGCCGTGGCAGCAAAAAGTGGTGCAGTTAAAACGTGCATGGAATGCTTATAGAAAAATGCTAAGAACTCTGTTTTTTCCATTTTCTGAAGAAAAGAAAATACTTCTGTTTAGCCAGAAATAATCCAAATCAACATCTACTGACGGAAGTTACAATTGTCCTTTTTTAATATCAGCTCAATATTTGTACATACAATGACCAAATTAGACCTTATACTTATATTAGACCTATTACGATTGTTACTTATAAATAAAAGAACCCAGTAATTGAAAATGCGAGGCCTACTTTTATTAAGAGACTTATTTGTATCAGAATTATATTCAATGATATCAAATATAGACTAGACCCAAGATAAAAAACATATACAATAACTTACTGAACCAAGATGGCAGAAATACAAAAATTATAAAATTTTAGTTCCTTATTTCACAGAAGCAAATATTTTTTAAAAAAAAGCAAAAAATATATCGATACTTTAGATCAGGTCTTTACTTACGTTTACACCAAGGCTCATGTTTTCCGGATCTAAAAGCATGCGCAATAAGCATAGCAGCAATGATGACCTACCTGAAAGCGAGATAAGAAAGCGCCCGGTAAATACTTCTAAAGAAGTAAGTAAGTAAGTAAGTAAGTAAGTAAGTAAGTAAGTAAGTAAGTAAGTAAGTAAGTAAGTAAGTAAGTAAGTAAGTAAGTAAGTAGGTTAGTAAGTAAGTTAGTAAGTAGATTTTCTTCTACAGTAGCTATCCTACTGTTTTTTCAAGAAACTTTTAAAAAATGTGGAAACATTTGGATACTTGCTTTCAGCTTGTTGTAAATATCAAAATAAACCATTGAAAGCTTGAGCTAACTTTCTTTGAGTCGAATACGTGCTAAATACAATCATATTAGGGGCAGTTACAGTACAGACTATTGCATAACTATCTTGTCTTTTAACCGAACGAAAATCAGAAGTCAGTGAAAAAAGCGCACGATAAACTCAGCATTTTTCGAAAACGAACGCGCAAAACCGTATGAGCAAAAGTAGATATGGCCACTTGGATTGAGTGAAATCAAGTCGTTCAACCAACTAGAACGCTGGAAGATCGAAAAAAGATTAGGAGTACATTGGAAGAAAATCCCTCAACCGTTCCAAGGAAAAGTGAGTTTCTCTAAATAGCACGGAGACAGATGTAGAATGCTTTAATGTCAGTAACTTGGGAGAAAATCCTTCTTTAAAGTAGTGGAGGAAATAAAAACTACCAGAAAATGAAACATTCCTCGAAATTTCAAAACATTGATATCCAAACATAGCAATTATTCTAGCTTTTTCAGAAAAGAAGAGCGAATCTTCTTTGGAAACAATGTCCTTATTTTCTATATTGTTTAAAGACAGAGTCTTCGTCTTCTTGACCACGAAGGCAATTTATTCTTAGCCCAGTACAGAATTCCTCAAGGTTGACTATTTAAAACGACTTTTGAAAGTCTTTTGAAATGAACAAATATATCGATTATATAACTTTGATGTGCAAGGGAAACACTAAACAACTCACTGCTGTCGGTGCCACAAATCATGAGGTCAATAAGTAGATTCATCAGCAGTTGATCCTGAAGAAACAATGCAAGTCACATGACTAGGTACAATAAAAGTATTTGAGCGTATGTTGATCATTTTATTGAAATGTTTGAACAAAAACCATTAATCAACAAGGGGTGTTAAACCCACAAGCATATTAACAATAATAACTTTTCTAATTAGTACTAAAGTGGGGGGGGGGGGTTGACTATATAACAATAACTGGTGTTTGAACAAGTTATTTGAGAAAGGGATGCTATGCTTACAGGCAAATATGTCTTAAAACAGATATCCAGGCAAATTTGATGCCATTTCTTAAAACTCTTGATAAAGGAAAGCTCTTGAAAAAGGAAAGGAAAAGGAAAGCTCTTGATAAAAACAACAAGACGAGAGCATTGCTTAGACTATCTCGGTCGATTTTGTTAATCAACATGTAAACTGCAGTATGCAATCTCTATTTTCTTCTAGGTGCAAAATCACTTTTTAGATATGGAATGTAAGTTACAAGAAAACCAATAAACATCTATATTAGATTGCACGAGGAACCATCAAAGGAACATATTTATTGTTCCTTCAAACTTTCTGAGTCACTAAACATGTCTAGGCAATATAAATTATATTGAGGTAAACTTGATTTCTTTCATGACTTTGTGTCAGTGCAAGTGCTCTCCTTTCCTCTTACAAACATCACCAATTCTTCTTGTAAATAGCCCAGTTACTTGCTTGAAACTATCTTCTTAATCAATTAAGTCAATTATAACAGTAATACAAAACATATGTCAATATATACCTCTTCTGTGGTATTAGCTTCTTTAAGCAAGTATTCTCTGACCATAGAGGGGTTGTACTCAACAATAATGCATAAAATATCCACAATAGCTGACTTAGTCACTGGATCATCTATGTTCTGTTGAAACAGACAGCATTTACAAACTAGCAAAAAGCCCTTATTAACATACAATAATAACAAAAATTTATTTTTGGAATTTCCAGATTATATAATTATTATATTGAGTATTACGCTCCCTTACAATAGTTTGCTTGAGCATTCTATGTCTGAGATTCTGTGGGGACCTGATTTTAGCACTGTGCGAAGCTCAATACGCATGCACAGTTTGAGGACTCTGGCAGGGTCCCACAATCAATCTGTTAAACTGCCTTGTTGCTCTGGCAGCATAGCCCAGGTTGTGTCTCTCTCAGACAAGCTCTGTGCTGCACTGATGAGCCCACAAAGGGCAAAACAGTAATGTCTGCAGATTGAGTTCTATATTCATATTATATTTTTCTATATCTATATTCATTGAGTTCTATATCTATATTCTGCAGATATTATATTCATATATTTTTGGTATTCAATGTCCTATACTGTGTCACTTTGGCTTGTTGAATCATCAACATCACTAATGTTTTACTAGCAATGCCAGGCTAGGCTACAATGTTCTTTGTTAGGTTACTACTTAAAAAAGAATCAAAATTCTTGACATGCAAAACACCTTCAGAGGTACAAATAACTTCAAAATATTATAACAGTTATAAAAATATAACAGTTCTAAGATGCAAATGACAGCAAACACTAGATGGGAAAGCAACGAAAATGTGATTTCTATCATTACATTATATAGATCATCAATTTATTCAATTGATTCCTATAGGTAAACTCAGTTTTAGACGAAAGAATTATGAACAAAGATGAAAGAATAAGGCTTTAATGGGCAATATTGGTAACTTACCAAAAGTGTTGCTAAAGTTGACAGAAGACCATGAGCTGATAATGCCTGTAAAAATATAAGACGCATTGGAGTAAAAAAATCAATACAAAAATGTGGCAGCCCTAGCTTTCGTTATGAAAAAGATTCATAAAATGTCCACAAATGGTTTTACATTGAAAATACTGAGCCAGCTTTGGTGCCTTCAAGTTATAAAATACACTGAAATGATTCATGATATATAGCTTGGACATGCACTTGTATTTGCACAAATTTACAAGTATGAACTTTGCTCTTTGAGTCCTAAAACCTTAAGATTTTTAGTTTTTGTATCAATTTAAATTGTAAGAATTTTTGGTTTGCCAGCGTATTCACAATTCTAAATAATCAGCATATTCATAATTTTAAATAACCAAACTGGTTGCACTCAATGTATGTATAACAAAGCAAAATTTATTAATAAACTGTATTCCCAAATAGGATTGATGTTTGAATGCATCAAGTATCATAAAATGTTTAAGCATTTGGTAAATGATTTGTTAAATCACCTTTAAGAAAGAATCCCTGCTATGCTGCTGCAATGTCTGTGAAAGGTGGCACAGCTCTTTTAGAAATAGAACCTAAATAAAGAAATAGACAAGAGAAATTTAATAATCAGTAGAGAAATCTCTGATTTTCACAGTTACCAATATTGGTCTTCAAGGGATTCTGAAACAAAAAATTATAGACAAAAAATAGATCCACTTGATGTCCATAAAATACAGCTCTACTCAGAATCAAAAGCTAACCAAATTACTTCCAATATTAACTACAATAGATTCTTTAGGGTCCAGCAAAAAAGGTCCTTGTGATTACGCTAGAAACAAAAGCTGCAAGCTCGGGAAACCAAAAAAACTGGCGAGGTCAACAAGGAAGCAATCTTCTAATGATTTTATCATCATCACATAAATCATTATCATACTTGTGTTAAAATCAACCCTGGCGATCATTAGAGAGAGAATAAGCCACTGCGTAGCCAGTACTATTAGACTGATTAAGTAAAAATTAATAAAACATCAAATGATATTTCCAAAAATATATTTGCAACTATCATTATCATCAATCCCTATGCAAGATAGGGGTGTTTGAAAGTTGTCAATGATCCATCAAGGAATAAAAGATGAAACAACATTTTGACTTACATATTGTCCAATAATTAGTTATAAGATATAATCTAGTATAAATTTTTTTCAGTTTGATGCAAAAATATGCTCAATATAAAATTTTTTTCCACAGCAACAGCAATGAGTTATGGCAGCCTTTCAAATTTTAAACCTTGCTTGAAACTTTATTTACACATAATAAGATACAAATACATACAAATAGGCACGCAGCAGTGATACAAAAACAGCCTTTCAAATTTTAAACCTTGTTTGAAACCTTATTTGCATATAATAAGAACAAATTGCATTTGAGATCTTTCTACATTGCTTACTTAAAATTGACCCTACAAATATTTCCTTACCAGTTCTCGCCTTTTGTCATCTGACAATTCATCATCTTTAAGTCTTGCAAAAAGTTCTGTAAGAAATCTCTCATCCTCCTGAAAAAGAATTAACTTCCATAAATTACATGCAATTCTTATGCAATGGTTCTCTTTTTGAAAATAAACAAAATTGGCTGGAAAGCAACAAATGCAAAAGTATAATGTGCATCAACATGAGCTTGTACAACTTTCCAAGCTATATTAATCAAACGGAACACACTCTCAACTAAATAAATTGCTTTTTTGATGACAAAGGAATTTCAACTTCTTTCTGCAATTGGGTTAAAAAGAATCTTTGCACAACCAGAGTCTTGGAGGTAAAGCAATTTAATATTTAAAGAGAGTATTCAACAAATCAATAATATGATGTTTCCTGTTGACAAAAGAAAGAGCATTCAATCAAAGTTTAGTTGAAGAAATGTCAAACCTAATTCAAACCAAAAAGTACAAACAGTATCTCACCTGTATCATATTTACAATCTCTATCTTACTAAAAAATATGAATGAACTTAGAGTAGACATGTTGTCCTCAAAGACTGTTGGGACTGGCACCAGAATATCTTGGATATATTGAACTTTGTATGTTTGGTGAATCTTGCGCAGAAGGTCTTTGCTCGTGATTGGAATGACTTCTTTAAAACGTGCCTTCTCTTGGACAAATTGCCTGTGTTTGATAGTCTCTTTAGAATTTGGGTCATACTCTAAGACCCCCAGTACATCTAATATATTATCGTCTACAAACATAATTTCAAACAGGGAGTTTTTGTTTAAAATAAATATGGCTTTAAATATCTCGTGCAGGTGATGTAGTCCTTCCTCTGTCTCGAGATCTTCACAAATGTGAAATAAATTCAGAAGTTTTTTAATGTACTGTTCTTGCTCAATAGCACTGGCCAGTCTTTCTCTTTTTAATGGTGAAGGCAATACACTAGCAAACAATTCTGCTATTTCTTCAAGTTTACTGAGTTCACAAGGTGGAAGATCAATTGGTGTTGAAAAATCTTGTACTTCTTCAAACTGTTCATCATCTTCTTCCCCAACTTCTTGTGTGATATCAACAGAAGGATCTTTACCTTGAACCTTATCAAATGGAAGTTGATATAGTTTAATGCCAAGGTTGTAACTGTTTTCAATATGTAAAATTAAAGATCTTTCCCTTTCTGTGCTTTAATGCTTAAAATGTCATAATTATATACTAATGAAGTCTTGGAGACAAAGGAGCCATAAGGAGGCTGGAATTGATAAATATTCTTTAAGTTAAAAAGATAGGGAAACTGCACATGTAAATTGCAACAAAGATGGAAAGATTTATTTAAAAAAATTACCACTGGAGTCCAAACGAACTCTATCTGTCTACACAAAGGTTTATTTAGAAGCAGGTATTAATGAGGCAACAATTTTACAGACAATACACAGGGCATACTTATAAGTTGATGCAACTTTGAGAAACATTCCATCAAGAGCATAATAAAATTAAGGAATACAACTAAATAAAAATCTACTTTTCTGTGGCAACCAAGAAACTATGCTTTTAATCTAAATAAAAAACAACCAAGTACCTGGCAAATTTTTTCCCAGATTTCATCACATCCTTCTTTCTCTTGAAAACTGAGTGCAAGGTCATTATCTCCTTCTGACCAGACGATTAATGTTGCCTGAAACAAAATATATTTAGACAATTAATAAAAAAATATTTTAACTTTGTCAAGTCTTGTTTTGGGTGTTTCCCCATTAATTGTAATTTAGTAATAATTACTTGATAAAAACTTGTTTCAAAAAGAAAATTCTACATTGAATTGTTCTTTGTTTTCAAGGAATACATAAATTCATTTTGTGCATTTGATTTGATGAAACAACTTATGAATTAAACCAATTAGCTACCACATCCAGTTCTGATACACATTAAAGTGAATGTTCTAAGCTAAAAGGCCAATGCTATAATTAACAGACAGCTCACTTCCATTCAAGAATGCACTCATTGGATGTGATGGCAATTGATCAACAGGAAAGCTCGCATGAAATGGAAACAACATAATTTTATTGCAAGATGATAAAATCTATATTATGTCACAAAAGGAAATGCTTGGAGATCTCCAGTTTTACCTCAGAACTTTTACTTTAAGCAATGAACTAGGATACACTGCCAATACTGATTCCATATAAAGGTTATAAACAAATACTTGGAAACCAATGTTTCTAAAACTATTTTCAAGTAACAGTGTGATAAAAATACCTCCTGCTTTTGATACACAGTATCAGTCTGTATTCTTGATTCTAGTAAGCAAGATCCTGCAAAAAAAGAACCTTCTTATTTACTACTATGAAAACCGCTAATTTTCAGATTAAAACTTTAAATAATACCAATTCTTGCATACATTTCCCTTTTTTCAATGTAAAATTATATCTTACAATAAAGGGCAAGTTCTTTATGATTTAAAATTACCTCTCTTATTCCAAAGCTGGCTGTCTAACCACATAGCTACTCACTTACAGTTAAACCTGACGAAATTTGATTGTAACATAAAAGCAATGAATTTTTGAGGGAAAAGAATAGCAATGCAAACAATTTTTTCAACCGTTAAAATTTAACTTTTAAAAATTTTTTGTCTTAAACCACATAAATTATAAAAGAATTGTAAAACGATGGTTAGATATAATATACATATGATATGACCATTGACAACAACAATTTCCCTATCAACCTGTTAGACGAAAGAGCCTAATGTTGACATTTTCGTTTGTTTTCCCGGCAATTCAATGCAAATGAAACGGCGCAGCTGCACTTTTAGAAAAGGCAAAAACACCTCTATGATTGTTAGTTTACTACGTAACGTTATCAATGACATTGATCAAGTTGCTGAAAATGTTTACGATTAGCATCCAAAAGCAAGGTCTTTGATACACAGCCTAGGAGGGTTGGAATGCAGCCACACGTCAATTGAATTCAAGGAGTCAAAGGCAGAGACTAGGCCAAAATAACTTCTCTTACCATCATCTTCAGACCTCACAAGAAGAACAATGCCTTGCATTTTTTCATGATCAACGTACATGGATGAAACATGGCCAGTTCCATGATCGTCCCATTGCCGTTCGTCATTCAACACATACAACTTCACTCGTCTTCGCGTGTTCGACATTTCAGGCAATTTCATAGGTGAAGCGGGTTGAGTGTTGATCTCAAAATCAAATTGCAATTAACTTGAACGTTTAGACCTTCTCTCTGTGAGTGTCATTGGCGAAAAGGATGAACTCAGGAGTGAATTAACTCTTAAAACTTCAAGCTAGTGCAAGAAATGGTTTTCATTTTCGGCATTTACGTGATCTTACTCTGTCTGTGTCCGCCATACTTGTTCAGCCATCCACAAACAATCGGCGAACACAGCTTGCAATACACATGCGTTCAACTCCAGGGGGGTACCCAAACAGCTCCTCCACACAATTTAAGAAAGAATGGAGAAAGACGACCAAGCACAATGGCTTGAGCGAAACCAAGAAAGTATGTAAATTACTGAAACATTGTGCAGATTTTGCAAATAAAGTTAGAGTCAAATTTCCAACAATGCTACGTGTGGTTATAATTAATTCCTGTTACTCTATCTGTTTATTTCTTTCAAGATAGAGATATGGGATTTTAGAATTTCATTGTAAAGATTCTTGATAAAAAGAAAGAGCAGCCCAGAAATATTTTAATTAATTTTTCATTTAAATTGCAAATGCTACGTAAGGTAAAAAAATTTCACAATCGCTCCTGAAAGAGCATATCTGGGAAAAACCATATCCATCCATGAGCCCCCCCGATGCGTAGAATTATCACGTGATTCAAGTTTCTTTTCACCGGCAATCGTGACGTTCACAATGGTACCGCTAGTAGTAAACACTACACACTCAAAGTGCTCTAATGACACTAACTGCAAATTTTATATTAGCACCATTTCATTGAATGTGTCGGTTGCAGTACCTTTTATTAATCTCGAAATTCATAGTAGCTAGTAAAATCATCGCATATCAGGGTTTAATGATGGAATGTTTTATGGTGTGTTGTCAGTGGTGACGTCGCCGCACTCTCACAAAATCAAGTTGTGCCTGGACCCGCCCACGCTAAGAGCCGATGGCCTCCAAGGTCAGGGTGGTTACAATAATTGGATTGGCCTGAATGGTCAGTAAAACTTATTTCAAATCATCAATTTCGAAAGGAATTTCCCAGTCTTTTCCCTTCCAATGAAAGGAAGCCATTAGAGAATCATTCCGAATTGAAAATAACTTTCAAATGAAAATCTTGATTCAGGGGTATCAGAGCAAATTTACGTCAAGGGGCAAAATCATGTCCTAGGAAAGACAGATTTTTCAAGTAATGTCTTTTGAAAGTGTGCAAATTTGGGGGTATTCGTGAACAGAGGGATTCGGGGTGCTGGGTAGCCTGTGCTCCGGACCCTCTCCCTTCAGGTTGGGGGTTTTTAGCACAGGATAGGTGCTAGGGGTTTCAGAGCAATGGCGGCTCCAGCCTGGGATAAGTAGGGGGGCAAAAGGTGTTCAAGGGACAACGCCCTTTTGGACCACGCCCTTCCCCCTGTTTGAAACTTTTTCTTCCGGAGAAAGACATGTTTTCTCCCAAGAAATGTCATTTACATGCGACGATCTAGATAACGTACATACCCCCCTCCCTGAAGTTTTCTTATCAGGTTTGCGAGAATCTCAAGGACCAACTTTCTGAAAAAGTGGGGGGGATTAGTCCCCCTTATTCCCCCCATGGCTCCGCCACTGTTTCAGAAGGCTGGAAGCTGCCAACAGTAGAATTCGAAGTCAACATTAAATAAAACTAGAATAAATAGACACGTTTCTCTAGAATTCATGCAATTCCAAGCCATCTTTGGTTTATCAAATGTTAATTGTACTGTCGGTATGTCGTGTTCAAAGGTCAGGAATTACAAGGTCATGGTCATTGTGCGATATGGACACGTGATGAGCTGTGCATACAGTCACATCGAGCGATGGGCATGACCTTGCGTTTACTGATTGCTAACATATCAGGTCTTTGTACTATAATTGGGTATTTCAGACCCTTGACTAAATCTTTATCATTTTCTGTTCTGCACACCATGGCCGCCGAGAGGGGGGGCAAATTGTCCCAGGGCCTCGAGGTATAGGGGCCTCATCAGGAACGGAATTAGCAGGGGGTGTTTGGGGTTTCCTTCGTCCCAATATCCTGTGTCCTTCGGTAAATTTTGCTTCCAATCATTTGTTGGTAGACAGCAGCCATCAAACAACGCCAAGATTTCACCTTATTTATATTTTTACCTTCTATCTTCTTATCGGCGGCCCTATTGCACACTAGTAGGAGGGATAGATGAAGCAAAGGCCTATAGGGAATCTGAGCAGCAACGTTTTGAAGACCCTGGAGCAAAACTGTTTTCCTCTTTGGATTAGCTTTCGATACATTTCAGAATGTTTCGTGCCGTCAATTTTTTGCAATCGTTTGAAAATTGTTTACCGGTTTTTAGCCAATCGTTTATAAAGTTTATTTAATTGCATTCTTAAAATGGAATTCATCGCTCTTTGAGCCCCCCTCCTAGATCTCGAGGCCCCCCTTTGGAAATTGCTCCCCCGCCACGCTCTCGACAGCCCTATTTGTATATCGTCGATGTTGCTGTTTTACTTTAAAAAAAAATTCTGCTCTAGAAGATTCCCTTTCTGTTTTACAGTAAACTCAAGTTGTATTGTAACATTACATTGTACGACAGGCATTTAGTATAATTTGGTATAGTATAATTGATAAAAAAACTTGGAAAACCTATTCAGTTCACGATCCATTTTATTATTACTTTTATTACAATATCTGTCTTTAACCCTTTACTTGGCAAATATTGATTTAGTGAACAAAAAAATTTTATCTTTGGCTTACACATCTATTATAATGCAAATATAACATTTTTTATGCAAAAGATAATTTTCACACATTTTGAGGGGGGCCAGGAATTGTTGCCATATGGCTACATTGCCAAGCGGTGGTATAAAAAGATCCAATCAAATAGGTCAGGAAACCTGGAAGTAAGTTACCAATAATAGCTTTCAAAATAATCTTACATCTTTTTCATAATATTGCTGTTCTATTTTTTTAGGATAAGCATCCTAAATTTCATTATTGTAAGATAAAAATGTTTAAAAATTGCTAAAAAATTGGCAAGAACCTAACACTCATTTATAATCACTTATCCCATACATAAATGCTGAAATACATGGGTACATCATATAATTATATGTGTGCAGAAAAATGTAGCTCAGAAAATGATGGTTGACTAAAAATACATAAGCCTGGAAGCATTATGCTCTATAAGACCATATTATGCAAAACCGTCAAAAATAGGATATAAAAGCAGTTCTCAATAAAACAGCAGGAAGAAAAGTGAACATGCATCATAGTCTATGCTGAATGATAGTCAAAAAAACAGTTCTTCTCTCCAGTGAGGCACAAGCACATTCCACATTTAATGCAATAGACCCTTGAGAATCCTGTTTGACATTGCCTGCATCTTCCTTTACAATCACTTCGAACTTCAGGCCAATGGGCAAACTTATCCTCACGAACTTCTTTTCTTGGAGGAGGAGTGAATGGCTTTCTTCCTCTTTTTGTTGCTTCTTCCATCTGTCTTTTTCGTTTTCGTGGTCTACCAGCTTTTCCTGGAGTTGCAACTGGGCAAACTTGTCTGTTGGAATGAATAAGAGCGTCAGCTATTTTCAGGATGAACTTCAGCAAAGATAATTGATTTCTTCTTCCAATACCGTGTTCCTTGCAATGTCGCTTGTACAACAACCAGGCATTCACTTTTGCAATGTCAATGCAATGCCAGAAGATCTTGATGTACCATCTTCTGGTCTTGACAGTGATGCGATAAAGGCTAATCAACATGTCACAAAGATCCACACCTCCCATACCTTCATTGTAAAACAAAATAATTATTGGGCATGGAATTTGTTTCCTTTCTTTGTCGTCAGTGCACCATCTCTCAATTGTACCAAGTGGATCAATTCCTACAAAATTGGACGCAATATGAACACAATTGTTATCTAGCCATTTTGTCACAACAATTCCCGAATTCATGTCTGACTTGTAGTCCATTGATCCACGACCTGCCTTTTTCATCTCTTTATTGGATTGCAATGGGCAGCCTTGTAGACGATTGCTGCGCACGGTTCCACATGCTAGGATCCCTATCTTTTTCAAATAGATAAGAAGGTCCAACGTTGTGAACCAGTTATCAAAAAGCAATCTGTGATTTCTATTTGAAGGCAGGTCTTTGCACAATCTGGCAACAACTTGGGCACACTTTTGAAGAGACTGGAAGCCCTCATCTGGATAATCATCATTTGCTTTGCCTGTGTAGATGTAAAAATCATAGATTATGCCAGATGCACCGGCTCTAACCAGATTTTTAAAACCCCATTTTACAGGTTTTTTGGGGTTATATTGGCGAATCTTTGTGTATCTGCTTTTAGATGGTATTATCTGCTCATCTACCGAGTGCACCTCTTCAGGTTTCACCAAAATACATTGATTTCGTAATCCCTCAACAATTGGTTTGATCTTAAACAACTTATCACTAGCTCCATCTGTGAATGTTGAATTGTCAACAAAATGAAGATTTCTTCGCAACTTCTGGAACCGTTTTAGTGACATGATGTCTGCAATGGGCGAATATCGCATTTCATTTGACCAATACAGGGTGTATGCTGGAAGACTAATTACACCCATTTTGATATGCATTCCAATGTATTGCTCAATCTCAGATCTGCTGGTGTTTAATGATACTCCACTCTTCTGTGTGCTGTATAAATTGGTGTTTTCAACAACTGTGTCGGTCAGCTTGTCTGACCAAAACATCTTGAAATATTCCAAAGGTGTTTTTATTGTGTTATCTTCATTTTCTAAAATATCTGGAGTAAAGATTCCATTATGCTTAGGGATGTCTTTTTTCCTCCATCGGTAAACATGTTTCTTCATAGATCCAGAGGGTTCCTCCTCTGCCTCTTCATTTTCATCACTGTCCTCCTTATTGGTATTGCCTTTCAATTCATTACTTTGACCCATACTTTCTTCATCTGTTTCAAGCCTATTTAATAACAAAGAATCATTTTTTGGTTTATCATCATCCTCATCAGAACTAAAACCAGATATGTCTGATTCATTTCCATCAAGAACAAATGCAAGAGCATCCTTGAAACCAATCCTTTTGCTACAATCCATTGCCTTGATACCTGAAATCAAGACAAATTCCAATTCACACTTATGTGGTAAATTTCTGTTAATCACACAAGCAAAATTTCATTGCAAAATTGAATCAATCTGGTAAGCACATTTAGGCAGATTTTGATACTAATTGGTCTAATTTTTGTCTCAAAAACCTCCAAACTTGACCAATGTTGACTTCAGAATATAATGGCCTAACTTGATAAAAACCATCCAATTCTTGGCAATGTTGCCATTTGTCTACAATTATTCTATACAATTTTTGTTGGGAAAACATAATGAATCTGGTAACATTATTGTTATGGAGTGAACAATTCTATTTTCACACTACACTTTCAAAATGACATCTTTTTCATACATGTAGATTTTCAACATAAACAAAGGTTGCAAACTTTGCCACTTTTACTCACCCGAAACCACCTTCTGTTCCAATCAAGATTGCAGCACGTGTCCTTGAGTAACAGGCCAAGTCACTTTATCAACGTGCGTATCAGGTAGCAATATACAATGCCTACTGGGTACACTACATTGTGAAAATGAGGCTATTTCATAATAGAGCCCTAAAATTATTGTTGCCATATGGCTACAACGCCAAGTAAAGGGTTAAGTGGCCTGTGCTCCAGTCCTCAACTTTAAAGTTTATTGTTTTTCGCAACACTTTGTGCTTGCCATTTTGATAGCACTACACCACTGGTTTCATATTTCATATTTCATATTTCGCTTTCATATAACGCTTTTCCGCATTCCTTTCATAGTATCTTGCTGATGAAGTATGTTATGAGTTTTACAGGAAGATCAGATATTTTCCTGTTTTCTATGGGCAGGCCCTTCGAAACCGGAGGGCTGGAGCCCCTCCAATAATTTTCAAACTGTAGTATGTTTCCTTTATAACAGTGAACTAAATGGCAAGGAAAACAACGGCAGCCCACCCAATATGAATTTCGTTCCGACGGCACTGATGAGTATTACTATCCTTTGATATATAGAAACTGCAAATAGACGATAGTCAATGTGAATTTTGCCTGTTTGTGTTAGAAATTTTTAACCTTTTAATGAAAAATTTTGATTTCCATCTTATGCAAGATATAATCAGACTTTCAATTACTGTAAAACAGTTTAAAAATTATGTTCCTTCAAATTCATTTTATCTACCTTACCCCATGTTTTTCAATCAAGATTATTAGCCTCGTTTCCAAAACATGTAAAATATTTTACTGTTGTTCATGTTGTTTTCAAAATTGCTTTCTGCTTGATCAAAAAGCCTGGGTACCTCCAGGTATGGGATCGAAACTTTGCTTTTCATGACACATTTGCAGAATATCATCATGATAAGACACAACAAGGGATTCTCTAGAATCGTAATAAACTGACACTATCGCAAATGTGATGTCAAGAGATTATTCGCATAGCCTTAAAATCAATAAGTTTTGAATAATAGTTTGATGCCCCATATTTTTAGTTGCAATGGTTTTACTCAAAATGAATCAAACATGCAAATAATACCATTTTTGTCATCTCGAATGTTGGCGACTTGCTGTCTTTATTGCGATTGGTTAAAACGTCTTAACTTTACTTTTATTGCTGTTGTTCTCGCTGTCTTTACCGCTCATTCTCAAAAGGAGGAGGACTTGTTTCACAATTTTTGACTTATCCCAGACATAAACTATGTCAGCCTTCATACATACCACTTTTTCAAGCCAAAGAAACTTCGCTACAAACACGAAGAGCCTTTAACGACAAAATTTCCATTATTCAAATAGTTTCAACATGTCAAATTATTATTACATGCAGTACTCTGAAGCAGTCCATTGGTGAATAATGATGAGCTAGTAAAAATCTCTGTGTAAGTTCAAGAGTCTCTTTTATGCATCTCCTAGTCGATTCAATGACGCTACAAATGTAGAGGCAGGGAGAAATGTATAACTTTTGCTGGAGACCTGAAAGGGGAGAGGGGGCTTAACAAAGCAAGCATTACTTATGTTTAAGACAAGTCTAACCTATTTGATACTTTGAAAACTATCTTTATGTGTGACTATATTTGATAAGTTATCTTATAATTTTACTATTTGATAACTCTGGTATTTGACTGCAAGTCGCAGACTTTCAGTGTCTATTTGACTCTCAAATGGAAGAGGTATCTCACATTATAGTATCAAGAACTACCAAGCAATAAATTTCAAATCACAGTTCTGCTTTTGTTAAAAGGACTTTTTTGTAGGAACTCATTGTTTTCTGGCTGATCATCGATGAGCCTATTAAACCATTCATTTACTTTCATATGATTTGCAAAAAGGCATTAGTTTTTTTTCAAATGAAAGAGTTTAGAAAAGCGAGATACATCATCTATCAACAATGCTTCTTTTTCTTTAAACCCTTGGATGTCTGGGACGACTTGGATCAAATGAAAATGTTCAGTTGTCCCATTGCTCTTTGTGAAGATTTGAAAAGCGAGCATCTAGGTTTACACCACAGATTTAACCAGTAATGCAAGAGGTTGACCTCATTGCCTCTGTTTCGTATTTCCTCTAGTCTCCCTTTCGATGGCTTCTTGGTAATGTTAATTTGACAAAGGAAAACCCTTTCTTGTTTATTTTGATGGCAAGACCAGAGTCGCTGAAGTAGATTTATAAGGATTTGAGTGGACTTAATGGCAGGACCACAGTATGAAATAACGGCTCTAAAATCGTGAAAGGGAGCCAAAGAAGCATTATTTCCGAAACGGAAATAAGAATTGAATTAAGAATGTATAAATGATATCATATAACATACGTCCTATAGCTTATAAGCACTCTGGAGAGTAGATTTGACCAAAACCTAAGGTTTTCTCAAGCTCACCGAAAAAAGTCTGGATCCAGTTTGTTGATGTAGGTTGATGTTGCTCAAAATTCATGTATGAAAATCTGAATACTTCGTTATCAAGTGTAATGCTACCGTGTAAAAAATTTCTGAAAAAGTTTTCTTTTCCCCATTGATTAATCTAATCGAAATCGATCTTTCATAGAAAATTTCACTAAGTTTAACAAAACACCCTTTTTACCTTAAAGGAAGGATTACACGCTCAAATTCTAGTCATCTTCGCGTCATATTTTTCACCAAAAAAAATTATTTTTCATCTATTGTTGCGTAATCGTGCTAGAAATTCACATCATATATAACTTTAGCGTTAAGATTCTACACAACGTTTTTCTCAAAGATGAATTTTTAACATTTCAATTTCAATATCAAAAATATTTTTCTCTCGTCATGTTTTTTCAAAGGAGTCGACTGGTAGCCTCGTATAACTTTGAAGCTTATCAAAACGCACCCTTCACCCTTTCTAAGAGCTACTTTGGAATTTGTAAGACGTGCAACTCTTACAAAGGTAGAATATCAAGTAATGAAAATCCAAGTGATGATGAGATCAAATAAATTGCCGGATTCATTTCAATATCTTCTGTTCTTGAATCAAAACTGCTTGGAATACTGAGAAAAAGACTCGAATGAGTCTCAGCATGGCACCATAGAGGGAACTGCATGGCATTGGCCTAAAGCTGAGTGTGCAAACGTTCAACAGCAAGCCTTCGCTTCTTCTTTACATGATACTCTAAATGACTCGAATCGTATCTGGTATCAAACATTCAACTTGGGTATCTTCCCGTTAGAAGGGTTTTTGTTTAACCCATTTTTCCTTTGGTGTTCCTATTCCATCATACGCTCTTTTGGCGAAAAATATGACGCGAGTATGATTGTATTACTCTATCTTTACATCATACCTGAACATTGAAAATTTTACGTAGCATCGTCAAAATTCAGTTGTAAAAATACAATATTTCCCTGGGATATGGCTGTAAAAGGGAGCAATATAAAGTGTAATGGCGCGGTTGCACAGGTCACCAAGAAGAATAAGGACCCAAGTAGATGAAAAATTACCCAAGTGGATTCAAAACCTTTTTTTATAATTCCTCTAAACCCCCGGACACACAAAATATTGGATCGTGTTTCCTTCTATGTTGCGCGTTATAACGTCTCCTGGTTGAGGCTGAGAAGGGGTCAAAGTTGTTGCACCGTCGAACTTGATGCTTCATCGTTTGGCCAGGTCGTGCAACATGCAAAAAATGCCAGCTTCATGATGAATTTTTCAGGAGTTTAAAGTTAACGAAGAAGCAACATAGAACGACTCAATAATATTTTTATTCATGTCTGTTTATTCACTTCCTAGTTTCTCACTTTTGCATTTTTTCTTTCTTTGTCTATTTATTTGAGCAACACACAGTTTGCCCGAGCAAAATTCAATGATACCAAGGATACAGGGAAACAGAAATATTCATAAGAAATTTGATCCGAGTTCCTTTTTCAATGCGTGGACTAATGTTTGCACCGTTTGGCGCTTAACTAACTTTGAATAAACAGAAATTGCCAATGAAGTCAAAAAGACCTTCGTGAATAATGTCTCTGCATTTGAGTCAGTGCATGAATAAGAAACATCACTTTAAGCTCAACTTGTTAGCACCTTTTGGGTATTCTACATATCAATCTTTGTTTAATCCAAGATACTAGATTATACTCAAACACAGCCGTATAGTTTCTTAATCTGAATAGCATCTTGTTCACTTAACTTTATTCTTTGCCCAATACTTGCATCTGAATTCTTAGGCCGAATGGTCGTCTGCGATGGCAATTTAGCATACGCACGTTTCCCATAATGCATTATAGACCCATAATCGTAAGGGCTTCCAAGGCTGTCGATAAGGCTGTGCGTATATTTCTTGAAGTTGTACTTGGTGCCTAAAAAGGATTACATAGCATATAAATCTTAGGCAGCGTTGCATATGATCTACAGGTATTCTTTTATAGGAAACTAAGGTCCGGTGCTGGTAGGCAGTTTCCTAAATTTTCTGGCCATTTTGCTATCAAAAGTTTTTTACATGTTTCTTAAATTTTTTTGGTAATGAATTTTTTAAACGTGCTTCCAAGGTAAATTTAATAGTTCAGTCACATTCAGAGATAAACTAACAAAGTGATCAAGGAATGTTGTTTTCCTAGAATGACTAACTCTGTTGAGATCTGTAAACAGTTAAGCTTATTGAACTTCATCAATGTCATGTTGAAATCAAAACAAATTTTTAAATGGAAACTTCTTGAGTGTGCAATTTACTGAGAATGAATGCAAACTTCGTGTCAAGTGTAGTGTTGCAATATACAGTGATGTTCAATGTCAAGACTGTTTCGAGTGTCAACTCGGAAAATCAAAACTGCAAATTATAAAAGTTTCTTAGCTTTTTTCAATTTGAATAGGGTTGTTTCTTAACTTTCGAAAAATTGAGCCTACCGTTTCTTATAACCTGTTTCTTATAAAAAATGAGTGTATTGTATGTAACATGACAAAGTTTCTTACAACAATTCCCCCCTTTTTTTAATAAGAAACAAAGGTCGATGTTGAGTACTCCAGTTTCTTAATGTTCTGGAAATTTCAACACTCACTGTTTCTTAAGAGTTTCTTAATTATTATGTCATGAATGATGTTATGAAATGTTCGTGACCTTATTTCACGTCAAGATATTCGCTTCCATTCTGACGCTGTATTTAGACGTGGAAAGTATATTTTTATCCCTTGTGTCTTAATTTCTAGGCCTTCAGGGCAATCTTGTTCTTGGATTTTACAAAATTTCGTTGTTCTCAGTTTTATCACGATTTAATAGTTTCTTAATTTTTTTGCTTCGAGTACTGAGTTTTCTTAATTTTTTCTGACTGTCCAGTACTCGTTTCTTATAGCCAGTTTCTTATAAAAAAATGAATGTAGTCCAATAAAAACAAACCAATCTTTAGTGACAAACACGTCACAGACAAGCAAGTATTTTGATAGCAGCGAAAGAGCATCTGCGAAGTTCTAACTTACACAAATTAACCCAACTTTCCTTCCGACTATTGCTGTCTCTGCTCTTGCAATTTTATGTCGGACCAAATATGACCTTAAAAGTTACTTATTAAATTGAAAAACAGCGATAAGCGGGACACATACTTTAGCCATCTTATTGTATGAGAACTAGCAAAAACCAACTAAACATTTGAAACAGGCAGAGATGGGAGATTCTTTGAAACTCTTCTCTCAAAAATAGATGGCATTGACACCTCTTTTACTTAAATACAATAAGATGGGTGCCTAGTTTGTTTTATTTTCACCGCCCTTTGAGAAACACGGAATGAAAAAAACAAGTACTGACCGTCCAGAATGTTATCCCACAGGATTTCAACATAGTCATCTCGATCTGGTCTAGATTGCTCATGATGAAGGCCTAATGCATGTCCGATTTCGTGCAAAGCAACACCGTGAGCAAGGCACCCGTATCCAAGTGAAATCTTCTGCTTGCCGTAAATCCGTCCAACATATGAATTGCATCTGAAAGAAGTGTTTCAAGATTATTAATTGAAAATGAAGGGCTCTTAAAACAACAACATGGATGATTAAATGATGGTCTGTCTGTTATTGCTGTTAAATCTTTCGCCAGAAAGGAATTTTTAAATTTACTCCATAATCTCTTTTAAAATGAGCAAAAGAATGGTGCCGAGACAGGCAACTTGCGGAACTCCAAGATATTTATCAAACGACACTGCTAAACTTAATCTGAAAAATTGCTTCCAGTTGGACAGGCAGGATCTCAAGCAGGAAAGCTATTGCTGCTAATAGACACAAAGTTCGTGCAAACATTCTACAAAAAATATGGTAGTCAAACCTTTTTTCAGATAAAGGAATATCAAGCTGACGAGACAGGCAACAAAGTCCGACCTTTTTTGTTATATTCATTTTGGATAATAAAAGTAAAGGATTGATTTATAAGTAAACATTTTTTTATCTGTAATTGCTGTAGGCAGGTTCAGCATAGACTTCCTTTCTCCTCTGACTTCACAAAAATCAACACGAACCATTTGCCAGCTTTATGTTTTCTGGCTTGGCAAGTGAGTGAAAACAACAATTTTGTCCCAAATACTGACACAGTTGGTCTAAAAAAGATTTTTAAACACCCTTGAGATGACAGGCAAGACTTGGTAACTATTCATTTCAAACTATTAATTGTGATAGAGATCTACAAAAATTTGAGACAAATCTTGCCTTTCCTCTGATTTTGTGGACTAATGCTAAGTGTATTCAGTATGCCATTATTTGATGCTTTTGCGAACATTCAAAGTAAACACGAGGCCACCCTTTCTAATTTTCACGTGAAGAACGCCTTGATGGGTTGATGAAGCTTAGCACAGAAAAAACGGCTGTCAAACTCAAAATGCAACGAAGAAATGTTTGAAAAATTTCAAAACTCTTCGATGAAATAAAGCAACTGCTAAACTCGAAACCGTTTTTGATATTGCCTGATGTGTTACGGTAAAAGTACCTTACCTACGGCTTACGCCCAAGAATTCAAATTGGTAGGGCCGCCGTGAGGTTTCTGAGGTCCTGGGGCAAAACCGAAAGACGTGGCTTCCTGGGAGCGGAGCGAGCAAAATTTTTTTCCGATAACGTCCTTCAGTTTAGCTTAAAAATGCATTTCAGTATATTTCTCGCAGATGTTTCTTGCAACCGTTTATAATGTTTTACTATTCTTAGGCATACTTTTGCCAAGAATTCATTGATTTATTTTTTGAAACTAAATACATTACTTTCTGAGGCCCCCTGGGACAATTTTCCCCTTTTGCCCCCTTTGTAGGGACTTCTTACGCTGGTATATATCTCAAAAGGTGCCATGGAAAGATGCCTATTCTTCTTAAAACTCTTCCTGGGTTAGTAAAAGAAACAAAATCCACCATGTGTATCCATCTAGCTAGTAATAAATGGTCGATTGTGGAAGCAAAATTCAGCTGCTGATAAAATAGGAACAAACAGCTCATTGGCGACGTTAAGACCAACCTTCCGAAACCACCATCAAAGAATTCAATGTAATCTCGCTCGTCTGTTCTGGGTTTGAATCTTATGCATGTTTTCTCCTCCCATTCCTTCATTGCACTTAGAATCACCTTTTCTGCGGGGCCTTTGAGCCCAACTTTGTTTAAAGCAGCATTCTCTGGAATAACAAATGAAAAACAGCTGCATCAATAATTTCAGTCAAATAATTGAGTAATATTTTTTAACCAAGATGAGTCCATTAGAATTATTCTAAAAATTAAATAGAAACGAATAACAAAGATTTAAATAAAAAGACAACAGTTTCAGAAATAACTTGCTTCTCGACATTATCTTGGCTTAAGTAACGTTGATAGACAAGTCAAATGAGAGCATTCTTTGGTTTATGAAAAAAGAATCATTTGTCAAAGGAGGTTTATCAAGTCTGACATACTGACGCTGTCTGCAAGTACATACGGTACAACACCATTCGGCCATTTCTTACGAGCCTCATTCATCAATCCAAAAGTGACGTCACCAGTTGGATTATCAACATCTTTGCCATTCAGAGCTGCATCGATTTCGTTTTTTGACATGATCATGTCACCTTGAAAGACATATCCCTTGTCGAATTCTGTTTTAAGAAGAAACAGATTGAATAATCATTTGAGACAGCAAAATTTCGAGATCGTATGAAAAAATGAGCACAGAATCACATAGCAATATATCAAAACACTTTTCTATACATTTAAAACTAAATACAGCTCAGGCTACTTAATATATACCATTCGTTGAGATAGAAAAACAGGTTCATCTAGTCACCACTACGGATGATAATCAAAATTAACAAATAGGGCTATTAGATATTAACACAAAACCTATACCAAAGATGCTATAACAGTACTTCTAGAAGAACTGAACACCAGCATTGCACATGAACTTCTATTTCAAAGGAGAGGTTTTAATTGAATAGAATAAAGAAGGGGAAGTTTTGCTGCTACTATGTGTTTCCTCTATGAGAATGTCTTGCACATTTGATTCAAAAGTTCTATCAAATATTACTGTTCAAAGTGCAGTTGAATCGAGATTTGAAATATTTTGGAACTTCTGAAAACCAACCAAAGAGTTCATTCTGCGTTGTTTCTAACAAATGGTGGTGCAGGAAAAAATACTCGTTGCCTTCTATCAAGACAAATTCTATAACAGATCTAGATTTACAATAGAAAGCCAGATTCGTTATGAGAAGCTATGTATTTGAATATTTGAAAAGAATAGTTAAATTTTAGAGCAAAGAAAACAGGTGTAAGTATTTCTGTGCCAAGCTCTGGAACAAAAGTTCGTTATCATTCAACTTAGCATAAAATTGTACAAATTTTACTCTACAGCTTTAGAAGAAGAAAATTCCTAGTGAAACAGAAAGTTTGCAAAACTTTCAGCGACAGTCTCTGCCAAACTTCCGTAGTATTTCCTGTTGCTGAACGGTTCTTGTGAAAAAATAGTAGATGACACGGTAAGTGTTGGTAAACGTTGGTAAATGATGGTAAACGTTAGTTTTGTATCTGGTAAGCATTGGTGTGATCCAATCTTACTTCCACGATTAGCCACTTCTTCCTTTACCTAAGCCTAATACCTAATACCTTCCTTTACCTAAATCTTGTTTGTTTGCCTCTAACAGGAACAGCTATGCACTAATTTTCATAAAAAACGCACTTCATAAGGGCACTAAGGCTCAATTTGCAAAACAAAACAAAGAGCAACGAAAATATGATCAATTAGAAAACTGAAAATTAGGTGAAAAAATAGAAGAAGAAAAAGGTATTTTTGAAAACTTTTCTTTTGTGTTAACAAAACAAAAAATATTTATCAGCAAAAAAAACCTTGATACTAGAAAAGTCAGACAAAAGTCATGCAAACTGTTAATTGGTGGCTTTAGAAAGGATTTAGAGAGATGGGTTTTAGAATAGCAAATGCTGAAATAATTTAGAAAAACAGAGCCATAAATAATTCAAAAATAAAACATCGAGCCTAGACAAAAGTGCAATAAACTTACTTTCGAGCTGAAGCGACCATGTCGTGCATACAAACGATGCCAAAAGCAAATAGGCAATCATTTCAAAATCTTGGACAGCTATTTCTTCTTCCAGCCAGACTCACGTTTATACCAGAAAACGTCAATTGCCTCTAGATGATACCTTTTTATCTAGCACTAATTGGCAGCAACTGTTAATACAATAAAAGTTAATATTAAAGCTGTCACAACACACTCGAAAGAAAACGGGGTAATTTCCAAGGTACTTGAGAAGCACACTAATAATATCAAAAGAACTCGCTACAGATCTTGCAAATTTTTTTCAACCACAAGTAAAAGGATTAGTAGTTCATGAAAAAAGATAATTTCTAATTACGAGATTAACAAAAAAAATATTTTTTTCCTTAAACTGACAATGTTTTCAATGGCAGTAAGGCGAGCAGTATATTCCATGATACCGCTTTCGTAACTGATATTGTTAAGCATATAGCATGGTAAGGGAGCTTTCATAAAGTATGGAACAGACCGGGGCGGAAGGGATTCAGCAGGGTCATCAATACTTTTAAGTTCGAAACGTTGGGCAACAAATTATTTCAAACATTAATCATGGGCCGTGAAATTGTTCATTTAGAATATTTAAAAAAAAGTTAGTCACTATTGTCAATATCACTGACACTGCTCTCTTCAGTCTCTACCATAGTGGTATCTTCTGGCATTTTCATTGCTGCTTTCTGAAAACATTGTGTGATTGTACTGTTTTTTGGCTTCTTCTAACCTTTTTCAATTTGTTGGCTTCTTTTGTTACTGCCAGCTGATCTTGAAGATGCTTGCAGAACCTTTCTGCCATCTTGCTGCTACCATCCCAATCTGTAAAAATACTATTCTCAATTAGATGTTTCAAGCCCCGCAAATGTAACTTTGGCTTTAGAGTACCCATGGCATTTGAGATTATAGAAGCTTCCTCAATCTGAAAATCAAACTTTCCCTGAGCAGCGTAATCACAGAATATCCCTGAGCACTCTTCTTGTCATTTTCCAGTTTCCTCTTTCTCTTCATCTTATTCTTCTGTTTCCACAAAACATTTTTTCCCCAGGAAATAAAGCTGGCTCAGTTCTGGCCCTTCAAAGAGTGATGTATTTTTAATCTTTGTTGTGTAAAGAAAGTTAGTGGTGTTTTCTATGATTCTTCATCAGAAAGTTTTCAGGGGCTATAAAATTATTTTAGAACATGTATTGGGACCATGAAGATTTTTTTATTTCTAGCATTAGGCTACATAATTTTAATATAAAATTTGAAATCCATTCCGCCCCGGCCTGTTCCATACTTTATGACAGCTCCCTAAATAAGCCAAGGAAAGAACTGATACGATCGATTAAGATTTTATACTTTTCTTGCTTTTTCAAATCTTTAAAAATGCAGCATTTTCTTTGAAAGAAAACACGTGTCTGTGGGCTTGTGGGTTCAAACAGGCAAAACGGAAAAACTAAGAAAAGGGGCTCTTTTTTGAAGACGTTGTGGTGGCTGTCATGGAAAATCTTAAGCATTTTAAAAGGCTCAACTAGACTCAATAAATAGCCAGCTTTTAAGGATCAATCCTGTTTTTATACAAGCATACATTTGATTCTACACAAAGGAGCATAACATCATACTCAAGGACTCGTTACTCTATCAGACAAATTAAAGACGGGATTTAATCAACTCTTTGCTTATAATGTAGTCAACTACAGAGACTGCAGAAGCAAAAAGGGGCAGAGGGGGCCAAAAAAGGTACAAACAACCATAGGAAATTGCCTTGCTCATGGTTTTTTAGCATGCTTAGCCTCCCCCATAACGTTGTAGCTCCCTCAATCCGTAGTATGCTCCAAGGTCCTTGGTCACCTCAGTTACTCAGTGAACTGGCACAATTAACTTTAAGAATCATTAACTATAATCTCCGAGGGGTGTATGCCCCGCCATATGGGACAGAAGTTTATTATACAAAATATATGATGTGATTGTAAATATATTGTTTTAATCTAATAAAAATCTGTTGTACAATTTATATCGACGGTCTATTTCAGATATATAAGGTCTGAATTTGTTTGCAAATATATATGGTCTGAATTTGTTTGCAAATATATAAGGTCAAAGCGCAAACGATATGCGCAGTGACATTTCCCGCCAAATCCGACGCGATTTACACATTGCACGTTGCACAAAATGGCTGCGAATGCTTCAAATACTAGCATGAGACGGCCTAGTTCTGTGCCCGCATCACCATACACTCGCCCATCTTCTCGGGGAAGTCGTCGCTCAAGCTTCCATCAGAATGACGACGGTGGGTATAAATTCCGTGTGAAAGAAGTCATTTTGCACTTTGTTGGCCGACTAAAAGGCAGACCAAGTTGTGCAAGCAAACCAGATCCGATTTTTGAGAGTAGGGTCACAAGCTGAAAATTAGCAACTTCATAAGTTGGAACATAGTCAATAGAAAAAACTCTGGTCTGGAAGTCTTTTGTTCTAACTCTTTGTTCGTGTTTATTGAAATCACGTGACCTAAGTAAGGGGACGCGTGAAAACAAGTGTGTAGGATTGTTGTTGAGTTTTGAATGTTTCACGAGAGTATTGGTAATGTTACAATCTATTCTGTGCTGATATTATTAAAACTATGGTCAGCTCATATTGTGCAGTTCAGGGATGGGGCATTTCTGTCACCACTCTTACTCGGAAGTAAGATTTCTTAGAACTTCGCGACGCAATTGACAATATTTTTTTGGCTTGGATAAACGGTATAGAAAGAATAACACGACTGTAAACAATTATTTTAAGCGTCACATTGAATCTGGAGATGTTTTTAGTTGCGAGAACATCGGCGTGGGGAAAAATTGGATGGGTTATTTGCAGCCCCCCTATCTCAGACAAAACTGTCACATTTCCGACTCCACTCGGACAGTTCTATCTCAATGAAGAAACGATTTTCAGGGAAGATCCATGCTCAGCCCCCCTGAACGTCGAACATCCGCTACGCGCCTGGCGAAAACCATTACCAATTTAGAAATTTAAGAAATTTTCAATGCTCTGTTTCTCCAAAAGTCACATTTTGTAGTATGTTCAAGCGAAATGAGGACCTCAATTATTGCAATCTTAAATGTCCTGTCTAGACCTGATAAGAGTTTTGAAACAAAAATACGAGCCTTCGTGGAACATTGATGAAGTCGAGTACGTTGCTGATACAGATATGGTTGAAGTTCGAAGAGCCAAAATAGGGTGTGATCAAAAAACTTATGAAAGAATTTTCAGAGGAATACACAAAGGACAAACAACAGGGCGCCCTCGCCATCATCATTTTGGACCAAGGACCGAGATAGCGGGGGGCCAGGAGCCTTGCCCCCCAAAAACTTAATAGCATAAGTAAAATACTTTTATTTTCTAAAATTTGGCTGTTGCTACACTTATTAATCAGGGCTTTACAACCCCTTCCCCCTATCCCAAAAAAGTAAACAAAATGTTGTATCTCGGTCTCTGTTTGGACAGAACAAAAGTATTCAACGTAGAAACATTGGTTGAAAAGTTGATAGATGAAAAAACAATAGAGCAATCAGATTCGACTTTTTTGCATCCACATTTAATCAGCTATCATCTGTTTTAGGGTGTGAAAAATGTTTTTTGAAAGTTAGTTTTTTTAATCGCGAAGACAGACTTTGAAACGCAGAAACTTTGTCAAAAGCCCAAATGTCATTGTTTTTGACACTCATGGGTCGCCTGTGTGCGCTGGGCCTCACAAAACTATCTGCATCTGCTATTGCGAGAGAAGAAAATGTTCTATCTTGTCCCCTTACTTAGGTCACGTGATTAGAATAAAAGTGTTTTCAAGTTCTAGATGAGAACAAAAGAACAGAACAATGGGCTTCCAGACCAGAGTTGTCTCTATTGACTATGGTTGGAAGCACAAAAAGTTATGTTTTGGCGGGAAATGTCACTGCGCATATCGTCCACGCTTAGACCTTATATATTTGCAAACAAATTCATACCTTATATATTTGCAAAAAAATTTATACCTTATATATTTGCAAACAAATTCAGACCTTATATATTTGCAAACAAATTCAGACCTTATATATCTGAAATTTCCGACAAGAATTTATAGATGTCAAGTGGACACGCTTTAAGTTTGGAGAAATAACGTCGATATGAATTGTACAACCGATTTATATTAGATTTAAACAATATAATTACAATCACATCATATATTTTTTATAATAGACTTTTGTCCTATATGGCGGGGCATAGGGGTGCACATTTCTTGAAATACATTTGGCACCAATTCTCATAAGCAAGTTATTCTATAAATCATGGCTTTAAAATCATATACTGTTTTATTTGATATCAAGGTTACTTAGGGTTACGTGATAAATCGTAACAATTCTGAATGAAAAAATGTAAATTTAACTGGAAGCTCTTACGTAATCAAGGTTTGGGTACTGGATTGGCGAACCGGCGATTGACGAAAGAGATGGGCAGAGGTTTGCCGTCTCTACCCCGGGAAAACTTCTTGGAGTCGCTGCCTTTAAACACTTGACAAGGTCCTTTTCTTTAACAGCAGCTCTCCCAACATACTACCAACATACAAACAACAAACAAGATACATATAACAACATACAACTAACAGAAACACTTAAAAACATTCTTTGAGCCGATTTTAGTCAAACCTTTATCTGTATGACTTTTCGAGTAAAAATCCAGGGGATACTTTCTATAAAGGATTTGTGTTTTGGACATCAAGAAAATGCGCCGTCTTGGCCTAAGCTAAAATATTTTATTTTACCAGGTCCGTTTTTTCTAAAGAATTGCTATCTAATTGCTTGAACGGCACTTGTTTAGCATTAACCGTTTCCCACCTAAGCCAAAAAGAAATCCTTTGTTGGACAGAAAAGAATAAAATGTTTTCCACTCTTTCGTTTATCTCAATATTTTATCTCCTTAATCTAAATTTTCTTTGGATCCCAGAAGCTAATTTTCAAGACAAACTTAAAAGTTTTAGCATATTTGCATATATCTGTTTGGAGAAGGGCTTATTCAAATTATCCTGTAATCCAAAGGCCCATTCCATTTTTGGCCGCTAATAACCAATATGCTCATTCAAAATTTTCAACCTAGAGAACAAAAACAAAACAAATAGTCGTGTACCCGGAGTGTTTGAAGGATCTCAAAATTTTCAAGAGATTGTTGGTTGAATAAAAAATGGTTGCAGCATCAAGAATAAAGGCAACGCGATCAATGTCATTCACAGGCCTGGTACCCAATCGCTGAGTGACCAAAGACAGAAACACCAAGTGGTATGTTATTTTTAAACATGATTAAGAAAACTTTGCAACAAGAAATCACAGGATAGCATAGCTACAATAGTAATTTTAATAGTTATCTTTTTCATCGATACAGCGTTCAAGAGCTTATTGGCAACCATAAAACCTTCTGATTTGCAAAGCATCTTGCTCACTTAAATGCGATCTCTGTCCAATACTAACTCCACTTTTCTTTGGCACAATTGTCTTCTGCCATGGCCATTTTGCAAAATCGCGAGCGCCATAGTGCATGATCGATCCGTAATCATAGGGGCTACCAAGACTGTCGATTGTAGAATGAGAATACTTCTTGAAATTGAGTTTGTAATCTAGAAATAAAATGGAAAAGTCATGTCAGAACAAAGGCAAAGGTGCAGGGCCTACAAAACCAAGTAGATGGGCGGTATCTTTAGCCCAAATATGTGCAAGGGGCTTAAGCTCCAAAATAAAAATGGGCTTAAGCCCTAAAAACATGGCTTTTGGAATGACTAGCCCCCTGCAGTAAATCTTTGATCCCTCAATACGTATTATGCTTCGCAGTATCTGTATAGACGCATTATACAGAAGCGTACAGAAATGTGAACTGCTACGCTGCATTTATTGGCATCTGGGAAGATAGCAAGTGGCATCACAGAGAGTGATGAGATCTCGGTCATGAGAAGCAAGAGCTACCAAAGCCTTTGTATTATGTCGCATTTCTCTTAAAAACAATATATATTCTACTAGACTTTATAAAAAGGAAAAGTACGAACCCTCCTTGATATTGTCCCATACGATTTCAACGTATTGATCTCGATCAGGTCTTGATTGCTCATGGTGAAGCCCTAAAGCGTGCCCGATTTCATGAACAGCAATGCCATGATAGAAGCAACCGATACCAAGAGAGATGGCCTGTTTACCACCAACACGTCCAACGTAAGAGTAACACCTGAGGAAAGGAATTTAGTTTCTAAAAATACCAATTACGTATATGTAGAAAAGGTTATCGTCAGCAGGGCCGCCGGAGCCGAGGGGGGCTACGGGGGCACAGTCCTCCCTGTTTGGAGAAAGTGTGAAAAGTGCCCTTTTTGAAAAAAATATTGCGTGTACTATTTTCACAGCCAGATATTTTTCCTTTAGACGCCAAGTAAAACAACTTAATTCTTAATTTCTAACAACATCTACTGCGAAGGAGACTGTCTCTTTGGCGAAAAGATTTCCTCAGTGTGTCGCCAGTTGTTTCTCAGCCGGTTACACACGTATTCTCTCTAATGAACGCAATAATTCAATAATTCATTTTATTTCATTATATATATTCTTTTTTTTTCATTTTAATTCATTATATATATTCTATTTTTTTCATTTTAGTTCATTATATATATTCTCTTTTTTTCATTTTAGTTCACTATATATATTCTATTTTTTTCATTTTAGTTCATTATATATATTCCATTCTTTTCATTTTTTTCAATAGCTCATTGAAGATAGATAGGTATCCACCAATAAAAAACTGAGCTTTGAAATTCAAACGATCATTGTTTTTACAAAAATTAATATTGCATTTGCAGCATACTTGTTAAAGCAAAAAAATTTACAAGATGTTAATTTCTTCCGAGTAGGATTTTAGCTTGAAACTAAGTAAAAAACAACTGCTGCAAATCGTACAAATAAGATAAAAAGCAGCTTTTCGCTTGGCAAAAGGGATTTTTAAATCCAGCGGAACATAAAAGACCAAATCAAAATTGTTTCCACAAATGAGCTCGATCGATTTGCTTCTTGTAGTTGCATCTCTGCCAAATGAAGGAAGTTAAAATTCAGGTAAATGAGATGTTTAATTTACATATCATGTAAAAAAATCTTACTTTCCAAAACCATCATCAATAAATTCCACATAATCCATTTCGTTGGTTCTCGGCTTAAATCGTATGCACGTTTTCTCTTCCCATTCTTTCATCGCGCTTAAAATGGCTTTTTCCGTTGGACCTTTTAAACCGATTTTGTTCAACGCTGCATTTTCTATAAGGATAAATAAACTGTACCAAAGGATATATTTTGATAAGATGATCATGATTATAGATAAGATACTAATGCTGGAGCAAGATTCTGCATGTAAACCCTTTACAGGAAATTGCGCCACCACAGGTGCCGTGGGCCGAAACAAAAGTACTGTTGACAACAAGGGTACGACAGAAAAAATAGCTAATTTTGTTTCCAAGAATTTTAACCGAGTATCGGCGATCATTTGGTTCGGTTAATTGACTGTCGATTATGACGATATTAACAACTCTAGAAAGGGACAGGTTTAGCCCTAACAGCAGCTCCTCTGGTCTAATACGCTTAATGTTGACACAAGAGCAAGCTCAAGCTCGAGTTCTGCTGTTGAAAATGCCGAAACAAATAAATGATTGTATTTTCTAATCAAATACACGTTCACGAACCGGTCAATAGAACAATGAATGGTAAATGAGCAAGAAAATCACTCACTTACAGTAATAGTTATTCAATGATTATTTACCCATTATCCTCGTACTTCCTGACCATTTTGATAATAAAAATAAGGTTCTGTTTGCATGAGGCATGCAGTCATTCTATTGAAGCATTTCCTATTTGAATCATATACACAGGTATAAATGGATTCAAAATCATTCTTTCGGGCGACCTCCTATTGGAAAATCAATAAGTTAACTATTTCTACTTTCAAAAGGTCACTCAAGAGATAAACGAAAATTCTGATTTTTTTGTGAAATGAAAAAAAATTAATAGGAGAGGGTTTGCAATTAGAGTGTAAGAGAGGAGTTGAGAAGAAAGAAAAAACGGCTTTTAGGATTCAGAAGGGTATAACGTCGAAGAATTCCTGGCAAAACAAAAGATTTCTGAATCGAAAATAACTATTTCTGTGCATCCCGTGGATATCCCGCGCATGTCCTTCATACGTCCCTCGTGCTCTAGCGTGCTTGTGCACCAGAGTTTACACAGAGGCTTATACAAAGAAAGCTTTGCTAGGTAAGAATTGGGTAGATACTTACTAACACTGTCTGATAGAACATAGGGTACAACTCCTTGAGGCCATTTTCGGTAAGAAGATTTTGACATGCCAAACATTGAAGGACCCGTTGGTTCATCGACATCTCCACCGCGTAATGCAACATCAATCTCGTCCTTTCTCATCACCATGTCTCCTTGGAAAAGATAGCCATTGCCAGCCCCTAGAAAAAGAGTCATAGCAGGCTTGTGCAAAAAGACTACAACTCAAATGCAACTTATTCTTAAACATAAATGCGAAGAGATTTTTGCTGATCATGCAGCGTTGAAAACTTTTGATAGGGTAATAGCCTTTATGATTTTACATAATACAAGTCCTAATCGTGGGCTTTACTGTTATGCATCCAAATACAGCATCAGGTTTACCCTACATTTTTTATATGCCTTGAAAACAAGTTATCGATACGTGAATGTTCTTTGTCACGTGCATACAAATAACTAGAAGAAAAACGATGCAAATAATCAAATGCTGACAAACAACAGCATTAGTGACTCTCTTATTCACAGAGAGGAGATTGCATTCCTTATTAAAAAATCAGTCATCAATAATTGTACATCGACGAAACGAAACAGCACTCCCGCTTGCAGCAGGGATGCGTTTACAAACTACACTTACTTTCTAATTTAAATGACGTGGCAGCATAAACCAGAGAGAGGGCGAGAAGTATGGTCTTCATCTTGAACTTAAAACGATGACCCTGATGAAACTCCTTCTAAGATAAGAATAATTTTTCTTGAATTACTGTTTTATAGACCACGATAAAATGCCTTGCAAAAAAAACGATAAAACTTATTGGTATGCTTACTCACCTGGTATTATGCAGTCCTTCTGTCACAAACACTCAACAAAGAGCGTGGTATCGACAAGCATTTGATAACACTCGTGTTTGTCTTGTTTTAAAAATTGCTAGTGTTTTGAGCTCCATTTTACTTCAGATCGGCAAAGTGATTAAATAATATTGCGCTGAAATTGGATAACGTCAACATTATGCGCACATCTAGTCACACAAACTGCAACACAGCTAGCTGATTCCATGGAAACTCCGCTTGGTCCATCAATCATAGTTAATGAAACATGTTCAAGAACAGCGAAACATGCTTGCTTCGCGGTAGCAGTTTTTTACGAAGTTTTAAATTTTAACAATCAAACTGTTATATTTTCATTTTGGTATTGAATTTATTTGCTAACTATATTATCGTTTTTTGGTTGAATTACTCGTATCACACGCAACGTACATATTTAATTAGAAATGAACTGTATTTGGCTACTGTTTGGTGTTAGAATGGTTTGTTACATGGGCTCCGGCACAGGTTGGAAAGTGGAGGGGCCAAGAGAAAGTGTAACAATCATAACAAAAGTTTTTAAAAAAAGCTCTATTGTTTATAAAAAAAGCCCCGGCCCCCCTTCGTCGGAGGCTCTGTGTTACAAAGCATGCCGGTTGCGCAAGAGCCTTTAATGAGTATCACAGAGGGTCTAATTTCCAGAGATACGTTGAGCCATTAACAGAAATAAGAAAAGTTTAAGAAGATAATATTTATGCCTAGGAACGGTGGCTGTAAAGACCAGCGATACAATGATTGAAAAAACAGAGATGGTTAGGTAGGAGAGAAATCGTTGAACATTTTTTTAAATGGTTTCAGTGCGGTAATGAGGTAATGGTTTCAATGCACCTCGGGTTAGGATTATTGATAGGGACATTTTTAGGGATAATACTGCCAAGATAATATGTATATAGATAGTTACATCACATTGGTTACATAATGTCTCAAATGTGAAATTTTGCGGCGGTGCAAAAAGCGATACCGTAAAGAATATATTTTATAAATGATTGACATCACTTATAAAACATCATAGGTTTATGAATTAATTCAATATTATCAAGCAGACTAAAGCAACGAATGCAACAATTGCTTTTAGGGACGATGGTTTTCCAATTCCAGGTGAATCAAGACTTCGATTCTTTGAGCATGGAGAACATAGTGTAAACTAGTTTTGGTCATACGTCCTTTAACCTAATAACGATTGAAATGTGTCGTTCTTTTTTTTTTAAGCAGGTTAGAAAGTCTGGCAACTCAAAAGAGCTGATGTGGAATCCAATCGATAAATTGATTTGTGTGAAAAAATAAAATTACGTTCATATGAGAGGTGAACTATCCCACTTGAGTAAGATCCCGCTGTTGTGCCAGTGGGATCTCACTGAGGTTGGATAAAAATCTCCCATAGCCATATGAACATCTGTCAGTATTGCGCAAGAGCGAATTAGCAGAATTTCCAATTCAACATGACTGCTGGCATGTCTGGACACGAAGAACCAAAGAAAAAGAATTTTCTATGGTCAACTGCCATGGTTGAAAATCTAATTACATGCTTTGAACCCTATGAAACGAAGATGGAGTACCAAAATTTAGATTTTGATGCTGATGGGCCTGCTCAAATTACAGCCCCGAGGGAGGAAATGGCGAGACTCTACAAAACAAACGGAGAGTTTGGTCCAGTTGGGCTATCTGATCCCATGAAACCCATCGCAGAGATGTCTGTCGAACAAACAACACACATTTACACAACGAGACTGGCCCACCTTGGTGGGATTAAATGCCTACATGAATGTAACCTGAAAATCGGCTCGCCTCGGTGGGATATCCCACTTCAGTGGGATAACTCACCTCATACTTAGTTATATTCCCAACATTAAGCACGTTTTTTGAAAATTTGCACAGTATTGCATAATAAAATTTCTTTTTGGAAAATATTCTTAGCCGCTTGCTTTGGTGTCCCTGCTTGAAATACGCAGTCATGGTTAAAATATCAACGTTTTTCCTACCTACAAACATGTGATTTTGGCAAATGAAGATCTCCGAGACAACAATTTACTTTATCGCGTTCGGAGAAATTCTTAAAAAATTTCAAAAAGTATGTTGCTCAAAAGTTTAGTGCTGCACATGACTACGACGCAAAATAGATACAAACAAGAGCTGTAATTGCTGTTGTGATCGACATCCCCTCAATTCATACAACAATAAAGAGCTTTATTTGCAACCATAAAACTTTCTTATCTGCAGTGCATCTTGCTTACTTAGATGCGATCTCTGTCCAATACTGACTCCACTTTTCTTTGGCACAATTGTCTTCTGCCATGGCCATTTTGCAAAATCGCGAGCGCCATAGTGCATGATCGATCCGTAATCATAGGGGCTGCCAAGACTGTCGATTGTTGAATGAGAGTACTTCTCGAAATTGTGTTTCTCATCTTAAAACGAAAAAAAGATTTGTCGAAAACAAAACCCAAACAAACGCGCTGTTCCTCCTACATCACCTTTCATCCAGATCTGAATATAAATTTTCTGCTCACCTTAGGATGTTATCCCACGTTTATACTCTGAACAGTGTCGAACGAAAAGTACTTTAGTATGACATGTTTCCGCTTTTTCGCGCTTTTTCAAATTTTGCGGTACTCAAAGGCTTACTCGGCTATGTTCTGCCTGTCGATTTCTTTAAAGTTAGCCAGTGACAACTATAAACATTTTCGCCAAAGAGAAGATTGAAATTATCCCAAATTTTTATGAAGATAAACCTGCAAATTACAACAATCACATTCAACTAGAATGCACAATTCAAACAGGATGTGCAAAAATTTTGCCACTAAGAGGGGTAGGGGAGGTAAAAGGAAAATTTATCTGCATTGCTGGCCCCCGTTAAGAATCGGTGGTGCGGGGACCACGGACTATCAGCGAAAATGAAACTTCTGACTGCACTTGGGAAGAAAAAAGATATAATACAAAGCTATTTTTATCGTTTCAGTTTCATTAAGGTTTACCCTAGCTAAGGCATCTGCCGGTCAATGGCAACTTTAAGGCAAATAAATGTTTTGAAAAAGCTGCAAAGGTACCAACCATCCTTGATATTAGCCCATATGATTTTGACATACTGGTCTCTATCGGGTCTTGATTGCTCATGGTGAAGTCCTAGAGCATGTCCGATTTCATGAACAGCAATGCCATGAAAGAAGCAACCAAAACCAAGAGAGATAACTTGCTTACCACCAACACGTCCAACGTAAGAGTAGCACCTGAAGAAAGATTTGACTTTTTGGATAAAACAAAAATTATCATTAGAGGAAATTAGACTTCTTTTAAAGATTTTTGACTTCCGAGGATAAACCTCTAAAGAGAGTAAAACCTCCAACGAATTGATTCTAGGTGGTTGGGTGGCAAGTTCGGCCTGGTTGGGGGAGATGTCACATTGATTGAAATAGCTGCATTCAATTTTCAGTAGTATGCTGGGCTGTCATTCAGGGCAAAATTTGTATGTGAAAGCGGAAACATGGCACAAAAAGTCCAAATAAAGCTGAAAAAGCAACCATAAATTCGCTTTGAATATTCTATCAGCACATCGAATAATTGATATCCACATTTTTACCTGCAAAAAATACTCACTGGGCAAAACCATCATCAATAAACTCAACATAATCCTTCTCGGTGGTTCTCGGCTTGAATCGTATGCACGTTTTCTCTTCCCATTCCTTCATGGCACTTAAAATTGCCTTTTCTGTTGGACCTTTTAAACCGATTTTGTTCAATAATGCATTTTCTAGAAGAACGAAAAACTGAATACAGGAAAAGTATTTAAAAAGTAAATAAGCTGAAGGCTGACAACAGGGACGCGTTTTTACATAAAGCTTTAAAGGAGCTTCAAAAATTTTGGCTCAACCTTTTAAGTCATTCCGTCATTCCATAACAGAAGATCAGTTTATAGATCTTTGCGCACGAAAATAAAGCATATAAAGTTAATATTGGTTTTCTTAACCAAATTTAGTTTGCTCTAAACGATAAAAGTGAGTAGTTTGCTCTGTGGATTTCAGTACTTTAGACCTCGGGCGCTTCATGAAATACCAACACCCTGTCTCCAAAAGATCCAACGAGAGATGCCGCAAACATTTTATAGTAGGAGGCAGCCATCCCCGTATTCCTACTCGTACCGAATTCCTATACTTAGATATTCAATAAGTAAATCATCACCATGCTGTTGAAAATTATGCTTCTTGGGATACTAAGCGTATAGACACTCACTAACGCTGTCTGATAGCACATAAGGTACGATTCCTTTACGCCATTTCAAGTTAGAAGATTTTGACATGCCAAACGTCGACGGACCATTTGTTGCATCGACGTCACCACCGCGAATGGCAACATCAATCTGATCCTTCCTCATCACCATGTCTCCCTGGAAAAGGAAGCCATTGCCAATCTCTGCAAAAAAGCATTGCGAGTTACTAATGCTAGTTGTTCTTGGAAACGAACGTCAAGAGGTTTCTGAGCATATTTAGGTATTTTAGGCTGATAGAAGTCTAATACCCTAGCCCGTCATACTGCTATGGAAATGATCTGGAATCCACATCTAGGACTATTTCCAAAAAACTCGCACATTCAAAAACAAGTTAGTGCCACCTGCATCGAATTGGCACGCAATATCATCATGATATCACTTGTGTTTCTTCTTTGTCAAGGGCGCTGTAAATAGTATTAGCAAAAACAAGGTAAATAATTAACTTCTAGCGACAAACAAGAAATAAAAAATGCATATAAAATACGTAGAAACAATTTGAATTCATTTGTTTGCACAAACATAGTGTTTCTATATTTTGGAAACATTAAGCGTTTGTTGAAGGCATTAAATTTTTCATGGAGCGAAGGATGAGTTAACAAATTGTACTTACTTTGTAATTTAAATGATGTGGCAGCATAGATGAGAGAGAAGAGAAGTACGATCTTCATATTGAACTGAAAACTATGACCTTGCGAAAACCTTTCGAACTGGGAAAGAATCTTCATCGATGTATATAATCATCCTTGTATTTGACATTGCAAAACACCTAAATAAATATGCTTACCCACCTGGCCTGATGTTGCCTTTTTGTCGCCAGCAATAATTGCCTTCCAAGGCAAAGACAATTCTCTTATAAGTTAATTGAGCATTTTTTTTGCTTCATATAGGAAAACGAGTTAGTTGTGCTTCAAAACCCTTTGTCAAAATAACAAATTATACAGGGTCGGAAGATATAGCGTGCCATATCGTCGATATTGTTCTTAAAGCAATTTTGGATATTTTTACTTTATTAATGCATCAAAAATGACTTTTCGTTTTTTTTGTCCACTTTAACCCACGTAACTCAAAATTAGACTTGTTGTCACCTGAATTATGTGCTTGTCCACCTATACAAATTGCGAACAAGCGAGCATGCTTCATGGAAGCTGTATTTATTACGTATTACGATTACAATCAACTGATGATCTACTCGACTTGACCTGACCAAGTAGATCATCGATTACAAAAAAGATGATCTACTTGATGATCAGATACAATGGCTATCTGACCAGAAATTATTTTTAGATACAGTGGCTATTAGAGAGAGATTCTTTTTAGAAGAGAATACATAAAAGTTTTCATGAGCGCTCATTTCAAAGTCCTTTTCCAGGCTTTTGTGTACGTGTGGCGATCATGTAAGTTGATGGTTGCAATACATGGCCAAAGCAAATAAACGATATACAACTTGCAATCTAGCTAGAGAAGGATCAAGCCTAAGGACAATTTAGAGAGTTTTAAGGGTCTTTTGAATGGTCCGAGATGATATATGTATATGAAGAAAAAAACAACATTTCTTAGAAAAAATACTAATGTCTAGGTTATAAATGTATCTAGAAAATCTAAGTTACGAACGGCTTTAATGAGTTCTTGACCAAAGCCAAGAAAAGGAGTTTCAGAAACCTGGTTGATTGATTTCAAGCTCAAATGTTCACCGTGACACAACTTATAAAAAATGTTAAGAGCAGTACTGCAAAGAGAACGAGAATTTATATAAAATCTGCAGTATATGTAACATATATGTCCCAAGCAATGCCCTGGGAAGAAACAAACCAAATCTGAAACAATAATCAATAAACAATGTTTATTAGTAGCTGAACGGCAGTTCCATTGGCCGTACTTTCCAATTTACCACGTCATGGCTTCGTAACTTTCATAACGGATGTGACCACATAGATTCAGCAGCCATGCTGTATTAAAAAACACTTACTGGATCTCAAATGTAAATTTTATTCTGAGGCGAAGCAAAGAGCAATGCAAATAAACAGCGATCATCAATAATCACGTCAGTCAACTGCCGCTGTGAATATTTCTACATTAACTTAGTACAGTAAAAATTTACAAGAATGCCTTTCTCGTCCTTAGATCATCGTAATTTTCGCTTTTTGTTCCGCGTTTACAATACTTAGCTAATATCAGCACGATTAATGATTAAGAGTAAGTACGATTAAGAGCAATTATTTCCCGAAAAAGAACGACAGGATACAAAATTTTTGAACGGTGTGCATTTTGCAGTGCAAATTAATGTTTTAACTGTAGCAGACAACCCAGAATTTATTACTAGGAAATTGAAAGGTTCTACAAGCTAGCGAATCACAGGCCTTGCAACTGGCCTGTCTTTCTAGGTACTCTACTAACAACAGTCATAATATCGAGTTAGGCTTATACAAAATCATACTAAATATTATAAGTTCTGATAATACTTTGTTATCTTTTTAATTTACAAGCCTAGCATTCCATTTATATCATACGAACATCAAATATGATTTAAAAACGAGCTTCCAAGTTCAAATCGATGATAATTTTCGACAGGCTAATATCGCCAGATATGAATAGGGGACAAATACCGTTCATGAAAGCTGCTTTGTTACGTTCGATTGATGTGACTAAAACCTTTATTTCGGCTGCAAGGGTACGGCAACAAAAACGACAACACTGTGTTAAAAATGCCAAACTAGAGTGAGTTGTTGTTCAGATACAATTCGGTGAAGTCCCCATCCTTTTCTATAAGCTCTGAAAGAATAATGTAACACCGATGTAAGAAAGAAAATGTAACACTAAAACGCTTCACAAAAAGTCATTCAGGACATGTATCTTTTACTGGTCCGACTTTGAACTTCGAGAATTTCAAAAAATAACATAAAATCTAGTCACTGTTATTTAGTGACGTCATATTTAGTGCGATTACGAGACGTCATATTTCTTAGAATGTTCTACTTTTCGTCATAACTTTACTTTTCCGGTCTTTGTTTAAAAAGTCGATCAGAGCAAATAATAATTTGCTAACTCACTTTTGCATGAGGAAAATTCGATGCAAATTTCAGCGCGTTCTTTACCCTATATATTTTTTAAGAAGTGAGCAGAGCATGAAAAACTGCATTTCACTTTCTTGTCATCTGAATAATGATTTTCATAAAAAATACATTTATTAATCTTATAGCCCGTTGTTGCTTTTCATAAAAAGGCGAAAAGGCTCTCGATCTGCAAAATTTAGCCCTTAAATCGATCAGCACTCACTTTCTAACATTCTGAGCTTACAAAACATTGTTTTCATGTGCTAAAAGAAGGTTTAATAGTCAAAGGTTTATTGCTGAATAACTCGAAAGACGTTTCAAGCTTATTTTAAACTTCAGACTTTAGGAATGGATAAGAAACATGCATGAGAGCAGAACTACTCGTCAATATAGTTTGTCTTGTTGAGAAAGCAAAATCTCGCCAATCGTCGAAAGGATATTGCGAAGGAGACAGAAAACCTTCATTTTGGTCCAGGGCTCAGGGACACATGGTGAGAAGGTCTTACCATATTTGGCATTTCCGGCATCTCTTCGCATTACGCCCTCCCGTCGCCAGTATTGATGAGAATTAGATGCACGAGGCATGGAGAGAGGTTCTCTCTCTTGAGTATAAATAATCACTTATAATTATATATATATATATCTTCTTGTTACAAAGCATGTGTCTCTCTGTGGTACACACCTATGTCCCGCCCAAGTCACAAAATATGGCGCCCAACGTGGGGCAAGGGCAGTAGGTATACCATTTTTATTTTCGCAGAATGTCGTCCAAAGAAGACGAGGATCGAAGCCGCCTGGAAAGGTGGAAGGCCTTACGAAGAGGCAATCGCTCAGTAGTTACAAAGTTTTATAGAGAAGCTTTTGCTATTATCGATAGTGCTCAATCATCTCAAGAAAAAATCGCTCGCTTAAACTCGATAAAGGTTTCGTTAAACGAGAAACTTTTGTATCTCAGAGACTTGGACAGTAAGGTCTTGGACTCGTGCAATGTTGAGGAAATCGAAAACGAAGTCGAAGATTCCTCGGAATGGGAAGCAAAAATTCACGAAGCAGTTAGTCGTATCGAAGATTTCCAAAGGGAAAATCGCAGCTCATTCTCGCTACCCACCACTCAAAATGTCATGGCGGGCAGAAGTTTCGAAATACCGTCGCCAGCAAGGGTTGGCAGTGAAACACAGCACGAAGCAGTTCCACTCGGGGGGCCTACTCCAGCATCGCCATCTCGAAATTTGAACAGAAGTATTGCCTCAAGTAGTGCTCATGCGACTGTGAAGCTCCCAAAGATAATTCTACCGAAGTTCAGAGGTGACATAACTCAATTTAATTCATTTTGGGAAAGTTTTGAATGCGCAGTGCACAGTAATCCTGGCTTATCAAGCATCAACAAGCTGAACTATCTATTCAGTCTGTTAGAGGGACCAGCATATCGAGCAGTACAGGGTTTGGCCTTACAAGAAGAAAATTACGAACACGCTATCGAAATTCTTAAATCGCGTTTCGGGAAGAAACACCAGATAATCAATGCGCACATGGAAAAATTACTGAAGCTCCAACACCATCCAAATGAAGGACTGGAAAATCTCAGAAAGATATACGACAATATCGCTGTTCACGTTCGCGGATTACAGTCACTGGGAATACCTCCGGAAAGTTATGGGAACCTTTTGATTCCAATCATCATGTCTCGCCTCCCACAGGAAATTACGATGCAAATCGTAAGAAAGAGGGCAGAAGACTGTTGAAATATTACAGAAATTCTTGATATCGTCGAAAGAGAAATTGAAGCGAGGGAGATCGCGAACAACATAGCGCAGTCGACTAGACGGCATGAAAGGAATCCTCTACAATCCAAGGTGCCATTATCATTACAAGGAACAACTCGATCCTTTATTGCATCCGGTGGAGTTAAATGCTACTATTGTCAAGGAGACCACTATTCCTACGAATGCGGCAATGTGACTATTAGTATTCTCATGAAGGCAAGGAGATGCTTTAATTGCTTGAATTTAGGGCATTTGCTAAAAGACTGCAGAAGCCAAAGGGGATGTCTAAAGTGTAAGGGACGCCATCACCAATCTCTGTGCCAATCACACAACGAGAGGGCAGAAAATAAGCCACCAAAGAATGCAAAAAATCAAGACAGCTTTATCACAGCTACCGCTACGCAACAGGGATGTGTGCTCTTACAAACAGCTACAACGTATGCGCAAGCAGACCCTACTAACGAGTCGCTAACAAGTAATGCTAATGGTAGACCTAAGAGAAATGCTGCTATAATAGGTGAATTAATTCGTAGAGACACACACGTACATTAGCTCAAGCTACATTTATCATAGTATCATTGTTATGTTGTTTTTTTAATCTTCTTATAGTTATCGATTAGAACTCATTCGTATAATCGTATAGTAATGGTTGATCGCTAGACGATCAACGGGGGGAGTGTATTGCGAAGGAGACAGAAAACCTCCATTTTGGTCCAGGGCTCCGGGACACATGGTGAGAAGGTCTTACCATATTTGGCATTTCCGGCATCTCTTCGCATTACGCCCTCCCGTCGCCAGTATTGATGAGAATTAGATGCACGAGGCATGGAGAGAGGTTCTCTCACTTGAGTATAAATCACTTATAATTATATATATATCTTCTTGTTAGAAAGCATGTGTCTCTCTGTGGTACACACCTATGTCCCGCCCAAGTCACAACAAAGGATATCTCATAATGTATGATAAGTGATAAAAAAATAGCTTTTGAAAATGACAATTTTGGCACAATAAAAACATGCTCTTCAACATATGACTCCCTCACTCCACATTTGAATCACAAATCCATGCATGCATAAACAGAATTACAGTTGAAAACCTCACTGGAAGAAACGGAAATGCAATATTTTGGGTTTGGTTAAAATTCCAATTAAACGTTGGCTGGAGACGAAGGCTGGTAATTATGGTAACGTCAAATGCATCTGCTACAAACTTGTATTAACACTGGACATGTATTAACACAACTAGCAATTCAACTTATGCAGTTTTGCAATTCAGGTAATCTTCAATAAGTGTATATTATATTTAATAGAGTTCACAAATGTGACGTCACAAAAAACTATTTTTAGAATTTTTGCATTTTGACCGCATAACACAAAAGAACACCATAGAATACTCTCATATATGCAGAATCACTTAAATTTGTCAAAAATTGGGTGAGCTATGGCCAATTGAAGATTTGGAGTTTGCTAACGGATTACTATTATTTTGGCTCAGTTCATTAAGTTACGAACTGAGTGAGACCAAATTACAAAGGTTTGATGGGGCAAGATCTTATGCTCATCTGGTCATACCTCAGCCAATTCGTAATACCTTTGACTGATTTTGCAGATTTAGAGGTATTTCATAATGCTCTTTCAGGTTATTAGAAAAAAATTCAAAAATTCTAAAAATAGATTTTTGTGGCGTCATCACTTGACAACTCTATTAGTGAGGTATGGACAGATGTCGTTTGATACGGAAAATTCCACTTACCTCCATCAGCGCGTTTTCTAAAGCGGCGACATTGCAGAATGTGAAGAACAATAAATATGATCCAAGACACTATCAAACATCCTATCGCAGTCTAAAAAAGACGGGTCAACGATCAGGAGTCAAAAATCAAAGAGCAAAGGAAAATTAATGACGCAAAGAACGAAAGTAATTGAGTAAAAAGAATCATAAATGTTAGCCCGAGCTCTTTTTCGAATCTTGCTGTTTGAATTCAAACCTCTTTATTTGTATAAAAGTCAAAAGATTCGAAATACCTTTGTATTCAAAAGATCAGCATAGAAGCTCCAGCCTTTCATATATCTTGGCGTGAATGTTCGGAAGTCGATTGCCCACACACCATGGAAAGTACAACTGAAAAAATGAATTGGTAAATTTTCGACTGAAATTGCAACTGGAAAAGACATACTTTGCTCGCGAGATTTCCAAACAAAACAAAAATAACTTTGCTACTGCCAAAATAAAATAAACTAAAGGGTTTTTAACAAACGGGGGTAGTTGACTGGGTTGATGGGGTGATAGACGTTTTTGGGAGGACTTTTCAAATTAGGGCACTTTAGATGAATGTCACCATCAATAGAGCAAGTAGATTGGATAGAGGAGCAGTTCGGGGGGCGGGGGTAGGGGTAGGAGGAGGTGCTCGTGTTCAAAATCTTTAAAGTAATAATCAAAGAAATCTTCAAAGTGATTCACAGGAGGGGTGGGGGGGGGGCGCGGTTATTTGCGATCTTATAGTAGTACTCAAACATAGCCCAATTGCTAGATTGACAACAATGTGCTATATAAACGTAGGAAAATGGCATCAAAAAGAAGAAAATGCTAGAGTATAAAATTAAAAAAATGACTTTTATCACAATTGGAAATTCCTTCCGTTGCAAAGTAAAATTTCTTTCATTTTTCAATTTATACATTGCTAATATATCATTCTTTAAATTATTGAAATTATTTCAAAAATGTATATTTCCTTTCTGATTGTTAAGAAATCTTTATCAGTGTTTAAATTATGCTACATTTACATATTTTAATATAATGTACAGGCCAATATATACATTTCCATCAAAATATGCTAAAATTTTACATTTCCATTTTTTTAGTGTGCTTCTCTCTCAGACCAGGGATGACTATACTTGTTAAAAACATCCAAAAGAAGAAAAGAAACAAGCAGCAGAGGAGGGAATCTAGAGTTGCTAAGGTATCATTAGCAAATGAAAAGGTCGATAACGATAAAAATCTTGGTAAGCTAGATACACTTCTTAAATGGGTTGAACAGCCCTTCTAGCGGGATAAGTTAACAAGTATGAATCGAATAAACGGTAAAGCTTACTATTTTAAGGAGACTAGTGAATGGCAAAGCGACTCGATTCCATTATTAATCATCAAATAATCAAGCCCAGCAAAAAGCGGAACTGCGATTATCACTGCCATCCAAGTAAGGTTATCGAACCTGCAACAAAGGCAAATTAAAAGATAAATTTCAAGAAAGCTCGTAAAACGGGTGCAATAAAAAGATGATCGTTTGAATGTGGGTACTTCGTAGGCACGTCTACATGGGAAGAAAAATGCAGCGGGCCTTTGCTGTGGAATAAAGCTGAGGTGAAATGAGTGACTACAAACAACGAGTAAAACATGAAGAGGTACTCAATAACTGATCAATAAAAATGGCAAAATGTTCTTTACAAACGGATACATGAGGGTGGATGGGAAAGAGGTATGTGAACACTAGCCAATTAGGCTTTTATTAATATCTGACTCGGTTGCTAGAGCCACATTAATTCGAGCGCGGAACTAGAAGTTAGGAACAAAGAGGCAGAGGAGCGCCTTTCTGAGACGAAGTTTTCAGTTAGACGCTCCTCCGCTCCTACTCTTCAATCTTCGCATTCGAAATTTTGTGGCTCGAGTAACCCGGTAATCATTCTCAGACTGTGCCAGCCTGAATTAGTCGCCCTCATTCAACAAATTGTGCTCCTGTATAATAGTTTTTGTTACAATGATTAATGTATAAAATAAACTAGCTATCGTTATATTATCTTCCTAGTCAGGTTTCAAAGAATTTTGTAAAAAGAAATTAAGCAATACCATTGTTTATCATGGAGAAATAACAACTTAACCGATGTGTTTGTTAAAACTTACACAGGGCCGGCTGCGTTTACACGGGGCCGGCCGAATATTTGGTCGGCCAAATATTTGGACTGCTTTTGAAGCCGGCCACACACAAATCAGGTCACTTAGGCGTTGCGTTTACACGGGACCGTTCAAGTGACCTAATTCTTATGACTTGAGCAATGTGTCAAAAACTTGAAGCCAAAAAATCATTGTAAACAAAGAGCTAACAAAACAACTTCTCTCATTCTCTGTTCTCGTGTGCTCTCTTCGCAAAATTCTGTTTAAAGAGGATGGCTGACATAACTGCTATCAATGATTGGAAATTTGAGATGTTTGCTATGCCTTTCAGTTTTAAATTTCAAAATGAGTTTTTCGACAAAAGTCGTTCATATTTTCCGTGCAAATATTTGGCCGGCCGTAACCGTTTACACGAGGCCGCTCGCGAATTCGGCGGGCCAAGTTTCAAGAAGGACGCTTTCCTAGGTGGCCGAATATTTGCACGCCTAAGTGACCTAATTTGAGGTCGTTTCGCCGGCCCCGTGTAAACGCAAGGCCTAAGTGACCAAATATTTGACCGACTAAATATTCGGCCGGCCCCGTGTAAACGCAGCCTTAATGTCGAGATACGCAGGGATCTGCATAAATAAATTTAGAGTATACAACAACACTTTGCTAGAAAAAAATAAAGAACAGGCTGCTACTCACAAATACTGGGCACGGTCGTCCAAAACCCTTTTCGCTAACCAGACTGCGAGTGCACAGGAGATACACGTGAAGAGGATGTGTCCATTACAAACAATGGCCGGACCAGGCGTTAGAACACGCTTTAAATCATTAAGTTCAGCAAAGAGAAAACAATTCCTTTTTACTTTCAAATGAAAACTTGTAAATATAAGCAATGCTTTAAACGAGTAGAAGATAGATAAGCAGAGAAAGATAAAATCAAATCGGAAGCTCAGAAAAATCCCTAGAACGATCGACCGTGTTTTTGAGAAGATCTTCTCTAAGCTTTGCATCTTTAAATGTTTGTAACAATCATGCGATATCATCGAGATTTCTTGATACTCTCAACAAATACGCTGTCTTTCAATCGAGGTACTTGATCCTGGAATGACAAAAAGGACAATAATGAACCTTCAAAGTATATAATCACGATTAGTCTATAAATGGGAAATCAAACAACATAAGCTGCCTATAGAAGGCGAGTTGCGATTAAGATCTTTTGATACCTTAAAATAACAAGATACGAACTGATTTCTTCGTAGTTACTGTAACTTGAAAAGGTACATATATCCATTAAAACGTCATTTTATTAAGCAAGGACACCTCCAGTTTATTCACAGTACAGGTAAAAACATAACAAGTCTTCAAATCATGATTTAGAGCAACTGATGGCGAACAGGTAGACAAAATCTCAGTCATTAATATTGTTTAAACAAATCAACCAGTGATCTTTTTGTTGCTTTATGTAACCCGTTTGTTCTTTTATCTATTTGGATATTGCAAAACTAAGAAAACGCTAAGAAACACACGTGTTGCATAAAAGAATGTTTACAGACACCAAGATTGCAGAGGTGCATCACCAGGTCTTTTGTTAAATTTTAGAAAACATGTCCAAAAGATTACAGTTTAAGACGAAAAGTATCTTAAAATAAGAGAGCAGAGAAGTGGCCTCCAGTTGAAAAACGCAAAGGGGAAACTCCCGCTAGAGAATCTTACCATTTTTCTATAATTTCTATAACCACGTGTGAGAATTTTCTTGAAGCTTAGCTATGGTCAATGTTCTTCGTTCTCTCACAAATTCAGTTAAACAAAACCACAAGTTTGGTATTGTGTATGGCTCAGCAGGTATTCAAAGAAAACCATGCAATGCATACAAGCCGCTGTGCATCATCAAGCAAACTTTAACCCTACCATACCAACATAATGTAATCTAAACAGATTTTTTAAATTAACTTTTACCACTTGACACTACACTGACTGTCATAAGAAAAGAAAATTTTGTTTGCTCATTTCCAAGTTGCATAGCAAAATTAGCACTTCTGGACAACTATGTCCCAATGAATTTCGATCTCCATTTAAATTCTCATTCATTACACTATTCCATAGACCATTCTTACGTTTTCCAATCAGCAACGCAAGACTTATTCCCAACCTTTTCGCAATTGACACATGCTTCAGAGCCTTTTGTTAACCCTGAACAGTTGACTGACGAGGGTTGACTGACTTTCATGAAGCTTTTGTGCATTTTAAGTCAAAGCTTGTTCATCTTATGGCCTAGATGCACAATGACCTTATCTACCAGAAATTAAAATATGCAATCAATCAAGTTCAAATTGTAATTTTATTTCAGCAGCTATTTGACAATCTGACAATCTGACAATATTGAAATTAAAATGCATTTACAAATACATTATTATAAAAGAGCTACCTCATCATAATTCTAATAAGGAAAAAAAATGTTCAGTATTTTTCAGATAAGAAACCTTCTAATAACAATAAATTGGGATCATATACTGCCCAGGAAAGAAACACAAAGAAAGATCATATCTCCAGAGTCTTTTATTTTGTGACTTGTGATACAGCCAAAGTAACTAACATTTTTCAGAAGACTCAGTCAATGATGGAACCTGCTCATAAGCACAGCTGCTTTATTTGATTTTGCACGGAAAAACCAGCTTTTTCATTTCCGAGAATATAATTATTAAATTTTTCTTTATTAAGCAAGAAGCCATTTTTTTCATATTCAAATAATTTGAAATTAGCAAATGCAGGAAGCTGATGCATTGATTTGGTGCAGTTCTTGCTGGTTACGAATTGAATTTGAAAACTCATTACCAAATGGCCCACTAAATTGAGAGATTGGCCTAACATAATAGAATGACCATTTGCATTGAATCTCATGAGACCATTTGCATTGCATCTCATGAACAAAAAAACTCACTAGAGTGTGCCGCCTAATGGTGTATATAACACCAGGAAGAAGAAAAACATCAAAAAGCTACAATACAGTGAGACAAATTCACAAAAAAGAAATGATTAGTCGAATGAAACGAGGAGTATTGCAGTTAATAAAAGCTTCTCAGAAACCTACACAAATGTTGTTTTTTTAAAAAAATACTTGGTAATTTCTATGTTATAAATTATTGCACTCACTGCTTACTATTGCACTTTCTCCTTAAATTTATATCAATTAGTTTAGTGGATGATCATGGTGTCACAGTATTACAACAAGTACTATATCAATATACATCAAATGCTCTCTCAAACTCCAATAAAAAATCAATAAGATAACTTTTTTATCTTGCAATCCAAAGACACCATACAAACCAACTTATTCATCTTGAATAACCATCCTAAGCAGGTAACAAAAACAATAAAAATATGAGACAAAGAAAACTTACTATTATATCTTTTTTAGCATTAAATAGGATCAAAGTATTCTTAAAAAAACGTTGATAATAAAGTAAAAAAGAAAATTAAGGAAAAAATTTCATAATTGCAATTCAGCAGTCCTGATAATTTTAGGCGTGCGATCGCACGCGCACGCCTCCGCACACGTCTAGAACTCCTGAGGCGTGCTTTCTATCGCACGCGCATTTCCATGTTTTGAATTACTATTCTTTTTCTCTTTTGTTTCTTTTAATTTCTTTTGTGTGGGTTATATTGATAGCATTCCCGGAGGCATTTTAACTCTTTACTTCGTTTCCATTAGGCTCTGTTTCCCTTACTCTGTTATTCTGTTACTCCGTTATTGTATGTCTCTGTTCTCTCTCTCGGTTATTTTCTTATTTTCTTGAACAAATTGCCCCGAGCCACTCTGTTCGGTCAAACGATAACGTGGGTGTTTCCATTACTCCATATTTGTCCGTTATCATATCCTTAGCTTGAGTTCTTTATGAAACTGAGATTGAATAACTCCGTTTTTGAATGCCTCGGTCTTCACTGTTCTGAATAAAACAACGCGTAATCATATGATTCCGTATACGAATGACTCCACGTTTAACAGCGTTTTTGAATAAATTTGGTTTGGTATCAAATGACATCGTTTTTGAGTGTATTAATGAAACTCAAATTCAAAAACAGATTCACTTGAATCTGTTCTCATACGGAAACAGAGTAATGGCAACAGAGCCTAAAAAACTTGTATCATTTTTGTTAAATTATTTTGTTTTCAAGAAACTTCTTCCAAAATTCCATAAAACCTTTTTGGTTTTACGAAAACCGCATACGCTTTTTCAAGCAGTGATACACACATTCTAATACAAAGATGACATCAGGTCTTCATAAAAATCGTAAGGTCCCCATTTGTGGATCACACATCATCACACGCCATCACGCCTAAACTCTTCAAGGCGTGTGATTACCAGCACGCCGCCAAATTTCATATTACCAGGACTGCATGCAGCATGCGATATCATAATTTACTAGTTGCATTGGCAGGCCTTGACAGAGAGATCTATCTATCTTATCAGTTATTTGTAAGTGCACCAGATTCTAGACCACAGGCTTGAATATTCTTAACTTTTAAAATATTTTCAGCAAAAAAGCATTAACCAATGAATTCAATGTTCCATGGGCTCTTCAAAGGACTTCTAACGCTTAAAATGTTGGCAAATTGTTGTGTCATAGTTCTCTACAGTAATTGCATTTATAAAAGCTTATTTAACAATTTCTCTAAAAGCAACTATGTTATGTGACTTAAAGTAGTATTGCTGTCATAAATTATTTTATCGGTGCCTTAATACTTGAAAGTTCTCAATTTATTTTCAGGCAAATTTTATTTCTTTATTGCTTAATCACTACTTTGGGACAAATTTTGATGTGTTGAATACAGCATTTCCCTAATATATATTATTTATAATTTTTAAGTAACTCAACAATTACATATCAAAAATGGAATGAAAGTGGGTAAAGGAACTTCCAGTTTAGTTACACTGGGACAACATTTGATTCTGTGTATTCTACAAAACCTCTTATTTGTAAATGTAGATAAGAATCTGTCTATGTGATTGAAAGCACACATTTAGTTATATTGCAAAAAAATAATGAGGGAAAAGCCTTGAGGCCATATTGCTCAACATGTCATAGCTTTGATCTAAATAATCAAATCAAACTTGCAAACTTAGAATCATAATGTTAATTCAAATCATTTTCAACTCCACAAATTTAGCTTACAAGTTAAGGTACAGTGGTTGCATTTGAAAGAGCCTTTAAGTTGATAACAACTTTGAGCAAACAAACTTTTAAAATTGTACAAAAGCTAACATTGTGAGGTCAAAGTGTTGCCATAATTGAATGGTTTTTGTCTTTCTCCTATGGTCGGTGCCAGCCACTAGGCTCTGGGGAGAACAAAACAAATGTTTTAGGCCACTCAAATATTTTGTAGTTCCTTTTTATTGCTTGAAAAAGCCATACAAAGAACCAACAAGTAGCCATTAAGGAAAAAAGAAACTACAAAAAACCAAGAAGGATGCCAATTTTTTCCTAACAAAGAGCGCCAATTTTACCTGAAGGGAGCGCCCATGAATGGTTAAGAAAAGGCAGTTTCAAAACCATAGGATTATATCACAAAAAGTGCATTATCAAAAAATTACCCCACTCCCAAAGTTCTATACCACTGCACACAGCAGCAAATTTCAGTAAATATGAATAAAATTATTTAGCTAGAAAGGTCCATGAAATATTTCCCATAAAATTATGTCATAATGTTTAATCTATAATACCATGCTTTTTTATAAGAGAAATTTCATAAAAACATGAGCCTCAAAACTGGTCAAAAGTTAAGAGCAAATTAAGAACAAGTTGAGGGTGAGCAAACAATTTGATTAAAACAATGCTTATCCCAAAGATGAAGCGTTTTTTTGCCATAATGGGGTGCTTTTTTGAGGAATTTTCAAACTTGTCAGCAAATAAAGGATGTCTCACTCACTTTATTGGCAGACGAGGCCTGGACACCTTCCTAGAGCACAATACCTAGCAATTGCACTGCTTACACGCCAACAATTCAGATTTTCATAAAAATTAAGAGCAGCCAGCCTGAACTTCAATTTACTGGTTGCTTTAAAAAAGTGTGTAATTAATGTAGCCAAAACATAATATAATTCAAAGAAACCCACTAACTGAAGGTAGATTTGAATCGGGATTGACAGTTACTCAAAACAATTATTGCTAACCGACTAAAACAAGCTTGGCATATGTAATGCTTTCTATTGAAGGTGACATTTTCAGCTTCCTATCCAGGTATTTTATGCAGACAAATCAATTCCACTTGCTATATATCAATTAACGAACTTACTATACATTTGCTCAACAACGGTTATGATCGGTTTTCAGAGACCGATTGATTCTTGTATAGTATTTAAACCCTTTTATTGCCAGTTATCCTATTCGAGGCTTATCCTATTCAAGTTAGCCAAGTCATTCGATAACTATTTCGAGCTCACCATGAAGTATAAAAGTATGGTTTCAACTAAACGACTTCTGAACTGATGGTGATACAATAGGGCATTAGCCATAGCATAGGCATAGCTTTTAACAAAAAATACCGAAACAACATACAGAAGCGGAAAATCCTCGGTATGAAACATTCATTACATTAAAATTAGCAGTTTCTAATATCAACTGCTCAGACTTAAATTGCTTTTCGCAATTAAACCTGAAATTGAACTTCATGTTCCTTTCATGGCAAATTAACAATGCCATATTACTCAAGCAGGTCTTGTGAAATTTACGCAGCGCTAAAAACTAAGTTTTGAGACAGTTTTGAAGAAAATAAAGTGTTTCGTACCAATGGATCACACAGTTTCATACTCAAAGTTTTACTGTTTTATTCTGGAATAGATATTAAGAAGGTTTCATCGGTTGCTTCGTCTGAGACTGATGACAAGTTTCACTTTATGGCACGCCAGGCCTAAAAGCCACAGCCCATGCACAAAATGATGGCTTCAGCAAAGTTGACTCACCTCTGAATAGGAAATGTCGTTTTGCCGCCCAACTTTCCAAAAAACACAATCAAAACAGCGCAACGTTTCGGCTAAAATATTTTCCACAAACTCTATTTCTTTGAATATGCTTGTACTTGTTTCTATTCAACATTGAATCACGGAATAATTGCTCTTTTCAAATGCCTTACATTGCCGCATCAATATTTTGTTGTTGTTGTCATCTGGCTCTGATCAATGACATCATTGGCTCTTATTCATCCATTGGTTTCGAGCGGAACTCAAAACAGGGGAGGTTCACATAAGGTGGGAGAGAGGGGGGTTAGAATTGGGGGAAGAAGTAGCAAATTACTGATTAATTCCAAAAGAGCTCATACTTAGTTGCTTTATCAAGCTTCGAGTAACATGGCCAAGAAATTATCATTTGTTGTTGTCATATTTCTTTAGGAGCCCACGACACTGGTTGTTAGTTCCAGAAAAACGTGCTATTCTTGAAGGCTATCCTGAAGACAGCCCGGTTCAAAAAGGAAAAATTTTAAAACATGCTTTGTACTATCAGAGTCCATAAAATATACCTGTTCCAGGGCTGTGAACCAGAGGAAGAGAAACCAATGATGCAGTTACTATTGATGAGGAAGGCCAGCGCATAACTTGACAAGAATGTATAAAATTAGAAGAATTTACCGTTTTGCTTGAAGTTTCCTTTTTCTCTGACAAACGGCTAAGTCATAACCATATAAGATTTTACTTCAATTTCTTTTAAAAGAAATTTTTGTAGGGCAAAATTTCATCTGCTAGAAGATCGAGGTGCTTTCTTAACTCACCTCGATCTTCTCGGTGCATGATCGTAATGAGCAAAAACAATAGCTTGAAAGAAGTTGCGGAAGCAGACGAGAGAAAACTTCTATTGTTAAATTCTTTTAAACAACGAAACTAACTTACACTCGAAAAAGAGCATAATCTCTAAAAAATGAGAGTGAACTGTCGGATCTCCTAATACAATTTATTGTCATTATAATAAGGACAAATTCAAAATGTTGTTAACGGTAATACTAGGTAAATCATTGAAATATACAAGAAAACTTTTCAATATAAGTTTATGAACATGAATTCACAAGCCACATTCAACTGCGTGGTGTTCCAAATGATTTTGCGTTTCATTAAAAAGAAACTGTTGCCAATGATTTTGTGTCTCATTCTCAGAAATGAAAACGAATCAAACAAAGGGCTTTAAAAAAATTCCTCTATCACTGTTCAAAGGTTAGACCACAATTTCTGTAGTTTGACAATTTCTAACAGGGCTGACTATGAGGAAATGTCTTTGCATTGTCTGATATCTTTCAGAAGTAGAAAACAGGAAACAAATCAATTGCTACTATACTTAAAGCAAGAACACTCTGCTATTGGCCAAAAAAAGCAAATCACGGAGCAGCAAATGTAGTGGAACAGAGTGGCAAATCATTTATTAAGATACCAGTCTAATCACTTCTATTGATTTAATCTAAGTTGAGAGATTAATTAGATACCACGCCCTTTCGAGGAACGTAAGGAAACGTTGGACATGTCAAGAAACTATAGTTTTTCAAAATGTGCCTTGTCCATCACAATAAGCATTGTCATTGAGTGGCTTTTAATTGCAGGGTTATTCCACAAACTGGAAATGCTTTCCAAGTTATGAAACAAGTCGGATGCTGGAGCTGTGACTACAAACAGGCAACGACGGCATAAGAGCACAGTGCCACTTATGATCTAGACTCAAATCCTCTTCATTCTATCAGTCCCAACTGCGGAATTTATGGGATATGATGATTCAAAAAAATTACAACGGTGACGATCTGCGAGTATGCTTCTTTAGATGGATGATCAGTCCACTGATCCACAGAATACATAATGCGATATGTGATACCTGCGGAGGCGAAAGAAGTTGCATGTCAGCGAGGAAGCATGTAAATTGCTGAGGAGCTACAAAATGACAAAGGTCAGGCAATGTCCTTTGATGGAGGGTGGTATTACGGAAAGGGTTTTACGGGGGGAAATATTATGGAGGGGGAGTTTGGAGCGGGTATGAAGAAAAGAGATAAGGTCAGGGCCGTATGGACAGAGGAAAGGGCTTGCGTGAAAATAAAGACTAAACGTATGATAAAAAAGCATTCACTTTAGGCAAATATACGAACTACGGTCTGGAAAAAAGATGTTATAGGTATTAAAGTTATGCAAGGTGGGGCTGCGAAATAAGTTGACAACATAAATGATTCTCTGCTACGAAATAAGATGTTCATAATAAGCGAGGGGTTGGAAAATTTCTCGAAATTAAATAAGCAGGGGTGGTGGGTGGTGGGGTGGGGTCGAAATAAGCCTGGGGGATGGAAATTTGGTGTAATATAACCGGCCGCAATAGAGCACGGGCTGCACTACTCAGACATCTTAAAGAAAATTTTGACACATACGACAATTAGACACGTGGGTGCTAATTCAGCGCAATGAAGCATACTTCTCACTAAAGCTTACTATCAAAGATCTGCTAGAATAGGCTGCTAATCTAGAAACTGTTGAGAATGGAAGGTGCTCATTCCTTATCTGGGTAAACTCAACCTCAGTTGTGCACCCTTTTTCAAAAGAGCTCTCCTACAAAAATTGAAAATCTAATAAGCGGGGGTCCTAATAAGAGCGGGGGTGGGGGTCGGAAATTTCTTCGAAAAAAATAACCGGGGGGGAACGCTTATTCGGGACCTAAGAGTAAGTCGCACCCCACACCCCCTCCGGTAAATCCGTACTGAATACAGCGATTTAAATCGAATTTGTGATGCCAAATAAAAGTTGGCAGGTGTTGGTTTGAGAAACCTGCGAGGCTGTAGGCGGCTTACAACCAATTAACACTATTCATTGATTTAATTTTGCTTCAGTGGGTTCTAGATCATAAACTAGAGGGATCAACTCACGTTCGACATGTAAATGATGCTTAATATTGCACTCTCTAGCAGCTGCTATCACAAGATACAGTAAATAATAACATCTTTCATGTATATATTTGTATATTTTCTAATACTGGCATATTTTCATACCTGATCACCTTTCAGAAAAGCTCTTAAAATTGCGAAAGTTGGAGAACGTTGCTGAGCATGCTAACAAAAACTCCTCATCAGTATAGCCTTTTCAAGATTAACCGTTTTTAACACGTTTTCCTTTCGCTGGCATTTGTGCTCAACACTTAGTTTCCAAGGTGTGGAAGCATATAAACTCAAATGAAATTACTGAATTGCTGAAAAACACGAACTTCAGAAAATTACAAGCAGACTAAATTACAACCATCTATCAGCCTTTAAATCCCAAGTCTTTGAAAACTGGAGATCCGCTATTTTGATGGCATGATGTAAACTTTAAGTAGTAATAACTCGTTGTATTTAAACTTCAAGTAGTAATATTTGAAAAGAGAGAAGCAAAAATGTTGATGACCGGGAAAAATTACATCATCGATCATGTGATTTCTATTGTTTTACAAAAATGTATCCAAGGCTTAAGATATTCACAAAGGCTTCAAATATCCAAATAAAGTACAAAAAATAAAGTTAGGCACTTTGCTCGATTGTTGTGGAAAATTCCCTGTGTACTGAGTTGCATCCTAAAGTTTAAAATCAAGTTGCAACCCTTTGTGAACCAGAAACAGAAGATTTGTAGATGTATCAATTTGAGAACTGCATCATGATTTTCAATATTTCTCACAATATTATCAGCTAAGTTCGTTAACCACATATTCACTTAAATTGATTTAATAAGCTTCTAATATATTTAAACTGGTATACCTTTTTGATTGTCATTTCTTAGTATTTTTTAGCCAAAGAGAATTCAAGAGGAAATGTTTATTCAGGCAACGGTGTAAAGAATATGCTGAACCGGTAACCCTACTTGTCTTTAATGGCCTTCGATTCGAGACAAATATTTGAATATCTGGGGTAATCTACCATTATTTCTGGAGAGAAACAACGTTATATTTAATTACGGCAGCGCTTGTTTTGAATTCCTAAATGTCAGTCGTTATGATTTTTGATAACTACAAGTCGTCTCTAATAAATATTAACCGTTACAACTACCCATCTGCCTCGAAGATATGATTGCTTTGTATTAAACTTCATTCCCTTAACTCCAATGCTAGTAGCTTCTTACGGCAAATTAGTACAAATTATAAAAATCAAGTTAAAAACAGTGCTACAGTTTACTTTACTTTGTCTCAGACTACAAGTGTTATTTCTCGCCATTACATCTTTTTCATCAATGTCTCTCGAAACAAGGTTTTCTGTGTTCGTGTTACAAGAAATAAATTGTCAACACCCTAATCAGTTGCTAACTCAAAAGAAATTTGACCAAATTTTTAAATCCGTTATACGAAATTTATATTTATGTAAGCGTTTGGTACCACAAGATTAAGCAAGCATTTGGTACAATTTGGAATTAAAGAGCCTTTTGTCAGAGGTCAGCGACCACGGATTGGTCAAAAACGAGGAATCAACAAATGTGCTATCCTTTTTCTCACGTGACTTCTGATCGGCATCTGGATCAAAATAACAGATTATTATCCGAAGTTTATACTCTGAGGAGTGTCGGGCGAAAAGTTCTTCAGCATACTAAGTTTCCAATTTTCCGTGCTATCTTCAAAATTCATATTACAATTTTAAAAAAGTCTATACTCACCAAGGATACTCTACAATAATCGAGATAAGAGTATGCATCAAGATATTTTGGGGTGAATGTCTTGAAGTCTGTGTTGTGGAACACCTCAGAGGAGCAGCTGAAATGGAAGAGATAATTGCTGTAATTTGTGAGCCTTTTAT